CAGGAAGAGGGCGTGGTCTTCCACGTCCAGGTCTTGGGTCTGCAGCTCAAAAAAAGTCTTCCCTGAAGCCATTACATTGGGTTAAAGTAACAAGGGCCTTGCAAGGGAGCTTATGGGATGAGTTACAGAAACATGGAGAATCACAAACGTATGGGACTGACTTTATCTTTGCTTTCCTCTTTCTGATACCTTTGTTTATCCAGGAAACTAATAATGTGCTAATGGGGTTTTATTGACTATTGTTTTTCAATTAATCATATTTTTCTTTCTTTTCTGCTAGTGCACCAGAATTTGATGTATCAGAAATAGAGACCCTTTTCTCTGCTACAGTGCAAAAGCCGGCTGATAAATCTGCAAGTCGTCGAAAATCTGTTGGGGCAAAACCTGAAAAAGTTCAACTGGTAATGTGAAATATTTTCAACACTTGGTTATTATATTTTAACTTGCTCTTTTCTGGTAGAGACTTTGGTCATGTAGCTATAAACAAGTGACTGAAAGCATGTTATGATTTGCCAGGAATCTGAGTACTACCTGAATATCTGTAAAATATATAAATAGTTGTACAAAGAATGCCTCTATAAGCTACTCTGCCGCATCTCTTTTCCCTGGAATTTCTTCTACTCTGAAACCTATTGCATGTCTGTATACTTTTGTGATTCAATTATTCGACTCTTTTTGAAGCATTGTTTTTCTTATGGTTTTCCAGATTGATCTTAGGAGAGCCAATAACACTGAAATAATGCTTACTAAAGTAAAGATGCCGCTGCCTGATATGATGGTAAGCTCCAGTACCTACTTTACCTGAGTAAAAGTCACTACTTTCATAGTTTAATGATAATTATTCACATCTTTCTTTGCATCGTCCAGGCTGCAGTTCTGGCAATGGATGAGTCTGTACTAGATGTTGATCAAATAGAGAATCTTATAAAATTTTGTCCAACCAAGGAGGAGATGGAGCTTCTTAAGGTTACCTCTTTACTTATAGTAGCATTTTCTATTTCTGTCTTTACTTTGGGGATCATTTGTGAAATATGTGAATTCTGGTTATCATTATTCACTTGTTATTGACATGAGTCCTTGTTCTTGGTCGTTAACTCGTAATTGTCTGGTTTTGTGTAGAACTACACTGGTGACAAGGCGACCTTGGGAAAGTGTGAGCAGGTTTGTTTAAGTCTTAAGATTACCAATCTCGCACTGTTTTTTGGTTTCTACTGTAAAATGGATAGCAATTAGCTTACTGAGTCAATACATTTTCCTTTGTCATCCATTTTGTTATTGCAGTACTTCCTAGAGGTAATGAAGGTGCCACGAGTGGAGGCAAAGCTTAGAGTATTTTCTTTCAAAATTCAATTCGGCACTCAGGTCTGGTGGTATTACTTATACTGTTATTTTCTGTCTATTTGATTATTTGGAGGACAAAGTTTCAGTTTCACCAGTGTCTGAGTAAACTCTAGATTATTGGTCCTATTGATAATGATATTTTTTGTGCAGATAACAGAATTCAAAAAAAGTTTAAATGCGGTAAATTCTGCGTGCGAGGAGGTAAGATACTTGCGACAATTAACTCAATTTTTTTTTTGCAGTCCATATGCATTTCTTTTTGTAAGAATTTTCTGCTTATTGCTTGTTCATCAGGTCCGTAACTCACAAAAGCTAAAAGAAATTATGAAAAAGATTCTTTACCTGGGGAACACATTGAACCAAGGAACTGCAAGGGGTACGTGTTATATTATTCTTGTTCTACATCTTTTTGCACAAGACATTTCCTAATGAAAATAAATTTTCTCTGTTCAATATGGGCTTGATTCGGTGCCTTTGTTTCATTGCTACTAGTTGTTTTGTCTGTACGGAAATCCATTGTGGTTGATGTGATCGTTGCTCTGCTTTCTGCAGGCGCTGCTGTTGGATTCAAGTTGGACAGTTTATTAAAATTAAGTGATACACGTGCTGCTAACAGCAAGATGACTCTCATGCATTATCTTTGCAAGGTAAACTATACTCGAAAAGAGCAGGATCTAGTTTCTGACGAGGGTTGGTTTTAAAAATTGGTATGGCTCAGGAGGGATACATAATCCTGAAACTCACATCTTTCTTTTTGCAGGTCCTTGCTTCAAAGGCATCAGTTCTACTGGACTTCCCCAAGGATCTTGAAAGTCTTGAATCAGCCTCGAAGGTTTGCAGTTGTACTTTTTTCGGCCTCTACTCCTTAGTTTCTATTGGCTCATCATTTGATGGTCCTGTCTATTGCAGATACAATTGAAGTCTCTAGCAGAGGAAATGCAAGCTATAATCAAAGGATTGGAAAAACTGAACCAGGAGCTCACTGCATCCGAAAGTGATGGTCCTGTTTCTGAAGTTTTCCGTAAAGTATGTTGTTTTTTATTTTATTTTTCTTTTGCTTATTTTATCAATCATGGATTTGAGATTAGTTCCATGATTGTGCCACATTACTAAATCTATATTACTTTGTAAAATCATCAATAACCCGCTGGAAAATAATTCTTCAGCTGGGTTTTGTTTTTAGACTTAGCTTTTTCCGAATCCTAAAAGCTACTTTTATGCTTTGATAACAGACATTGGGGGAGTTCATATCCATTGCTGAGACTGAAGTGGCAACTGTATCGAGTCTTTACTCCGTCGTGGTAATTTGTCAACCTCTACTAGAATCCAAGCGCCTTACCTTGACAATGTGTTTGATCGTGAAATGATTTTTGTTTTGTTTCTTATGTTTGATGACAGGGTAGAAATGCTGATGCACTTGCGCACTATTTTGGCGAGGATCCTAACCGTTGTCCATTTGAACAAGGTATGGCATGGAATATAACTTCAATCCTCTATGGCAATACACAGAAAATAAAAAGTTCCTATTCGTTATTTAGTTGGAACTGTTATGTAGCTAATAATAATACCGGGTAATGCACTGCTGCAGTTACTGCAACCCTCTTGAATTTTATAAGGTTGTTTAAGAAAGCACACGAAGAGAACGTCAAGCAAGCGGAGCTAGAGAAGAAGAAAGCTCTTAAGGAAGCGGAAATGGAGAAGGCAAAAGGAGTCAGTCTCACAAAAAAACCAGTTGATGATAGCTGACGAAAAACTAAGATATTTATTTTGCAAAATCCGCCTCAACCTCCCAAGAGAACTGAGGTGGTCTTGTAAGCCAGCAAAGAGGCGTTGGTGCTGTTCAAGTAAACCTCCGCAAAGCGGCATGGGAATGCTTCGTGCGGTTAAAAAACAGGCTTGGGTCCTATGGAGAGCGGTTTCGCCTGGGCGGGGGCTATCGAGGAACCATGGGAAGATAAAGAGACAGGTCCTTTCTCCACTCACGTTAACATGATTGACTCCACATTGATTTAATTCTAACTTGTAAATTAGAATTCTTTCCTGTTTTTTATTTTTCCTGATTAGAGGAATTTTTGATAGATTGAAATGTTGTATAGGTTTCAGGTAGAGCGAGAGAGAGTGAGAGATGTAGATCATTTTGTCCATTTAGTGTGTAACTTTGTATACCTCCTTAACATCAATGTTCTTCTTAGGATTCAGACCAATGACAAAATAAAAAATAAACAGTCTTCTTAGGATTCAGACCAATGAGAAAATGAGACGGCACGTGTGATGACCATATTTTTTTATTAAACGAATCAGCGAAAAGCAACAATCACGTGTTCTTGTTGGATCCAACATGTTTGAAACATTCATGGATTGTCTTCTTTTTCTTCCTCCACTGTTTCTTTCTCATAAGCAAACCCTAGCGAGATAATTTCTCCAGCAATTCCAACTGAAGATGGCTGAAGATGAAGATCATTACTGTGAACAACAGTTGATTGGTACTTTAGATCCCAGTTCGTCAATGGTTGTCATCAGAGAATCGCCAATTTTCGCTAAGGACGATAACCTTGTTTTCCCGCCGATCTACCATGAGAATCTCCATGTCGCTTCTTCCGTCTATGGAGTCGATAGGTATCTCGAATCTCCGTCGGAATCCTCGTCTCCGTCATCTTCGTCGAGACGCTCTGGTTCATCTTCTTCTTTTTCGTTGTTCCCTTCTGATTCAGACGGACAAACGCCACTCACTGCGTTTGAATTTGACCGGAAGTCTCCGTCGGAAACTGAAGAAAAATCTCCGCCGTTGTTGCTAACCGGCGAGTCTCCACCGTCCGATTCAGACGAACAATCGCCATTTGAACAGATATCTTCTCCGCGATTATTACCCTCTGAACAAGGCGGCAAATCTCCACCGTGCGATTCAGAGGGAAAATTACTGAGGAAACCATTGAATGGTGAAGTTGATCTGCTCCACGATTGGTGGGAGCTTCTTCTTGTACGTTTATACTCCAAGTTGAAGAATTTGTTGACATGGTTCTCAAAGACTATCCGATCATTTTATCCAGTTCTTGCCATTGCGATTTGGTGGTGGATGCGTGTACGAGCTCGACGGAAACGTGTTAAAGGAGAAACCATGGATCATCTTCGAGATGTGATCAAACAGAGAGACGAGGTATGTTTTAGTGCATACCAAGTGTTTGATGAAATGTCTAAGAGGCTTGACATTACCTCAGTTTTTCACATGGTTTACTTACATCTCTTGTTTTCTGATTTTGCAACAGAGGATAGTTCAGCTTTTGCATCAACTTGCTCAAATGAATGAGTTACTGTTAAAGCACCACAAGGACATTGTATCAAAAAGATGATGATCCATCACAGATTCAAACCTTTTTAGCTTATTGATTCTTTTGTTTCTTGTTTATATTATTTCGCAAGTCACTCTCTTTCTGTAAAATTCTTACGTTTTAATCTCTCAAATGAGAAAAGATGTAAACTTTCCCAGTTTTACGAGTCAGTGAGTTGCTTCATACTTAGGGTTCTGCAAAAAATAGATCTTTGCAATATGAGGTACTTGAACAAATTGATAATTCATCCTCTGTTCAAGTTTTAACAAAAGAATCTATTGACTTTTATATATAGGGTAAAAATATAACAAAAAGAAAAAGAAGTTATCTTTGAAACAATGAAGAACTTTGTTCAACTAAGTAGGAAGTGATTGTGCTTTACCAAACCGGTTCATCGGCTGCTAGCTCCGTGCTTCAATCTTGAGCGGTGTTGTTCTCCGAATATCAAACCTGTTTACAAATTTCAGTGGAAATGTTGTCTCGTTCCTGATCCTCTTGATCTTAGGGCTTAACAATCCCCTGTGACCAAATCCATACAGCTTGAGGACTTGATTATCCGCAAAGTTGAATGCTCTCTCCATACTCTTCAAGCAACGTTCAACCGCGTAATCCGCATAACTCCCACACGGTTTGCATCCAACAAAGTGAGTAATAAATGGCCATCTTTCGTCTCCCAACCCCGGATGGTACTTCTCTATCATCTCCTCATACCTATCCACTAATCCTTCCCAAAACCCATGAAGATAATACTGATTCTCCACAAAGACTTTCTCCATCCACGTCTCCTTCTGCGAAAGCAACAGATAGATCAATGCAGACTGATCATCAGCTTCGAACGCCGGTCTTCCTTTAAGATTCGCAGTGAGAATCTTCCCGGCTTCTTCCCGAATCGGTCCTTTCGGTCCCATTGGAGCCCAAGCATCCAACAAATCCAAAGACCATTGACAGTTCCTAAACAAGAAGCTACCAGTGTTCAAAGCAATCCACGACTTCTGATCAAACAACAAATCCGGATATCCATGAATAACCAAGTTATGATTCTCATATCTAGACAAAGGAATCTCAAACACCATGTCAGTGAACAGAGCATCACTGTCCATCCACCAAATCCATTCAATTTCAGGATGAGACAACATCAATCTCCTGATCATTGGAAGCTTTGCCCAATACCCAGCAAGCTCCTTGTCCAAATGAGCCATGTTATACACAATCTCAATCCCATGAATCCTACAATAATCAATCTTGTTCTTCACCGATTTCAGTAGGTAATGATCACCAATTGGATTGTCACAAGGTTTTGGAGGCGAACCTGTTAAAAGCAAAACCTTAGCTTTACCATTGACAAAACTGGGGAAATCTGGGTTTTGCGTTAGCCAAAGTTTCCGTTTTTGATCCCAGTTAGTGATCTTGGGTCCGAGAGTGTACGTCATGTTGAGATCAAGATCCGAATCAGGTGGCTCGTTCGGGTCTGTAGGATCCGAATCGGATCGGATCTCAGCTAGAAGTCTGTTAGTTTCTTCGATTATGTTCTGGTTAACGACGTCGGCGTCAGAAGTTCCGAAGTTAACGCCGATTGTGCCACGTAAGACGAGAATGGTGACGAAGCCACAAAGGATTGTCATTTTTACGTTGTTGAACGTTTTCTGGATCTGTCTGCCACGTGGTGGTGGTCTCCTTCCTCCGCCACTCGCCATCGTCGTCGGAAGAACGCCGGCGGCGGCGGAGGAAGCGGTTGAGACGCGCTTCTGAGTCCTGAATCCGTCCTCCTTTGCCATTTATGATGTACCTCAATAAAACAGTTTGATCAAAGAGCCATTGTTGTTGTTGTTGTCTACTTGTTTTGTCTGTGAGGTAACGAAGAGAGGAAGAGGACAATTAACAACTTTAGAGAGATCAAGATTCAGACATTAATTGATTCGGATTCGATTCAATTTATTGCACCTTGCAAAACCATTAATAATGTTTTTAGTATCGTCTTTTTTATAAAAATAATATTTATGCAATCTTGTGTCTTAAGATATTAAAGAGGTTTCTATTTATGTTCCAGATCATAAAGCATTTCTCGTTAGTCGATTACTCGAGAATTCAAGATTGCATTTCTGCATTCTTGCACAGAGTATTAAACATAAAACCATTCTACAAATCTGGATTGCAATTATTTGAAACTTTTTTTATGTACAGAGTCTCAACTATATGAACAGTGTGTGTGTGTGTTTGTACATCTACTAAGCTCCATTTTCTTTACTTTTTTGGTATTAACAATTATGTATGATTTACGAGTGTATGACTAGTTTTTTGGCAACAAGGCGGATTCCAGCTTTCTGCTGATAATCATACGGTTCCAGAGACAAGAACGCATCAACAACACTTCCCGAGGTCAGCAACGATTCAAGCTCCTCACCACTCGGGTTGCTGAAGATTAGTTTCTGAGTAGCTCCAGAGGACTCTCTTTGGTGTATCTCTGTTGCATATCGAACTGCATCTCCATTTATCTCTGTCGCAATACTGCAGAAAACCCAAGAAACTAATCAGAAGAAACGTAAAGCAAGCAAGCAAGAAACCATAATTTTGTTTGAAGAACATGGAACCAGAAAGGGAGAGTATAGTTAGGTAACTTACTGTATCCTTGCGTTAGGGTAGTTTACAAAACCCTTCATTGGATTCACGACCGGGTTCCAGTCAGAAGCGGAACCCGAATCAACAGACAGTTTCTGCGCATTACTGTCACATGCTTCGAGTACACTGCACAGGCTTGGATTCAGATCAACCACAAAGTTTAACCTCCGTCTCCCGGTGTTATCCAGAAACTTCCCACTGACTCCAAACCGTACTTTCAGACAAGAACAGTAGAGCTGCAGAGGGGAATCACCGTGAAGTAGCTTTAGTTTCATCATTTGGCTTCCAGGATAAAACGGGACAAGAATCGCTTTGATGTTTGGAAGAGATACCACATCAGGAGCCAAGAATCCCTCATGGTCACTGGTATTCTCAGGGACAACAATATCAGAGGGGTGAGTTTGTTCTTCTTCCATGAGAATGTCTGATTGAAGGTGGTTGTCGGAAGCCATTTCATTCCTCAAGACGCTCATGTTGAACGGATCTGGCTGAGCTGCACTGTTCTCGCTAATAGATGGTAGCCTAACAGAGGTTGTTACAGTATTACCCTCGTGAGATGCATCAATACGTCTCCTTGAACTAGTAGTTCCAGGAGATACCGAATTATCTACATGTGCATAGAGGAGACTCGACTCCTGCGAATTGTAAAAGCATTGCCTCTGCTAAGTCCAGTTTTTAAAACACAGCTAGTAGGAGACAAAGATTCTCAATTTATAAAGTGAATTAAGAGAACATACCAAGAACAAGACAGTAGCACAATATTTGAGAACCTCAAGATTCATTCTAACATCATCCAGGCTCCTGAAGAGAAACAAAGAATTAGAGCACTCCAACTTTTGATAGTTTTGAGGTAAAGAATCAGATTCTTATGAGTTTTATATACCTATGCGTCTGATTTCCAAGTCCGAAATATCTAGCCAAAGTTGCCATCTGCAGAAACAAAGCACACAGGAATGATAAGACACCTAAAAAATCACCTTAAAACTCAATCAAAGAGATAAAATTCCATCATTTAACATTCTGATCTCGTGGAAAGTATTAACATTTTCGAAATGTTTCCTTGTACCTTCATATCACCAGCTCTTCTACCAAACTTCTGAGTTAGCAAACCCAATGAATCGATGGCGCCTTTTGGCTCAGGTGGTTGACGTCCAATCTCTGCAAATGCTTCTCTGATCCTTGGACAATCAAACCTCAATATGTTGTGAGTTGTGACCTGCCCAAATCCTCCCTGCAATAACAACATCCCCAACATCAAAACACAACATAACATAAAGCTTGAATCTTGGTCATATGACTCATATCTTTGGTTTCAGAGACGATTCAAACCAAGAACTCAAAATTCAGGAAAGTACAAAACTTTTATTTCTAATTTAAAATAGACACGAAACAGAGTTACAAAAAAACGCAAAAGGAGAAAGAGCTAGATTCTGGTTATCATGTGCCATAGATTGGCTTTCCTTCCCGGTGTAGCCGGTGTCTTTTGGTTTCCTTTCAATAATCTCATAGATTCTGAGTTGGTAATGGCGGTTTAGGTGATTCATCGCTTAAAATGATTATTATCTGACTCGATCTTTAGAGTTTGCGATTTGCAGGAATCAATCCAGATTTGCAATTAAGGTTGAAGAACAGAAAGAAGTTTTCGTTGCATATTTAGAATGCCTTTAGCTGCTAATTCTCTATTTGGAGTTTCGATTGGTTTAATACCGGTGAAATCCAGAAGAATCAAGTTTCGATTTAATCGACGATGATATCTCTCACCGGAATCGATGCTCGGACGGCGGAGGTTGATGACGAACGCTTTAGATTACTCATCCACCGTGTGGCTGTGTTGTTTCCAGCTATTGACACGTGGAGTTGGATGGAGCCACAATTTCGTTTCTTCTCCATTAAGCAATGTTAAAAGCTCATGTTGGGCTTAAAATGACCATGGAGAATGTCGTAGACTGTGTCAGCGATGTCGGCAAACAAAGGTGCCAAAACGACGTCGTCACGCTTGATGCCATTGCACCTGACGGACAAGGAAGATATGAGACTCAAATCTGCAGGTTGGACGAGAGTCGTGTAGCTTCGGAGCTCCGTAAGCTTCTTGGGGCAAACAAGGATTGACCCGAATTCTAGAATCGCGAAACGTTGACCTCTGTTTGGTACAGTCGTCTCAACGTCGAAGAAGGCAATCTCGGACCTATCCTCCGGATCCATTGAATAACGGGTCGGGTTCAATCGAGTGGTGAATGTGAAAAGTTTCGAAATTTGTTAGGAAAATTTGAAGGATCATCGAGGGATTATATGAAGATCAAAGTTACTTTATCCAGTTCTGCAGGCAAAGTGAAAAAACATCAATTACTTTAGGGTTTATCTTTCTGGGTAGGTTTTGTAAAGAGAGGGTTTTTTTGTTGTTCCTTGGACTTGTTGGATTCTCTATTCAGATTCATAATAATCAGAATTCACAGATTCCAATTGTTGATTCCTTGCTTCGTTTACATGTGTTTGTTAGTTGTACCGTGTACGTAACCTGGTGATCTTGTCCTTGTTCCGAGGTTGTCTCAGATTGATTTAAGTACGAAATTAGTTGTTTACGATACGTTAGCCCAAAAAGAAGAAGTAGAAACCACTACACGGGCTTTTATGTTCTTGACGGCCCAATTAGGGTTACTTTTTTTTTTCTTTTACAGCATTGTTTATGTTCTTGTCGGCCCAATTAGGGTTGCTTTAAGTTTAAACAGAAATGTGTGTTTTTTTTTTTGTTTGGTGCAAGAAAACAGAAATGTGTTTTAGATCCGAAGATTCAACTGGAAACAGAAAAAAAAAAAAAAAAAGAAGGTTCGTATGTTAGTTAGAACTACTAATAGCAGTTAATTAGATGCACTTTTGACCATTACAATATTCACTTACTAATGATTTAACGAAATGTTGCAATAATTCAGTTTTGTTAAAGAACACCATGTCGGCTTTTACATTTTTTATTTATTAATTTTGAAGAAATATTTTTATCATAAAGTAAGTTTTTTCTTCTATTTTCCAATTTATAATACTACTTTATAAAATCTCTACTTTGAGAAACATATAAAATATATCCACGTGTAAAGTTTTTGGCAGTATGTATAGTTTGGTTTGATCTTTATCAATGGATTTGCTTTTTAATGAAACCTATTTTAAAATATGAAAAGAATCTTAGGTCAATTTTTATTGAGTGCACATAAAAATTCCCGTTAAAAGGAAACGAAATACATAAAAGCATCTATATCACTTTTTCTATACGTCTATTTCATTTAAACCATTCATAAAACCTTCAATTACAACCCTTCCTTGACGACCTTCATTGAATTCGAAGAAGATAGCTTTTTGAGATAGCTCAACGTTTGATTCGTGATTGCAGTCATATGTGGCTACATGTATGTACTACTTGTAATTAATAGCTACGTTTCTTTTGGTTTTATTTGATCGTGAAGGAGTATTGTGTGTCTATTTTTGGTTCAAATACTCTGTTTCCAATTTGGGGTTTTTAATCGGCCGACCAAAATAAAAAACTTTCATTTTCACACAATTACAAAAATTAAATCATTCATGTGTAGCCACACACATAAAAACAAAAGCTCTCATAAGTCATATCTCTCTCTCTCTCTCACACACACAAATATCAGTGAACATTTTTTAAGATTCGTTTTTGTTAGCGGATCAATTTTGCCGGGTCACATATCCAATTTTGTTGCCACTCATTGCTCTTTACCTTTTGAGTTATTTTAGTGTTTGTGGACCTGAAACTATACATAAAGACTATATAGATAAAGCTTATTTTATTCAAATTTATTTTACAAAAGAGTTACAAAAATATAAATTCTCGCGAAAATCAAATACTAATCGATCCACGGGATGATTTGGTTATCCAATTCAAAGAAGCCCTTACTGAATGGTACCTAGCACAGTTTAACAACTTGATATTTACTTAAGAGAAAACCCTAATCATAATCTTGATCCGATTCATACATAAAATCATAAGAAGTTCTTCTCCTCGGAATCTTGATCCGATTCATACATAAAATTGGGATGGTCAAGTAGATAAGTTGACCAACTGGTTATGTCTCCAATTATATCGTCTTCATCAACGAATGTTGATGGGACATCGGACATAAGGAGATCTTGGTTGGACCCACCAGTGTTCTCGGCTTCGTCGTCATCGTTAATGAATTGCTCAAGAAACTGTGGAAAATCATACTCGGGGATGTTGATATCAATGCTCGTACTGAGATCTTCCTTGTTATCGATCATGTGTTCAGATGATTGAGAGAATGAGTCTGGGAGACATGAAGACGACGCAGAAGAACTCAAGGTTCCTTCTATGGAGGTTGATAAGATGTTTCCGATGGAAGAAGCTCTAGCTGCAACTTTGTTTAACAGCCTTGATGTAGAACTCGATCGTTCAAAACGTTTCTTGCACCTCAAGAAACCACTTTCTATCAGCGTCTCACCACTGCTAATTTTGTGTTTAACACTGTTAATAGTCGAAGAAAGGGGAAGAGATGCTGGAGTGGTAGAACTCCATTGTACCGAGTGCTCATCCGGATTGGATTTATCTTGGCAATCAAACTTTTTGGGCACGGCCGGACCAGGGTTAGAAGAATCTAGTGGCTTGTGTGTCACGGGATCAATGCCATTATCGATCAAACGTTTCTTGAGATGTGTGTTCCAATAGTTCTTGACCTCGTTATCCGTTCTTTTTGGCAAATGTCTTGCTATGACAGACCACCTAATAAATAAATAAAAACAGGGTACATATTAAAACATTGATGATCATGTCTTGATTAAACTGATATAAGCACAAACAAGCCTAGAGAAATGTTATACGTACTTATTGCCACGAGAGGCATGAAGCATGATGATAATCTGCTCTTCCTCATAGCTAAACTCTCCTCTCTTTATATCTGGTTTCAAATAGTTAGTCCACCGTAATCTACAACTCTTTCCACACCGTTTCAGCCCTAAACTCGAAGAAAGCATATAAAGATCAATTAGAGTATAATTAATACATATTAGAAACAGATTGTATAATCGTGACAAATTAATAAAAAAAATGTAAATTAATACATATTAGAGACACAAATGTGTAGTAATATGTACGTACCAGCTTTTTCTGGAATGTCACGCCAGCCTCCTTCACCGTGGTCGTGGATATAAGAGATGAGTTTCTTATCCTCTTCTATAGTCCATGCTCCTTTCTTCAATCCTTCTCCGATACAAAGTCTCTTTGACATTTTCTTAGTTATATGATCTAGAACAAACGTGCGTATAAGAAACTAAAATCAGAAATAGTACTTAATGTAGGATATATAGATTACGAATACGGTTATTATTTTTTTGGTCAAGGGTCTAAGTTTTTTTCCCTTTCTAATCAAGATCATTACAACGATAATAGATCAAATATAAAACTGAAGAATATTACCAAAAAAGAAGAAAAACAAAAGATCAAAGATCTATGAAGTCATTTGTACACGTACGATCTACCTCTTCATATAGTCTATATCTCGGTAAGTCTCATGCACTCGTGACAATACACTTTTAAATTAAAACCACGTAAACTAAATGAATAGACATGTTTAGCTTATCCGCTAGTATTGTGGTTTTTATAATAGTAGCAGTACTATATATTATTATTTGAAAAACAAAATATTGCTAATTACCATTTGTCGTTATGAGAGAAATTTATGATTTTTTTCATATTTAAAAATAAACTGTAAGTGATATTTATCAATATTTGAATTATTCAATATTTATCATATTTAAAATCGTCTATATCTCGGTAAGTCTCACGCATAGTAATATAATGGTATGCATGTTCACTTATTAACATGTATTTACAATTAGGACATGTATTTACAATTAGGTTTGACAATACAGTATACAAAAAAGGCCATTAATCAATCAAATACTGTTTTCATCTGTTATAATTGTAGTTCCATTATTTCAATTATTTTGCTGCCTGCAATATTCACCACCAATACAATACAAAAATAAAAATAAAATGGAAGAGTGATATTTTTCAAGTTCCTGCGGGAAGGAAATTAGGTATAGTAGCCAGACTCTTGGACGGTGCACGTTTTTGGGCTTCTTTGTCTGTCTTCCCATATATGTCACAGCCTTGTCCCTCTAGGCTCTATCCACTTTTTTTTATTGCGTCATTAATTCAGGTGTTATATATATAGAATATATATACAGATATCTGATCTAAAATATTTTCACATTTTAACATGTTATCGTATTGATATCTAAAAATAACCAATTATCGTCTAGAACAGAATGGTCTACTTATTCTAATTGGATAATCCAATCACCACACAAAAATGTGTGCAAAAACCTGTGGTTTTTTTCTTTCACATTCACTTCTTTCTTTATGCATTTTAATGCAACAACTATATATTAGTGATCCCTAAGCTTCTTAATGCATAGCATTTTCCTAATTTTCAAACATAGTTATTGTTACAACTGACAGGACAATTAACGAGTTTGTTAGAACTTTGCTTCTCCTATCGGTAATATATATGATTAACTATTTGTGGACCATATAATATACACAAACTCGGAACAACGCTTTTTTTTTCTCGTTTGTTTTATTTATTTATTGGTAAAAAGATAATCATGGTGCGGTCTGTCCAACGAACGATTACGAAAGATCACGAAACTTTATATGTAAATTTGAAACAATATCAATATACTATATGAATATTTACCACAAAATAAACTATTATGAATAAAGCTTTTAGTCTTCCAAGAAGTTGCATTTGATCGGAGGATATTTTTACTTCTGAATGCATAAACATCAGTGGTACATATGATACTATATATATTGCCACATCTCACTAAAATGTTGTCGTGTTATTTAATATATTCTGAGAAAATTTTTATATTTTGGCATGTTCGAATTGGACCAATGTTTTTTTAACCAGCCAACTTGATTTTCATCCCTGGCTGGACAATATAGGGCAGAGAACGTCGAAGTTGAGAGCCAAACTTTTTTCGCGCACACAAAATCCCGAAAATTAGTTCATGGAACAAGTAAAATTAACAGGCATTATTTGAATGCTACTGCGGGTACATGCGAAGAAATGATCAAAAAGTCTGTATGTGTCTGAGAATTGGTTTTGTTATCAAATTTGACAAAAAAATATTCGGGAAAAAGTTATATATATATATATTTTTGGCACCACATTTATTATAATTTTTCATCTAATGCTCGATAAATTGAAATGACTTGGTAGAAAAAAAAATTGTTTTTTTTTGTTTAAGATTTTACGTTAAAAATAGAAAATGACGACATTTTTAAAGAAAAAGAAAATAACATATTTTGTGAAAGCATAAATGAAAGTTTTAATCGACACTTAATAAGGAAAAAAAATATGATTGATATTGATATGTGACGAATTATTATAAGTTAACAAATAAGGAATGATTATAATAATTGAATTATTAAGAAATGGATGCTTTATTTAATATTTATTCTCAGAAGGACATCCACAAAGATCAAAATAGTTATATATAAACAACGAAAAAAAAAAAAAAAAAAAAACTCGTGCCTGCCGCGAATCAAATACTAATTGATCCACGGCATCCCATAAGGTTCTCTAACTAAGAGAATCCATTATTGAATATTAATATATAGTGACCCTATAGTGGACCTTTACTATAACTTGACAAATATCTAAGAGAACCATGACATTAACCGGTCAACTCTAGTCCGGTAACCAATCAACGGATCATATGAAGTTCTTGTCGTCGTAATCTTGGTTTGTGTCATAATTAAAATCGGAATGGTCAAGGAGATAATTTGACCAACTGGTAATGTTCTTCATCATGTCGTCTTCATCAACGGTTGTTGATGAGACATCAGACATAAGCAGATCTTGGTTATATCCTCCTCCAATATTGTCAGCTTCTTCGCCTTCATTGTTACTAAACTGCTCGAGAAACTGCGAGAAATCGTATTCGGAATTGTTGATGCTGATATCTTCTTTCATATGATCAATTATGTGTTCAGATGACTGACAGAATTGATCAAATTCTTCCATCTGAAATTGACTTGTTTCGGAAGAGTCATGATTGAGACATGCAGACAACGGTGTAGAGATGATCAAGGTTCCTTCGATGGAGGCTGCTAAGATATCTCCTATGGAAGAAGCCCTAGCTGCCACTTTGTTTAACAGTTTTGATGTAGAACTCGATCTCTTAAAACAACGTTTCTTGGAGATCAAGGAAGCATCATATTTCGGTGTCTCATCACTGCTGCTTATCTCCGGTGCATTGTAGGAGCTTGAAGGAGGAAGAGACTTTGGAGAGATGGAACCCGATTGCGATTGCTCTTCCGGGTTTGAATCATAGGCAAGTGGCTTGTGGGTCACGGGATCGATTCCCTCATCGATCAGGCGCTTTTTGAGATGCGTGTTCCAGTAGTTCTTAATCTCGTTATCTGTTCTTTTGGGCAAATGTCTCGCTATGACTGACCACCTTTTAAGTAAAGATAGATCAAAACTTTAATAATGTGTTAAATAATACACTTATTAATATAGATTTTGACAAGCTAGGATTTTACTTGTTGCCGCGAGAGGCGTGAAGCATGATGATAATCTGCTCCTCCTCGTAGCTAAACCCTCCTCTCTTGATATCAGGTTTCAAATAGTTAGCCCATCGCAATCTACAACTCTTTCCACATCGTTTTAGTCCTAAACACCATCATTTGTCATAAAAACACCAATTAGATATATTGAGTTTAATAAATAAGAAACGAATAATAAAATGGCAAGAACATCAAGAAGTGGTAGTATAATATATTCTACATAATAATTAAGCACATATATACCAGCTTTTTGGGGGATGTCACGCCAGCCTCCTTCACCGTGTTCATGAATGTAAGAGATGAGTTTCTTGTCTTCTTCGGCGGTCCATGCTCCTTTCTTCAGCCCTTCTCCCACACAACATGGCTTTCTTGACATTTTTATTTTTCTCTTTCGATATAAATTAATGTACATACAATCTTTAGATAATTAAGAAAATAAGAAAAGAAAGAAAAAAGAACCAAAAAAAACCAGAAATGTCGTCGAATTTAAGGCAAGAGACTGATAGATCTGTTGATAAGAACTCTGATGCATCTGAATATGAAACTGACTGAGAAACTGTGGTAGACCGTTGAATAATGATTGTGTGTTTTCATATTCAAAGTTTTTTAAAAGAGAGACAAGGGCAAGATATATCAAAGTTTTAAGACATTGCAAGCTACTACTCCCTCATGCATAATTATATATGTTTATGAACATATATATAAGCCCTATTGGCACTCGTGTCGATATACTTTTTGAAATAACTTAAATAAGTAATAAAAAATTTGAGGAAAAAAAAAAGTAATAAAAATTTTAAATGATAAGAATATCAACTCATCATCAAGAGTACATTGACCCAAAAAAAAAACAAAAAACTCATCAAGAGTGAGTGAGTGACCGGACCTTTTTGGAACTGTTCAAATGGTTTGAGAGAGACTTATGGAATATTTTCTGCCACTAGATAATAATCAACATCACGAATACAGGACAACTTCATAAGCTAAGTTATCATATAAGTTAATTTGATAAACGGTAATGAAAAAAAAATGTGGAAAAAAAAAGACACCTTCATAAGTTGCTATTACCAAACAATAGAAGAGTATCGACAAAATGTGGGATAAATTTTGTGTGTTATTTCATTAAATAGATTTATGAAATATATTTATTTGATATTTTCGTAAATAGATATATTATATTTAACATATTAAATAATAATATAGATATTAAAATAATAGATTACTCATATATATATATATATATATATGATGAATAGTTGATCAAATAGATGTCCAATAATTAAAAAAAAATTATATTCCCTAAAATAATTAAATGACATAATAAAAACCGTCAAAAATATTCAACTGATATATTATATGTTCACATAACAATAACGTATTACAAAAACAAGAAATTATACGTTGTGAAATAATTGAATGATATGAATAAAAGTGTCTAAAACATGTTTTTTTTATCTAGTGAATAAAATAGATTAAAAGTTTTTTTTATTTTTTTTTAACATCTAACGATTAAAAGTTATTTCATCTATTCATTATTATTGTATTTAGGGATTGTATTTATTGTCATCGAATGCAATTAATTCTATCAGTATATATATATATATATATCACGTGTTCTTTTTCAACATCGGTCCTATTTGTTTGCCACTTTGGGTGAAACACTAACGCTGTATTCAAAATTCAAATAAAGTCATTTTTCTCAACTATTAATGTTCGTTTCTTCTCATCTGATCACATATCAGTATATCACATTTCACATCTCGCAATCTCACTTGGCATTCTCTATATATTGTTTCTTTTATTTTAAAAATCTATTTAGTTACGCCTCTTCGAAATTTGCAGGGTTAACTCAAAATTTATACCAAACACCCACATAAACAAATCATAAAAATAGCTGCATGAGGTGGAAATATGCTGAAGAAACTTGAGATGCAACGACAGTAAAGTTGTAAGAAAACTATTTACAGACAAAATTAACGTAACATTATTTGTTCTATAAAAACCTCGTTTCCAAGATAGATTCAAGACAGTTGAACAAAAAAACATTTCTGGTGAGCGAAAGAAAAATCACATCAATTTTCGTATATAGTAAAATTTGATCTAATCCACATGGAAAATCTTTTGTCGACTCAATCAAACCATTCAGCCAGACTTGCAAACAGTTCTACTTTTACTTTCTTTGGTTAGGGTTTTACGTTTTTGAATAGTGAGAAGAAAACTCCAATAAAAAACAAAATAATTAAAAGTGCATTTTTCCACAATATACTTGATAAAAAATGCTACATGTTAGTAATTGCCCACAACCATCAAGTGTCCTACCATTGGTTTTAAAATTAATGAATTAATTATTACATACAAAATTTATATATCTTTCTAGTTACCCTCACTCTCTCTCGAATTACTCTGTCTCTCTCGTTCAGGAATTTTGTTCTAGTTTATTGTAATTTCACAAACAAACTGTTTAAATATTTTCTCAACGAAAACGAAAAGTATGACCATGTGGCGAAAATATTGTCATTAGTGGCCCCTACCGAATCGATCACTGATCCCTACTGAATTGATCAGTGATCGAACTTGTGGTGTTTCAAACCATTTTCTATTACCAACCACGTTGATTTAAAACTATTGCTGTGCATGGGCCAAACCTAAACGTCGTATTGCGATGCCACCAAAGTTCCAATCCATAATTTGGGAAACAATGCAATCGTTGAAAATGGTAAAACTATGTGGCATAAAACAATGCAATCGTTGATTCACATTCCACTTACTAAGAAAACACTGATAGTATTGTCCAGTGGATTAGTAATTGTTAGATATCAATTTAAAATAATAATTATACTACAACCAATAAGTATTACTTTTAATTACTTTTTTTGATAAAGTATTACTTTACATTTTTTTTAATCCACTGTTCTATCCAATCGATCCAAATGATCCCATATTAGGTTCCATTTGACAAAAAAACACTGACACTAGATATGTGTTAGATAATCAAATTTGCCTTGGTAAAAATAAGACAAACCTGAAAAAACAAAAGAGGAATTTTATTTTACTTTTCAAATGTGGGCATGAAAACTAGCTACTAAAGACTTGTCCCAAATCATGAGTTTCATTTATTATTAATGATCTTCTTTTATCACTGATTAACCATTACTAGTTAAAATTTTCAGAATCGCCCTAGAGTGCTTATTATACTTATATATCTACCGACATAACTAAATAGGTATAGCAATAATACTATATATCATTGATTTTTAGTATGTCTGTTGTATGTTGCTTAGCCTTAGGTTGTCACTTTCGTCATTATAAATGCAACTGAAAATACTATGGGATAATTGAGATTTGTGACAAGTAAAACACGAACGCAATGGAGAGACGAGGGGCCGCTCGCTTTGATCTTTGCATTATTAGATGTTACTTAAAATACGACAGCCACATGAATTATTATCATGCATATTAGTCTCATAAGACTTGTATCATCACTTACCAATATTGTTACATATTTTCGATCTAAAAGTTAAAAGGTTGTCAACAAAAGGATAAAATACAATTTTGATGGACTAGATCACGACTTATATGGGTTCAATTAAACGAATTTAAAGTTTTGTTGTTGTTTTACAATGATGTGCTTTATTTAGTTAACCAAAAGAATGAGTATTTATATATATACCAGTGAAACTCTTAAAGAATTAGACTTTGTTGGAAGAAAAATGAAAACTCGACCATGGAGGACCATTTTTCAGGATTGGCTCTGTGTTTAATCAGTTTGCTGATGATGAAACTAAAGGAGTGTCAGTCAAAACCATAATTGCAGCAGCCGGTGTGAGAGGTAATGTTGTGTGATGTGTGCAAGTGGTAGCGTCGGTACCTCTCTTATCTCATAGTTTGTAGATGGTGATACACTGATATGCCAAGCCATCATCATGGAGATCTTGATCATTAGGCTTGATATTGAGCCAGTTAGAGCACCTCCGTCAAAGGTACGAGGATGGAGTTCTGAAAAACATATATATATATAAATATTTATATTAATTTTTGTATTTAATTAGTTTTTGAGAACTTCATCCTCATACTATGGATGGAGATGCTCTTATGCAAATTATTCACTTAAATAAGAAGTTTTCCGTTATTGTGATACACAAGATCAGTAAACAAACTTTATTTCTTGGAATAAAAAAGGGCCTGATAGAGTGATTGATAGTGGACATTAGGACATGTAGACAATGAAATATATATATAAGAATGATGGACCTACATAAATAGACCCATAGAACAACGCAATAGCAATTTTTGATGCAGAAAACACACGAATATATATATTTAACTACAAAACAAAGTGAAGTAATAATGGAAGTGGGGCCTAAGGAGAGAGACAACAATGACAGGCCCATTGACACTCTCAAATGAAAGGTTCGTGTGGTTCTCCGACTCGTCTATTGCGGGAATGATTAAGAATTGATTCTCCTTTTTAGTATATATATTTTCTACAACCTTATATAGTATATTAGGATTAGGATATTTTCAGCTTATTGATGATGATGCTCAACTTCCCTCAAAGTTTCTCTCATATCAAATATCCCATAATTAATATTCTGATTTGAAAAAGAAAAAAAAAAGTAGTAGTGCATGGAAAATATTAAAGATAAGTTGACTACTTATATTATTGAAGTATTTTAGTTTAAAAAAAAAAACTTCTTTTAAAAGAATTCCATAGTTATATAAACGTTATTGAACTTTAGGATCATCTTTTAAGATGAATGATTGAATGGAAAATGATTTTTCGTAACGTTAAAATGATGAATTTTTTTTTAAAAACTATCGTAATTATTTGTAGACTCAGTCCATAACTTGTATAAACTTTTCAATATGTAATCGGTTTTCAAGCAAAAATGCAAACCCACAAACTAACGAAGGGGTTGAAACCGTGTGAACCCTAAATGGAAAGAGTTCAAACGTTACATACTCTGCAAAAACAACATCAAATACCATATTGAAAGGGGAAACGTGGGTTTTGATCGTGGATTGAAAGAGGGGGAGATGTTTCACCATTTTAGTTTTTCTGGATTCAAAGGGGCCCATATATTTTCTGGGCCTATGTCAAATTCCGTTTCAGTGATTACCTTACGGCCCATTTTAGTGATTATCGAAAAATCAAGTCACGTGGTTATGATAATTAAAATTTAGAAGTCAAGATGCAGCAAAAATCATATATTCCTTTAAAATTGTTATATACTACTCCCTCCGTCCCACAAAGATAAATTTTTTAGAAATTTCACATTCTTTAAGAAATAATGTCTAATGACAATTTTCACCTTTTAACTTTTTAACACATTTTAAAAAGTATATTATTTATTATTGTTTAATAAGGATAAAATAGATAAACTGTTTTAAATTTGACATTGGAAACACAAAACTTCTATCGTTGTGGGACAAAATTTTTTTCTAAAAAATCCATCTTTGTGGGACGGAGGGAGTATATGGTTACTATATTTCAATGCATTACATTTAGTACTTAGTAGTCTATTTTCATCAACTCACCGTATACACTTCCCAAGACAACATTTTATATATATACTAAAACATTTTGAATAGACAAAAATTTAACAGTAATTAAACATCTGAAGACCTTTTCATTTTAGTATATTATTTGATTTTTTTTTATAAAATCATCAAAAATTCGATAAGAAGGTTTCCAAAAATGTATTTTTAGAAAATAAAAATAGTATTTTTTTCAAATGTTGAAGTTTCTACGAAACTTAAAATTTGACTGGACAAAAGGATTTATAAGTTTTTTTGGGTTTGTAAATTCGTTTAAACCTCAGGCACACATAAAATTGCCCAATTATTAAACAAGAATAGTGAAGGACAAATAATTGTCTGTTTTTAAGTGGGAAATTAAACAAACCGGTAAGAAAAAGTTGAAATAAAGTGGCGAGTAAATACAACGAATACGACACGTGGGAATACGTATCCATGTGAAATCCGTAATTAACTGAGGTGAGGTTTCCAATACTGAAATTTATACTAATCTGAAATTAGCAAAAATACAAAATTTAATACGAGTATTTTGGTGTGTTGGGAATCTAATTGTAAAAGGTAACTAAAGTTATCAACTTTTGTTTTGTTATTATCCAAAACTTCAAAATGGGCATATTTTTTTCAACGTCTATTCCATTCATCAATTCATACAAATTATGGATAATTATCCTATTTTTTAAAAAAATCATACATATTAAAAATTGATTATAAATACATTAATTTTTGTGTTTAACAATTTTCTATAACTCTAACCCATTAGTATTTTTTTTTTTTTTTCCAATTACAATTCATCATCGTCGTGTCTTATCGCCAGTTACATATGTGTAGAAACGATATGGTTCATTATGCATTGGCTTGGTTCCTAATACTTATATGATTTGTTGGAGACTAATCTTTATCGTTATGACGATGTGGAAAACTATTTATTTGGACAGTCTCTTTCAACTTCCAACTATGATAAATTATTTTTAGATAGCTGAAATTATCCCCATCCTTCATTAGTTGAAATGTAAGTGAGTTTGTGTTTCATTTTAAATCAAACACAATATATTATTAATTGAATCCTATATTTGCAAATATTAAAAAAAATATTACGAACTAAATTGCTTCATTTTTATCCTCTCCAATATTAACTTTAGTTGAATATAATAATATGAAACACTAATAGTGGAAGTAGTGATAATAATCTATACAAGCTTAGCACACCACGCTAAAAGGATAAAATTTTGCAAAGATTTCTTACTTGTGACCTAAATTAATGGACTTTTCAGGTTCTGAATCTCCAGTAGTTCCAGAAAGGTTCAAGATCAACCGGACCGGAAGAGGAAGATGGAACTTCTTGATGATCAAATCGTTTCCTCCCAAATTCAAAAACCGATGAATTATCGGTATTAGAAACTCCGGTTTCCTGCGAGATGCTCAATGTTTTGAAGTTCTGCCTTCTGTTGTTTTCCATCATCGCTTGTAAAACTGATTGGTCTTGCGTAAGAACCGGATTGGAACTCTGTAGATTCTCCGAAATGTTGAGAGATTGAGGTTGGTAGAGTGGAATCATCTGGAGAAAATCTGGTTGGACCGAGCTAAGGGAAGGGTTGCTGAAGCAATTGAGTATTGTTCCTCTAGTTTCAGCTTGGTTGGAGAAGCAGGGCACGTAAACTGGTTCAGTCTTGGTTTTGTCATTGTATGGTGAAGAATCGGTTAAAGGTGGTAAACTGGACCCGGTTCCATAAGAACCGATTCTGATTAAGGTCGAAATCGGGATCTTCTTACCACCAGCAGTTTTATGAAATACCCTGCATATCACCCATTCATTCTGCAAAATGGAACCAAAACCCCAAAAACTATCAAACAAATGGAAAAACAAAACAAAACAAAAACAGAGCAAAAACAGAGTTGTAAAACAGAGCAAGTAACAGAGCAAAGCTTTGATTTTATGTTATTTTTTTCTTACCTTAGCGGTTTTAGGCAAGTTGTGAGCTGAGAGTTTCCCATCTAGCCTATACTCATGCATCACCCAATTTGTTTTCTGGCCTTTAGGAGCTCTTCCTCTATAGAAAACAAGTGTTTTCTTCATACCCACAAGTGATTTGCCTCGGAAGATCTCCTTATCTTTCCCTGTCGCCTTCCAATAACCGGCTTGAGTTGCTCGGTTAGTCCTCAGACCGGTTGGATACTTTCGATCCCTCACACAGAAAAAATACCATTCTTTCTCACCCATTTTTGCTTTATCTGTTTAACAAAAACAAAAAACAGAACTCATTAGATTACAAAACCTTGTTTGAATTTAGACATGTGATGATGTTTTGTTTGAAACCTACATGGCAACTCCCATGGCTCAGCTTTGTTCAAATCAACCTCACCAATAGCTTTAGCCGAGAAACCGACGTCGAGAACCTTCTTGTGGAGATAGTGGGTTATGAGTTCTTCGTCTGTTGGATGAAACCTAAAACCAGGAGGCAAATCCATCTGCTCATCATCTTCCTTGTGAAACACACCGAAAGTTTCCATTTTCTTTACAAACCTTAAACCCTAAAAGAAAAGCAAAAACCTGATTCCGGAACAAGATCAAACCCTTATTTGATCCAAAACATATGTTTCTTAAATAGTTTTTCTTTGAATAGATCGAGAAAGATTTGATCTTGAATGTTTTCAAGAGATAGGTTCAGGGAATATATATAGAGAGAGAGATAGAGAGAGTAAAGGTGAAAGAGAAGTTAGGAAGAGAGATTAAGGAGACGCAGAGGAACTTAAAAAGGAACTAGAAAGGTGGAATTTTTGACGAAAATGATCGTTTTTCATCATACAAATTTTATTCATGTATTAAATTAAAAATATATATTCTGTGAGAGGAGAAAAGATACGTAGTGTGTAACGCAACTTGGCTAGTTTGTTTTGCACTTTCCCTTTTTAAAAAGAAAGAAACCTTTTTTCTGCTATTTTTATTGAAAAATAATTGTAATTAAAAACAAATTAATAAAACTTTATTTGAAAAAAAAAATAGAAATAGAGTTGCCTTAATTTTGGTTCTTTGAATCTAACGCGGTGAATAGTTATTACTCCCTCCGTATTTTAATAAGTGTCGTTTTAGAATTTTTACTTTTTTGAATTGGATGTCGTTTTCAAATTTCTATGCAAAATTTATTACTTTTTAATGTTTTATAACATCATAAAACATTAAAAAGTAATAAATTTTGCATAGAATTTTGAAAACGACATCTAATTTTTAAAAAAAGAAAATCCTAAAACGACATTTATTAAAATACGGAGGGAGTACTAATTAACGTTATAATGAAAATACAGCGAATTACCCAAATATATTTCGTTCGTTAAGCTATACAATGAATGAATAAGGGCCAAGAAATGTTTTATGATTTCAGCGAGTTATTAAAATTGCCGTTTTCGGTATTAGTCAAATTCATTTATATTTAAAACTTAAATAAAGAAGTATGTGCATGTCATTACAAGTAATTAAATGTTAAAATTCTGGTAACTCGACACAAATACTCTATTTATTAATAATATTAGTAGTATTTAGGTTTTTTGTCAACTTATAATAGTAGTATTAATTAATTAGTTTTAAATATAACTATAGTTAATACTATTAGGTCATCTGCATTGGCAGATCAGGGGGGTGATCTTAGCTTTTTTTTAATCCAAAATAATGGCTTGTTGGGCTTAAGATCAGCCAGCCCGCTCTCATCCTGGATCTGTTCTTCAAGGAGTTGCGGGGTGACGTGGCGAGTTTCTATTGGGCGGAAGAATTGGGAAAGGAAATACGGTTTGCGACGTGGATCTCCGACGGAATGCGATCTTGGCCTTTTTCCCGGCGGTTTGAGAGGTTTCTCCGGTCTCGGGTTAAGGACGTCTGTAGATCGGAGTGGTGTCTTCTCGCGGCTCGACCTCTCGGGAGTCTCGCTGTGGTTGCTGCGGAAGTCCGGAGGAGATCGGTGGGTTTTTGCTGCGTGTCTCGGCGATCCATTTTTGGATCTGATGGCTTTTCTTCGGTTGCAGATTACGGGTCCAATTCGGGTGGATTACCGCCGACTTGCAGAAGAATTTCATGGCGAATTTGATGAGAAATTGGTTGGCTCCGGGAGGAGCACCGTGCATAGAAGCGAAACTTTTTAACATGTTCTTAAACATGTTCTCCCACTAATCAAACTTTTTAACAAAAGATCTTAACTACTGATCTTACATTTTTTTAACAATGTTTTTACTCTAAGAACACCCAAAAGAGATCCCCCATTGAGTAGTGTCAGGAAGGCATGAATATGTTTGACAAATGGTGTTTCTGCCGTTACTCTTATTGGTTCTTTAATTTCGTTTCCTTATTTGTCAAAATGTGTTATTTTACTCTTAGAAAAATGTCTAATTTTTTTAGCATAGGATAGAATCATATAGAAGAAGAATTCTCACCACGATGAGATCTTATAATCATTTCATTTATTGATTCTAAAACTACAATTTAGTTAACATTCTGATTATTTTTATATAAAAATTAAATACTTTAAATAGTTCGTTTGTTGGGTAATATTATAGGTGATACTTATTCAAAAATTAAATAATCTAAAACAAAATCTAATTATTAGTAAATCTACCAACAATATTACTCATCCACGTAAAAAAAAAAAAGAAAGAGCTCTTGACTAATCTACATCCATTAACGGCATTTACAAACTGTGATTTAAATCAATATTTGAACTCAAACTACATGTATCTATATGTTTAATTACATATACACATAGCTACATAAAAGCCATATTGGTGTCTATAATTCACCTATTGCTATATGGTTACATTACATATACACATAGCTACACTAAAGCCAGCGGCCATATATTTGTTATGTATAATTTACCTATTCAAAGGTATATTAGTGACCTAGAATATACCCTCAAATAAAAAAAAAGAATATTTTTATTTAATTAACCAGATCTTGAGGTGCCAAATGAGAATGCAAATGCAGACTCGGCGAAAATACAAACACTTATCTATCTAGACGTAGTAAAAAAAGGGAAAAATATACGTTTAGGATTAACTTTCAATGTTATTTTACTATAAAATAGTTTACCCCGTTAAAGTAAGTACCTATCGTAATAGACATCCCTTTTTCTATATTAGTGATATTACCTATGATCTTATAGAAAAGCTCTAATATCAATCTTCTTCCAATTTCAAAAGCCAGCAGTAATGACAAATTTGTTTGTCCAAATAGTGGATTAGAGGATAATATTGTAATGAATAAAATCGTGGGGTGAGCAAAGAACTGATCCAATAAGATTTGGTCGTCTAATAAATTAAAATTCTACTTATAGAAAATGTTGCTAATTAGGTTAGTAAGAAAGCGACTAATATTTCTATTTGAGGAAATAGATCTAATAAGACAAGACCACGTGTCTGGCTGTTTCTCGAGCAATCCCAAAGACTTTCAGTCATTAGCATAGTCAACTTGTCCACATCTGCCATGTCATGCCGAGTTTTTTAATCACACATAAAAAAATTAGGTGCCAGCTATTAACCAATTATAAATAACCACGTGTCAAGATGAAAGCTAACTGTACGTAATTAACTTATTATCAATGGAGCGATAGTTGACCTCGTTGGCTAAGTACTGGTTTCGAGTTACGTGGTTGTTCCTTAGTGGCTATTAGAGTCAATTAAGAACGTAATCTTTTTTTGGTGCATTTCTTCGAACACAGAAAAAATGGCCGTACAGTACGTGTGATGTGAACGAGATGGCAAATGGAGGAAGAAAAAGGGAAAAACTATACAACGATGTACGATTAGCCAAATTCCTTTACGCATCTTGTGCAATGTTGAAAAAAACACACACATAAGAGTGTAATAAAGAAAAATGATTCTTTGAGAGTTAAATGGAAGACCTAAATTCAACTCTTATTGATCATTGAATGAGTGTTAACTGTTAAGTACTATATATAAAAGATATTGTTCTTATCTTAGCAATCGAGATTAATTCAATTGGTTGGATAAAAATATTAACTTGTTTTACCACATCGAATTCAAAAATGTTTTACCAGATCAAAAATTGTTTTCTCTAAAAAAAAAAATGCGGAAAAGAACATTATTACTATATATATATGTGCGTGTCACTTTTTTTTCTTAACCTAGTTTTATTGTGTAGACCTTTTCCAATTTTAATAAAAAGAATCTAACTTAGGCTAGTAGCCTAGTAAAATGCTTCTTGCTAACATGTGGATCTCCGAATTATGACCGGCCATAATAAAAACTAAAGAAGACAAGAAATTGCAGTTGGTTAACTTTTTCTTAAAAGGAAACTTGCAACCCTTTATTACAAATGTTTAATTAATCAAATACTCATGACAAAAAAATATATTAAAAAACAATATTGTCTGGTATATCACATGCACAAATTGCAAATAGCAACACAAAGAATTATTTGAAAACTCCATATTATTGATTTTATAATATAAAAACTCCACATTATTATTACTACCAAAAATGAAAATCACATAGGATGGAACAAAGCCGGACCATGTGAGATTCTTGGTGTAAAACGAAAAAAGAAAGAAAGAAAGATATATAAATGTATATATGGATGAACCTAAACCACTTAAGAAAACCTAATTTAAGTTGTAACACTTTTTTATTGTTTACTGGCCTAATTAGGCAATATTGTATGTAACCGGACCTCACATGTACACTTTTCTCAATTGGGCAACACACACACATATACTGTATAATATATATTTCACTAATTAAATGATTTAAATCTATAAGGATTTAAGGATTAATATTATTAATGTTTAGTATATAGTACAAGTGATTTTAGGAAAATAACTCCTTAACATGCCATGCATAATCTATTTCTAATAAGAAAAAGGTTTGAAAATACTTTTATAATATTTGTGATACTTCAACATTTCCAATAACGATGATATTTTATCGAAGCTGTACTTATTGATTACTATATAATATAAGAATCAAAAGGGGATGTAGCTCAGATGGTAGAGCGCTCGCTTAGCATGCGAGAGGTACGGGGATCGATACCCCGCATCTCCATTTTTTCTCTCACCACTCAATCTATTTTTTTTTGGGGTCAAGTCTCTTCTTATCAATCTTTATGAATTATGATCTCTGTTCGAAGGGAAAGTAAGGTAAAATAGTGATCCCGTAGCTATGAATCTCTGAATACAAACAGAGAATTGGATAAAAAGTAGAATTTACAGTAATTGCTACATAGTTCAACGAGAAGAAACAAAGTAAGAGAACCTAAGAAACTTTTAAAAAAACAACATTGAAGAGAGAGTTGCAAAGTGTTATGTAGTAAACTTTTCATGTTTTCTTGAAAAACTTTCCGCCTTTCCCCCCAATTCCGGTCCCTGTAAGGCTTGAAGAGAGATGGGATCTGGTGTCTGGTCTCCACTGCAATTCTACTAAGGCTGAGAACAGAGCTGACAGCGAAGGAGAGACTTCTGAATCTTTTATGTTCTTGCATGAAACCACTTTCAGATGTTCGAGCTCGTGCCAATGTAGAATTACGGATTCTAGACCTGATGTTGTTAGCAATGAGCATCCTTCTAGATACAGAAGCTTCACTCTCCTGTAAACCCAACGAACAAAGAAATTGGCTAAAGGTTTCAAACTTTGTTAAGTTAGATCTAATAGGTTTACTACTACTACTAGCAGTAATGAAATTGAATAAAGGCTCCAACTTTAAAGATCACATTGTTCCTAGAGATTCATATAGTGCTACAAAACCCCAATGCAGTTCAGTTAACCATTATCAAACATTCAAACCTCAAAAGCAGAAAAGAAGGAGATAAAGTTTTTAGTACCCGAAAGCCATTGCCAAGCTGAATATATCATTATCCAATCCCCAACAATCTTGGAAAACAATCTCTCTCGCTGCTTCACACATCTTAAACAAAGCCTTTACCGTATTCTTATCTCTTAATTGACACTTCTCCAAGTGTAATCGCTCGAGAGCAGGACAACAACAACTCAAGCACTCATCTGGATCATTATCAATCTTTTTACAAGACACGAGTTTCAGCGTCTTGAGATTCTCACAATATCGAAGACCTCCAAGCCAACCCGACTCCATCTTATGATCACAAACAGTGAGTTCCTCAAGCATTTGACAACATTCGCCTATCTCTTTAATCCCATCAAATCCTCCCTCGCATCCAACGAGCTCAAGCTTCACCAGTCTCTTGCACCCTTGAGCCAAAATCATCAAACCGATATCCGAAACCAAAGAGTTATACAAACCATCGACATTCCCAACCAATCTCAAGATCTGCAGATTCTCAAACGCACCAATGCCAAGCAAAACACTATCAGAACACTTGTGCAATTCGAGTTCTTGCAACCTGGAACACTCTTCAGCTACATTCAACAACCCTAATTCACTAGTATTGGTCACTACGAGTTTCCGGAGATTAGAGCAACCACCAGTAAGAGCTTTTAACCCTCTCTCAACTATATCAACAGACAACAAATTCTCCTCAAAGAAACTCCAACTCTGATAAGACCCTACACCAACAGTAAACGAAACTATCCTGTGGTTAACTAAAATACCTGAATTTGGCGGCGAAATTAAACACCCACTGACCAAATCAACAGTATCCAGATTGGGAAACCTCGAAATCAGCCGACCAGACGCTAGAAATTCCCAATCCGAAACCTTTAAAGACCGAACAAGACGACCATGGAGTTTAAACCATCTCTTACAAACCAAAGAGAGATTTTTCCGTTGAGATTTAGGGATTTTCTCAATGACTCTGATGAGAATGAGGTCAGGTAAGAGAAGCGTAAAATCTGGAAGTAGGGTTTTGGATTTGGAGATAGGAGGAGTCAAAGACTGAAACTTTGCGGCTAAATCAAGCGGTGAAGAAGACAATAACTGGTGATGGTTAACCCAAAGTTCCGACCAGCTCGCTCGTCGCTTCTTCAATGGCGAAACTGGACTACTCTCCTTCTTCCCCGTATTATAAGACATACTACTTTCACATTCTCCGAAGCAACGTTCTTCAAGGGTTTCTCTCGGAGAAAAGGTTTGGTTTGGTTTTGATTTTCCCGAGAAAAAGCTTTAACGGATTTCTGCAATAGAAATGGAAAGTTTGAAGCTTTGAGGAACTTACAATCACAGAGAAGTTTTTTTTTTTTTTTTAGGGATTTTAGATTTTGTAAAAGAAAATAAAAATGATACTTTTGTTGTCTCTCTCTAAGAAGACGAAAGATTCGGTCTCTTTTTGTTAGCTTTCGTTATGGAAACTGTTTAGATTTCTAGGAATAATGTACAAACGGTCTCAAATGCACAGTGAAGAAAGAAATATTTAAACCTGTCACTCTCAATCTTTTCATCCAAAATCTGAAGCCACTAGATCCTAATCATTATATCTATCTGTTGAGATTATTGACAAAAGAGAAACTTCCAAAAAGTAGGATTAGAAGAAACATAAGAAAGGATTTACTCATATTCCCATTACAATTAAGTTATTGAGAATTTACAAAAAAAAAGAGAGGTTCTTTGGCTCAAGAACGAGGAGCAGCCATTTGTTGCTTCTTTATCTTCTCGTGTGACTTTACCATACTGTGTAATTTGCAAAGAGAGATTTACAATGTTACTAAACTGTTCCTATGCTTTAACGAAACAGTGTGTTTCTTCACTAAGTGGATGGAAGTTACCTTATATCATGAGGAGTGATGAACATCCACTGTGAACCTTGTTCCAATGCGAAATCAACCAATGTGTCTAAGCTGATTTTCCTGCTAACTGCGTCCTGAAGTTGCAGAAACCAAATCATTAACACTTTTATTTATCTTAAGGTGTTTGAATTGTGTTTTAGTAGCTCCAAGCATGACAAAAAATGTAAATGAGAGGGAGTGGTGTATATTAAACACATTAATGTAAACTGAGATCGATTTGTCAATGTAATGTAAGAAAGAGAATTCCCAAAAGAAGATTACCATAAACACATCAAACTCGTCCATTGCTCGAATTGGGGCTTCAGTCATATTGTGAAGAGCTAATGCGAAACATAAAGTCGAGAAAGATCGTTCCCCACCTGGAATTTATGACAAGAGTAGGATTGATCAAACTTTGAAGCTGGCTAAAAATGGAATAGCTGATAATTTGAACAAATAAGGTTATACTCTCAATGGAGAATTAGCTTCCAGAGATTCAAATGTAGGACAACATAGAGGGCAATAGTAAACAAAGGTCAAAATAATTTTAGATTCTTCGATTTAAGTATCATCTTCAAGGGCTTAGATACTTAATCTAATCCAGTGAACCTTGTTCTAACGTTTCTCGAATGAGTGATTTTATGTGCTATATAATTCATTCATATTCAAATGTAGAGTAGAGAAGAAGCACCTGAAAGCCCTCTAGTATCTCGAACAGCACTGTTTGTTGCATCTTGAGGCATCTTAACCTGTCGAATAGAAAAGTGCAACCAACCAGTTAATTAATGTAATAATATGGCACATTACATGCAAAATGTAGAAATATGGCACCAGTTACCTCTATGGACAAAGTTTTGTCTTCATAAGAGACTTTGATATTTCCACTGATACCTTTCTTTCCTAAATGAGAGTTGAATCTGCTTTGATGATCACCAAATCAAGGAAAATAGCATATGAAAATCACATAACTAAAGAGAGAACTAGAAGTTATCCAATGGTATTGGCAATAATGGGCAAAACAATTCGTACTGCCAAGTTAATTGGGGCTTCAGAAGATCTTTATTTCTTTGGAGCTTGTTCCACCGTGAGTCTACTGCATCTTTGCAGACCTGATTACACAGTAATGCACACAATTAATGAATTAGCATATATATCGGAATTTTGGATAAGGAAAAATATGTCTATAAACAATTGCAAGATCTGTAAACCTTGAGTGTTTCTCGAAAGCTTTTGTAAGTTTTGCGTTTCTTCCCAATCTTCTGTTCTTTTTCCTCGTGCATATTCCTGAGGTCATCGATTGATTCAGAATACCTGTATCAACAAAAAGCATGCAACCTTAACAGGCATTCAAGGGGTTATTTCAGTATGTAGGAACAATCACAAGGCACAGAAACTTAAGCACTTCTCATTCTCTCGCTTCAGCCTATGATTTATTTTGTTAATCTGAGCACTAAGCTGCAAAGGAGTGGCCCCATCCCAAGGACCCAAAGCTCTTATCTCACTCTCAGGACAAATTATGGAGGCCTTCTCGTTACTTTCCTGAAAATTCAGCAGTTGAACAAAGTATTTAGAAAAATGAATATGAATCCAAGAGGAATAATTAACTTGCATACAAAAATATAATCTACGAAACCGCATTGTTCATTTTGATATTTCTGTCCCTTTTCGTTTATATTACCAACGGAATTTCATAATTGCTTATTCTTACCTGCCGCTTCGTTTTAAGTTCCTCATATTTAGCCTCAGCCTGTATAATCTCGGGTAAGACCTTGTCCTTCATTATATCCTCATAATGGTTCTTCTCCTGAAACAGAATCACAATTCAGTTCTAAGTGCAAACAAGTAAAGAACCAAACTCTTAAAGAAGGTGCACCGTTTCTGCGGATTGGAGTTCTTCTTCTTTCTCCTTTAGCTCATCCTCAGCTTTCTCAAGGGCTTCAATTTCACCCTTGGCTAACTCTGCAGGTACGTTTTAGATCAAATGAATGTAGCTAGTTTGAACTATATTAAAGCAAATTGGTCTGTAAATCAAGATGACTAATCTTTCATGCTTTTTACACAAATACGAGAAAAATAAATGTATCGCCAACATACCATATAATTTTTCATATGAAGCTTTAAGTTCAATAGCCTTTAGTTCAGCTTCCTTCAAGGAGCCTTGAAGTTTTTCTAGCAAGGATTCTTTCTCCTCTATCTCTTCTTGGAATTTCTGAGAGATAAAAAGAGTGCAATCAAGAATGACGCTATGGGAAATATTGACAGTCAAACAGTTTCAACCAATATCACTAACCATGATATCTAGATTAAGCTCATTAACACTTGAAGTAGGTGATGCTTTGGTTTCAGAAGCGACTGAATTTTTCAGATCCTGCATTTCAAGTTCCTTCCTTGTCAAATCTTTCTCTAGTTGGGTGCGTTGCTTCTGTACATAGACCAAAAAAATATGCAAAATGGTTAATAATCCAAACAAGCTTTAAGCTTTGCGGAAACAAACGTAATGTATCAGTTAAGACAGTTAAAAGTTGGGCACATTAATTCGACATGACCAGTGCATTAAACAATGGATACAGCAAAAATGTTACACTACCTTCAGTCTACGCATTGTTGATTCAAGACCCTCGAGATTCATTTCTGCCTCCCTCTTGTGTCCCCTGCATTCCTGTATCTCACTTTGTTCTTTTGAGGCCTCTATTTCAAGATCCTTGATTTGGTCATCAAAAGAAGCACACAATCGAGTAGGTCTCCGGGAATGGGGAGGAAGGGTTGTCTGAACAGGCCCACGGGAAAACCTAAGCAAAGAATAGGTGGATTACTGTTATGTTGACGCAGATCTTCCACTAATCAAGTCAATAACTCAGTAAAATATTCAGAAGTGGGCTCTAGTGATCTGAACTCAAACCTCTTCCTTGGTAAAATCATTATCTCATTTTACACATCTGTAAACACCTGATATTTTATGTCCCTCCCCTTATAATTTGAACTAAAGTATTTGTTCTTGCCAATCTAACTGGCAACTTACATTCGGTATCCATCTATAGTGAAAACATCATTCAGATGTGAAAGCCTTCTCTCAAAGGCAATGGTCTTGCCAACTTCATAATTCTCTGCAAGCACTCGCCTCTCTACACCACTCTGGAAATATCCAGAAACCAAAGCTAAAATGAATATCACTATATAGTTAGTAATATACTAATACAGAGAAAATCTGAAAGTAAGATTACCACATCCACCAAGACGTTAAGAACAGTAGTATTCTCTGAGTGCAAGACAGAGAGAATAGTTGGGTGTTCTGTTTGAGGAATCATGTGCCTTGGTATAGTTAACCTGCATAAACAATAATCATGGCGTTTGCAATATAACTAAATCTATCCATTCATCAAAGCAGAACATAAACAGATATATTGGAAAATCTTTTTCAGATTTGAACCTTGGTCTTGAAAAGTCATAGATGATAATCTTTAGATTGTTATAATTTGCTTCCTTTCCACAGTCTCGCAAAGTAACTAAATCTTTGTGATCGTTCACAATAAAGGCATTCAGGAGGTTGCCTAGAGCTTGTTCAACTGCAGAAGCCCATCTATTACCATTGACTAATGTCTGTAGAACACCACACGATTAGAAGAATTCACACTAAAACAGCAGAGATTGTTGTCGTAACACTTGAAAATGTTAGCTTTTCTTTTCACCATGCAGGGTCCATATGAGAAATCATGTTAACTAACTCGATTGAATTTCTTAGTGCACAAATGTGCAGAAGGGAAAAATAGAAACTTACCACATGAGCACCAATGGGACCAATCGGTGGCATTTTAAACCTGCGGTGATGTCTCTCAATCGCTCGCAAAAGATTAATGACCCTGTCCCCTCCAAATGCGGTAACCTAGCAAGAGAAGTTTGAAATTATCCAACTAATCCTCAAGATTATCATTCTCCAAAAGATTAGAAATAAAATATAGGGCCTGCTAGTCCATCCATGTAATTGGATAAGCACCTTATTTGTTTGATGTTTCTTCAGATCATTGATGTGTGCGTTTATGTTTCTTTGCTTCTTTTCATGGTCTCTAATCTAGAAGCCAAAGGGCCAAAAACAAGCTGAATGTAAATATATTTAAAGACTACAAGAAAAAGGTGATAATTGTACTATTTAAAACAACACAAACATGATACAGGGTAAACTCTAAGACTAAAATTGATGAGAAAAACTACAAGCATCATCATACCATATGCTCTATCTGTTCCTTCTCCTTCCCTCCGGCTGATGCTTTTTCTATTACCATGTTCTCCTCCTCTTTCAAACTAAAAGTGTAAAATATTTAATCCATGGTTAGCCAAATAAAAGAAGAAAATAGTGAAAAAGGATAGCTCAAGAGAAGAAATAGAAAAACATAATGACCTTGAAACCAATGATTCAGCCTTCTCAACCTCTAGTGTCAATTGCTTCAGTTTTTCTTCGATTTCAGATTGTTCAACCTGCATCACGATTAGCCTGTAAAGAGTATATACACCTCTACACACTCACGCACACACAGTAAACTACGCCTCAATCACCATACCAAACACTGAGCATAAAACTGAAAGGATCTTAGTTTACAAAAAAGGGGACCTGTGTGCTTCTTATAGTCATTTCATTAATATCTCCAATCTGTCGTTCAAGCCTCCTAACCCGATCCTTAATCTTCTGAATGTTATTGCACTTATGATGGTATTCTTCTTCTAAAGCAATCTTCTCTCTAGCAGCCTGTTTTAAATTGTATGTCAAGTACACACAGATGCAAAAGTATCAAAACCAAACGCAGTTTTAAAGGCACACAAGGAGATATTCTATTAACGAGGTCAAGAGCAGTGCCTATCGGAGTCATGAAATCCAAATATTTTAATAACAAAAATTTATTTGATAAATCCAATCCTTTCATTTGCTCCTTTTTCTTAACTGCTGAATAAGAAAATATAGTTTGTGTATAAGAGGAAAGATACATTATCAAATTGCATACTCAAGGGTAATCGCGTCAACTGGGACCCTCTTTTAAAAGCTAATTTTTAACATACCTTCTTCATTGATTGCCGCAAACACTCTAGCTCTCTTTTCATCGCAGTTGATTCATCTATCAGGCAGGCAACTTCAGCTTTCTTCTCGGTCAAGCTTACCCTTAAAGATTCCACCTCACCCTACATTAAAGGTCAGTTATAATCAACTTCAAGATGAAGGATTCAAGCGATATGCTAAGGTATGATTGATGCCACAATCGAGTATATAAGTGTGTGAGCAAATAAACATTTTAGAAACTCAACCTCTCCTAAATTAAGAGTGCACAAGGGACAATCCGTATGACCCTATAAGAATGTTTTGGGGTGGAACTAACGTCAAAATTCAACATTCTCTATTTGATACAACTAATAAACTTCAGTGTTCGAGTATCCGAGAGAAAGCTAGACAAGTCATGCACCCTGTGCATAGCAGTCTAAATTTGAGGTAATAGAAACATATTCTTTACCAGTTTCCGATCAATTTTATTTTGACAAGTAGGCACTCGTTCTCTGAGTTTCATGATCTTCTCATTCTGCTCCTTGAGCTGCCTATCCACATCATATACCCATGACCAAGCTAGTTTATTTTTCAAATGCAGAACCTGTTGAGTTATTTCTTCAACATGTTCCATATTCTTTATCTTTTCAAGCAACTCACTGATCTCCTTTTCGATTGGTTTTATGGTCTTCTCCATCTCATCCATAAGAGCATTTGCAGATTTCAACTTTGTGCCAATACTTTGAAGAAGATCATCGACTTGCTGAAGAAGGGTTGCTTTATAAAAGAACTACAGAACAAAAGCTTTCAGTAAAACTATCAACAAAATTTACTTCAGCGAATATAGATTTACAGGATATACCTTGAATTTGTCTTTGTCGTTTCCAGAATGTAAGAACTCCCTGCTCTTGTCTTGACTCATTATCACACAGGGATTCTCAACATCAATCTAGTCAAAGAAACATAATGCAGATCAAAGCAATGAATACCACAAATAACACGTAAATCTGATATAACACAAATGATCATACTTTTAATCTTGAATCAAAGAGAAAAGCTCACATTATAATGTTCAACAAGTTCCCGTAGCTCCTCTCTTCGGTTAGATATTTTTCTTCCTGCACAACACAATTAAGAAGAAACCCACTTGAATCAATTACTTGGATTTACACATGACATAATGACATTCAAATCAAGAAGAAGCACAGACTACTACGAAGATAGCATCAAAGCATTTGTTCACCTTGATGATCCTTGAGAACTGTTAAACTAGTAGAATCAGATATCCTGCGTTCAATAATCAGAGTATCACCATATATTTCAGGCTTAAAAGCATCCTCTCCTTGGTTTTTCAGTTCGACATGAACAAGGGCATAGCTGCAAAAAGAAAAACCAAATAGATTGAAGAAATTTATGTCATTTCAGCAATTTATCTCATGGAGAAGCAAATGTGCACAAACCTGCATCCAGTTTTTATGAAATCTTTTAGCGTAGCGGCGCGCTGAGTTCCCCTGGCTCGACATCCAAAGGCAACACATAGAGCAGTCAATATCGCACTCTTACCACCTGAAAATCACGAAACCGCACTAACGGTATAAATCATACAGCAAAAACAGCACTCTCCAAAACTGATTCCAGCTTCTAATTGGTCAATCATTCAAAATTCAATAAATTTAAATGATTCCAGAGTTCAAATTAAGTATTCAATTATTCATAAACATGAGTTTTGAGCAGAAACCAAAATCAAAGCTAAAAATCCCTCCTTTACTGAAAATAGCAGAAACCCAGCTCAAGATAACGAAGCCGCAAGCGAATTCACTCATTTAAAAGGCCAAATTTGGTGAAAAGATACTTACTTCCGTTTTGGCCAGTGATGAAATTGACCCAATCGCCAAACTCAATCTCGAGATTACTGTGGCACATGAAATTCTCAAGGCGAATCCTAACGATCGTACCGGAGCTAGGTCGTTGATCGTTGAAAGGATTACTCTGTTGATCGCCATGTTCATCCATCTCTGTCGCTTTTTAGGGTTTCGCACTCAGAAGAATAGAAGAAAGTTGGGTGTTTAATGCGCGGGAAGGAAGAGTATATAGCTAAACCATTCGGATTTATATAAAAACGTGCCATCATTGGCTAATAAGTAATACCTAATTCTTTCGAGAAAAATTTCATTTAAATTGCCAATTTACAAATTTATGCCATTTTAAATATGATTTTTTTATATTTATGTCATTTAACCAATTATCAAGAAGAAAAATTGTAATGAAGAGTGCAAAGATAAATAACTCTTGTGAAATTTGAAGTACAAAAGTTCAACTTGCTCTTTCTCAGTAAAACCAAATCCTTAAGCGTACTTAATGCAACACAAACCCATCACTGGTCCTCTGACTCCAAACCCGTCGGGCAGTTACAGTTGGCTTCCTTGTTCCACTCAGCTCCACAGGCGAAACAGAACTCGAATTTGCAACTGTGAGGATTTAAGCAGACAAAAGGATCAAAATCATATTAATAAACAAAAAATAACAAAAGCCATGATACACACACACACAATATATATATGAAGTAAAAATGCAGAGAAAGAGAGAGTGTACCTGCAAATTATACGGTTGCAACCTCCATCATGTGCAATCATCTTCTTGCAATTTCCGCATCTCTTCAATCCAAGACTCTTAGCCAAAGCTTCGTAAGATTCCTCAGCCTCAGGAGATGTTTCAATACACTCTGATTTAACGAATTCATCACATGTCATGCCATAGTGCCATCCTGCTTTGCATTTTCCGCAGAAACAATACCCACACTCCGTGCACTTTCTGACTCCTGACAGCTCAGCATCAACGAAGAAGGATTTTGTGTATTCAATGAGGTCGGGTTTTGCCATTACATTTTGACATGTGGGGTACTGCGGACAATATACTATGTCTGAACCTTTGATCATGCTCGCCTTCTTGTATCGGGTCATATCATCAAGCTGCTTAGGTTCCAAAACACCTTCACAATCCTCTCTCTGTAGTTCTGAGTTGCAACCCAAGCTTGGGCAGTTTACTACTGGTTTCACCAATTCTAGTGCTGCGTCGACTTGTCTCTTAATGCAATCAACGCAGAAGCGGTGGAAACAACCAGGTACCTCAAACTTCTCATCAGATGGAACGTGTTCATAGCATAATGGACAAGTCTCCATGTAGACGTCACCTTCACGCCATCTTACTTGGGAAGCTATAGCAGCTTTTGCAAGCTGAAGCACAAAAGTGATGTCCTTGCTCACAGGGAGTGCTTCGCAAAACGAGAATCTGCTCTGAAGAAGAGAAACTTCCTTCACAAGTGTTGCTACATTGGACTCGTTTGGTTCAGCTTTACCTGTCACCTGTCACATAGAAAGCAATAAACCAAACATGAGGCAAATAAACATCTTCTAATATAGCAAAAAAAAGAAGAAGCAAGTTTTAGGGTTGAGTAATTACGTATTCTAAGATATTGGAATCATCACAGAAGAACGTGACACTTCCCAGATCAAGCTCCAACGCCCATGTCAACCCATGAATTAAGGCTGCCAATTCCGCAACTTGCTGGTGTGAGGACTCTTCATCTCCCAAAACTTTCTTCATCTCAAATAGTCGATTATCCTCGTGGTCACAGATGGCCACACCAAAACCACCGATCTGCTTTCTCTCATCCTTAACCACCTCTTCACTCACCAAACACTTACAGTATAACCGATAGGTTGACGACACACACATCGTGTAAGGCTTCTTGATTGCTTCCTGCACTTGTGAACTGAAAAACCCTACCGGTTAAAAGAGAGAAAAACGAAAGAGAGGACACAAGAGATTACCTCAATGGGAATTAGCCTTCTCTTTTATAGGTGAAAACCTGAAAAAAAAAAGGAAAAACAATATTTTCCTTTAAGAAGTGTTATTGATTTGTGATTTAAATAGTGTTTTAATGACTTTAAATGTTACTTAGAATCTGTTGTTATTCAATTAAAATTTTATTAAACTTTGTTAAAGTTTGGTGTTATTAGTTTTTGATTTGTAAAATGTATTCTATAAAATCTTCATAAATCTGGGGTTATTGAATTCAAAATTTTGTAAAGTTGTTATTCAACTAAAACAAAAGAATCTCTGCTTGTTAATGAATCTCTGGGTTTATTTAGGATTTGGTCTGAATCATCGGTGTGGCAAGTCACATTGTTTCTAAGGAAATTAATACCCTTTTTGTCAATTAGTATGCAGTTTCTAACAAACTTTTTTTTTGTTTGGTTCAATCTTACTGTACCTTCCATTCTTTTTTTTTTTTTAACAACTTACTGTACCTTCCATTCATGAGATGATTTAACCATTATCAAAAAAAAAAAATTATGAAGAGTTCCAGATGACAAAAAAAAAAGAAGAAGAGTTCCATGTTAAATAACTCCTAAGAAAACTGAGGTTTTTTTCTCCAATAGAGCCGGATTCGGTAATACAAAAGTCTCACTTTCTCTTTCTCAGAGTTAAAATTCTTTTGTAAGCGAAACTATAAACCGTACTTTAACAAGGACATATACCGGTTTCTTCAGTCGTCGTGATTATAATCCCTGAAACGTATGATTCTTTTGATGAACACCCTCTCACGCCGGTATCTACCAGAGAAAACACACAAGATTTCAGAAAGTACAATTTGCATATAGAACCGAAATAAGACCATAAATGTCAGTTTTCTGAAATGGATTTTGTAGTTGCCATAGGAGAGGACTTACATGACAATGGCCGAGAGACAGAAGCAGATGAAACCGATGGCGAAATGAAGAGGAAATGTTTCCCAGAAATTCTTACGATCGAGGATGGTTTTCTCCGAGATGAGAGTGATTATGCTCGAAAGGATAAGAATTTGCCAACCTAAAGGAAAGCATTTTCGGAACGAGAATGAAGAAGTGCCCTGCAGACAAATTTGGAGGTTAAATTACAAATTTTGTTTTAAAAATGGGGCAGTTACATAATTCTATAGTTTAATCAAGCATACCTGGAAGTAACGTTGGATGAATTTCCCTGAATAGATGATCCTAAAAATCATATCTTTTTTTTAAGAAGTCAAGAAGACAAAAAGAGATAAACAATAGCTGATTCTAGTTGAAATTTCTCTATATATATAGGTGAAGGATACTCAAGGAATTCGCCATGATTAAACCTATTGCTCCGGCAGATCTTATAAGCAGAATATTTAACGTGACGTAAATCAATGAAAATACAAGCAACATGTCGTTTGAGCGCTTCAGTTCATCCTCTGTTCCAACTGCATGTAAAAATGCTTCGGAGGTTCCTGACAAAAGAGTTTACAAAGTAACAGATTGAAATATGCAACTAGTAACCGCCAAAAGAAGAAGCTTGATAAGTCCATAAGCACTAGTTAATCTAGATATGATCACTAACCGTTCATGGCCAGGACGATGATGTAGAGACAATAAAACTGTAGGGCCAAGGAAGCTTCTCCATCGCTCCATTTTTCACCATACAACAATCTGATGAGAGAGTACGAATAACTCGGGCCAAATGCCATAAATATAAGACCTAGAAATTCCCAGGAAGTTCACATATTCAGAAAATTACCAGAGATTAGATTCAAAAGTCTTATCTACATTGAGGAACAAAAACAATCAGGGATCTACAATTTAGGTCTTACAGACTCTGCAAATAGAGGAATATACCTATTAATATCACAAGCTTCAAGGCCTCGGTCAAGCCAATTCCGAGTTTCTTTTTCCTTTCCTGATAATCACCTGTCAACAGAGAGAGACACACAAATAGAAACCATATCTGATAATGACCAGTAAGAATCTTGGGAGATAAATATCTGAACCAATATCATGAACCAGTATAATTGAGATTTTTTACATACTTAACTACACTAAACTCAGGAGAGAAATGAACCTGATGCGAACCTGGCAAATATAGTGTATGAAGTTTCTTCAAAGGGAAAAAACACCATGCGTACAACTAAACTACCTGGAGTTTTAGAAATTGTGTAAGAAACATTTCTAAGCAATCTTTGTACCCACAGATAATTTTCATTGTGTCATTAAAGAGACTTGCCTAGTTTGTCGACGATCCCATATACCGCCTGATTATAAGGTGTATCTAACCATACAAGGACCAATTTTTCACCTTCTTGAAGAATCAACTTTCGAAAGGACTGAAAAGTAAACAGCATACACATGTTCGAGAGCTTGTTATCGAAATCCATGAAGTTCCCAGGTCTGTGACATCACAAAGATTGTTGAACATTACTTGGAAATGAATGAGTTGATTAGAGCATATCATGAGTTAAGAATGCTAGCGAGGAGATCAAATAATAGAGAACTCAAACCTGAAAGGAAAGAGATCAGAACTTCTGAGAGCACCACTAATGAGAAAATAAGCCCAGTAGCCAAGAAACAAGGAACCTCCATAAGCAACTTGTGACAGTGCGAAGACTATTCCTTTTTCCTAAACATGTTGATGATAATTAAATTATAGTTCCACCAAATATGCTTTCTTTTGCCCATAACAAAATGGAATGGTACAAGAGCTGTACCATGTTGGTTTGGTTGACTATGAGAGACCACAGAGTCAAACAGCGTGCAAATGTAGCGGCAATCTCAACAAAGAGTCGCAACTCTAGCTTCACCAGTGTCTGAGAGAGGATATACAAAGGCTCAGCCATTAGCTCAAGTAGACATGCGAATCCTGCCATGTTAAGTAGGTTAGTCCTTAAGTTGACAAAAAAAAAGTTGAGTAATCATTCTGTTATATATACATGAGAATCTAAACTTGGACTACTTTGAAACTTATTATTAGGCAAGGACGAGAGGATCCAATGGTGAACTTAGACAGGAAAAAAAATCGTAGTGGGAGTAAAAAATGAACTGATGTTGAAATAATTACAGACACAAGTAAATGACCGCAAAACCGAAACTTTCAAATTCCATGGCTGTAAACGAAAGAACTATGACAAAGGCACAAAAAATGACAATAATATACCGTGAATCAAGATAGCCTGTGCATATGTGTCGGAGTAACTAAGGTTCTGCCACCATAACACAAAAATGCATGCTGCAATAGTAATAGCTATTCCGAGTGGTACTGTCACCCATGCTACTTTCAATAGCCTAGTCACATTTTCCTCTGATCCAGGACCATCACTGAAGCACGAAGTTAAGGAATATCACCGACCAAAAACTTAGTCAAGAGCTGAATATACGAACAGGATCAGCGCAAACTGCTAAATGCATACCGTTTAATGTTAGCCCGCAAGCAAGCGCGGCGGAATCCCTCCCGGCTGAGAAACAAGACACAAGTAACAAAAAGATGGAATTGGACAGCGTAGAGCTGCATTGCAATGAGAAAAGATAGATGGAGATTAAAAATCAAAACCATTGAAACAACTGCATAAGTGTTGCTACTTGGCAATATGAAACAAACAAAAAAAAACAATCTTTACCATAAAATCAAGCTAAACGCACAAACATTGGCAAAATGTAAGAAGATAAACATTCGACTGGTAAAACAAGGATTCATTACCGCATAGTCTTGTTCGGTGAGATGCCTCACGATCCAGGAATTGAATATGAAGGGGATGCTTCTGGATAGAAACTGAGTAGCTAAAATTCCAAAATTCAAATCCAGAATCAAGGAAAAAACACACTAATTAGAAGCTTAATGCAAAGAGAGATTTTCGAAAGAGAAAAAAACACAGAATGAAGACGAACCTAGTAAATACTTGAACATGCGCGAGAGATTAACCTTGTTGTCACTATTGGTAGCCATTTTTTTTTTGGTGATTCAAAACTCAAAGTCCCTCCCTGGGTTAACGACGACGATTCAATTGCACGAATCTAACTAACTTTGATCCCCAAAGGAACATGATTAATACATTAAGGATTAAGCAATCTGATCACAAAAAAAAAAAAAAAAGGGGTTTTAGGGTTTTGATTTGGGGATTTTGTAAAATTGGGTAAGTAAAAAACAAAATTAATGTCAGATGTGGGATTTGAACCCACGCCCTCTCTCGAAGACCAGAACTTGAGTCTGGCGCCTTAGACCACTCGGCCAACCTGACTTATTGTTAATGTACTTAGTTTTCAGTTTATAATACTTAGAATCATATAATCCTCATCGAATTTACAACGGATTCGATTGATGGTGGTAGTGGTACTGTACTGTTTTACCAGCATGGACTCTTGAGAATCTTTCCTATCATCATCCATTAGAAGTTTAGGCTGTAGTAACATCCTTGACTACAAAACACAACACAGTTTTAGTAATAGACATAGACAAGCGCAAAGAAAGTTTCAGTTTGTCACAGCTTGAAAATGAATGCAATGAATGAGTCAAAGACCTCGTGTTCGTCATAGCCAGTCAACCAAACACAAGTTTGGTAATACTTGTCACACCTGAAATAAAGTGAAAAATATATTCGGCTAATAGTATGAGAGATGTCTATACGATCAGTGATGATTACAAAATACATTTTGACCTCTTCGAGTCCGAATTATAAATTTTTTATTAGGAGTATGAACTACATAGTACTTACATGTCACATTGGGACCATAAAATGAAACTGCCGGCCAACGTTTCATTTTCAATAAATGCCATCCTCATATTTTTTTTTTGGCCCATGCACTTATTAGTGTAATATTGCTATGATATTTGTTGTAATTCTAAAGAAAATCCATATTTACATCTTCTCAATTTAGGCTAATTAACTAGATGAAATGGATTTAACACTCCCCATTATTATAATTTGCTCTGTATTCATTTCATTAATTATCACATCTTTAGACCATTAGAAGGTGTGTACTCATGTGATGTGTTTTTTTTTGTCAACTCATGTGAGATGTTCTATAGAACTCTGTAATGCTACATATGAATTAGTCAGCCAATATATATCGATCGTGCAATTTATTATGATGTGAACGATTATGCTTTCACAATCGTATTTGGTGGTGAACAATTTAAAATGATGATGACGTTGGATAGTGGAACACTGGAACTCAAAAATGGGTGACTTCGAGCCGTTGAAGAATGTGAATTCCATCATCTGTGTCAACCGTCTAATTAAGGAATGGAGACAAAGCTTACAGCTAACAATAGATTAATCGTGATGTCGATAGTCAATTCTCAACAATCATTATTTTCAGTCTTTGCACTAAACACAATCATACTTACTCACTAACGACAGGGTATCCTAGGTTTTACGCAAACATAAATAGTTACTATATCTTACTAAAGAATTAAAAAAATTAATCAAAAAAAAATTAAAGTGAAACAAACTTATATGAAATTTTTTTTTACTATATCTTAACATTTACACCCAAAAAAAAAATTATATGAAATAAACTTTAAATGACAAGTTATGAAGTTTAATTACGTATATTTTAATCAAAATGAAATGATGATTTTAAAGTGAGTATAGGAGATACCGAGATAGAAACTTTTTTGTTAGTTAAAAAAAAAACAGAGAGAAACTTAGAGGAAAAAAGAGAGCTAATACATAGAACATAGTATCTAATACAGTAGATGAGAAACCATTAGCTTAATTATGCTATTGAGAATAGAGATGAGCAAACTTACTATAATATACTAAAAGTTTAGTTTAACTGCAAATTTTGTAGCAGAAATAAATTTAAATTTAAATTCTAGTATATTTTTTCACCAATCAACAATAAATAAAGAGACATAAATTCAGCTGAAAAACAGAAAAATGGTAATAATAGAAGAAAAGTTTCCTCAACAATGAGAAAAAATTATTCCTCTAAAATCTTTTTTTTTACCTCTCAATTTATTTCATTCTCAAGTTAGGAGTTGTATGTATTTCCTCTCCACCAGTCGGACCCTAACTTGCCGGATAAAACATCCAATCAAGGATCTACTAAATATGTACCCCACGCACTTCAACCACCATCACTAGTCAAACCCAACATTTAATTTTATCATCACCACTTTCAACGTTCTTCAATTTTTCTTGAGATCATTACAATTAATTACCACGGTCGCTCATTAATATTTAGTAGATATTATTTACCTTGAAAGAAACTAAAACGTTCTACTCGAGATATAATTTTTCGAAAATAATTTTACTAGATTTGTTTATATATGTGTGAAACCGTAAAACATCAACCCGAGAGCAAATAACGACGTGTAAGGAAAACACAATTTGGAATTATTAGGTCACCATAATTGGTTGAGAACTTAAGAGGAAAGTAAAATTGGAAAATACAAAAAAAAAAAAAAAAAAAAAAAAAAAAAAAAAAAAAAATTGGAAAATACAGTAGTATAATATTTGTATATATGTAAATACATTTATACACATACCCTTACAAGCTCAAGAAATCATAAAGTCAACGGGAAAAGGGGATTTTCATACCCGTACTATCTGCACCGTGGATTTTCATACCTGGACAATTTCGTAGGGTATTTTACAACCTAAACTTCAATAAAATTTGAATCTTATACCTATACTTGATACAACATGCAAAAATCGGAGTCAATCTAACGGGTGTTAGTCAACTCCGTTACGGTGCTGAGTCATCGTACACGTGTACGCTGACGTGTATCAAAACGACGTCGTTTTCATACCCGTACTGTCTGCGCCGTGGATTTTCATACCTGGACAATTTTGTAGGGTATTTTACAACCTAAACTTCAATAAAATTTGAATCTCATACCCTATACTTGATACAACGTGCAAAAATCGGAGTCAATCTAACAGGTGTTAGTCAACTACGTTACGGTGCGTATCGAAACGACGTCGTTTTGATATGTGTTCTCAAAGTTTTAAATTTTTTTGCAAAACTGGGGACTCGAACCCGCGAGCCGTACTCACATGGTAAAACTTTGTTCATGCCTAATTTCTGAGAAGAAGAAGAAGAAATGAGAAAACGATTTCTCAATTCGAAACCCTAGTATTCATAATTTCCTCCCAATTTAAAACGATTGACTACGGCTCGCGGATTCAATGAACGTTGTGGGATCAGTTGGTATTCGGTGCTTCTCATGTGACTACGGCTCGCGGGTTCGAGTCTCCAATTTTGCAAAAAAATTTAAAACTTTGAGAACACATATCAAAACGACGTCGTTTCGATACGCACCGTAACGGAGTTGACTAACAGCCATTAGATTGACTCCGATTTTTGCACGTTGTATCAAGTATAGGGTATGAGATTCAAATTTTATTAAAGTTTAGGTTGAAAATACCCTACAAAATTGTTCAGGTATGAAAATCCACGGCGCAGACAGTACGGGTATGAAAACGACGTCGTTTTGATACACGTCAGCGTACACGTGTACGATGACTCAGCACCGTAACGGAGTTGACTAACACCCGTTAGATTGACTCCGATTTTTGCCCGTTGTATCAAGTATAGGTATGAGATTCAAATTTTATTGAAGTTCAGGTTGTAAAATACCCTACGAAATTGTCCAGGTCTGAAAATCCACGGTGCAAATAGTACGGGTATGAAAATCCCCTTTTCCCTAAAGTCAACATTGATACAAGGAAATAAAAAAGATATTCTAGATCTGTCCTCTGAACTTATTTATCAACTTCATCTCCCATCACTATCAATCTTTCTCTCTTTCTCTGTAAACAATAAATTCCACACTTTCCATTTCTCTTCTCAGAATTTTTCCTGCAAATCTCACAATACTCAATATTCATACATTTTTCTCATTTATTAACACCATACCCATTTTTCCTAAAAGTCTCTCACCTAAAAAAGTTTCATGAGATGAGAAAAACTCAACTTCTAACATTGTTACTAGGAGTATCTTTATCAGCATTCTTGATAGTAATCTTCTTCATTGTCTTCTTCATCTTCTTTAGAAGAAAAGAATCATCATCTATTGACTCAGATCAATACGACGTCGAATCACTCGACCACAACAAACAAGGATTCTCCACGGAAACAGAGGAACTCGTAACCTTTCAAGGCGGAGAAGATCTCACGATCTGCGATATCCTCGATGCTCCCGGAGAAGTCATCGGAAAATCAAGCTACGGTACTTTGTACAAAGCGTCTCTACAAAGAAGCGGCAAGATTAGGGTTCTTAGATTTCTTAGACCGGTGTGTACAGTGAGATCGGATTCTAAAGAGTTTAATGGCATCATCGAGACACTAGGGTTTGTTCGACATGAGAACTTGGTTCCTCTGTTAGGTTTCTACGCTGGAAACAGAGGAGAGAAGCTTATGGTTCATCCTTTCTTCGGTTCCGGGAATCTTTCCGACTTCATCAGAAGTAAGTCTCTCTTTGTTTTTTTTCTACTTTCTTGATAAAAAAAAAGTTTTAAAAAGGACCAAACTTTTTCTTTTTTCCGACAGAAAGTAAAGAATCTTAACTTTTTTCTTTTTTTCCTTTAACCCCATGGAATCTCGTGGTTACTTGTTTCATGGGTTTTCCCGGGAAGATTCTACTATTATCCCGGAAAATTTACCATTCCCATGATGATGATAATATATGTACATACATACATATATATTCATAGAAATATAAATTTAAATTATGAAAGATTAAAAATGTGTTAAGTGTATCCAAAAGAGAACCACACAGCTGGAATTAAGCACATTAGCTGGATCATTAATTCTGTGTTTCATTATTTGTCTTAAATATTATTATTTTTTCAAGCTTTTGAAAATATAAGGTATGATAATCTTTGTCTTTTGTCTGTACTATTTTTGTTTTATTTTCCTGTCATTTTCCACTTCTTTAGTTTAGTAAGAACAATTGAGACAAAATTTGATACTAAGAACATCAATCTCAGCAAATATCTAGACTAATAAGAAAATTACATTCTTGTTTTGTTTTGGCAGGTGGAGATGATGAATCAAGAAAATGGATTAATATTTTAAGAATCACAATTGGAATATCTACAGCTCTTGATTATCTCCACACAGGAATGCAGAAACCAATCGTCCACGGCTATCTGAAGTCCAAGAACGTTCTTCTGAGTTCAAGTTTCGAACCTCAAATCTCTGATTTCGGTTTGCATTTGCTCTTGAACCTAGCTGCAGGACAAGAGATTCTTGATGTGTCTGCAGCTGAGGGATACAAAGCTCCTGAGTTAATAAAGATGAAGGAAGTGAGCAAAGAGAGTGATGTGTATAGTCTTGGTGTGATCATGCTTGAGCTAGTCTCTGGGAAAGAACCGATAAACGAGAATCCAACGGGCGATGATGAGTTCTATCTTCCTGATTTTATGAGGAACGCTGTTCTTGATCATAGGTTGTCTGATTTATACCGTCCTGAGATTCTCAGGAGTGATGATAATCTGAGTGAAGAATGTGTTCTCAAGTATTTTCAGCTTGCAATGTCTTGTTGCTCTCCTTCGCCTTCTCTTAGGCCAAACATCAAACAAGTCTTGAGGAAACTTGAAGAGATTGGGAAATGTTAGTAAGATTTGAGAATGATTGGCCACATTTGGTTTTAGAGGTAAAGATCACATCTTTTGAATAAAAGCTTTTTACATAGGGATGCATTTTACAGAGAAATCGCTCGATTGTTTTGGTAAAATAAACTTACTATTAGACATTAGCAAGAGACTTGATACACTGGAAAGTTCGTTGGAATCTGTAAAAATGATCCTCAGGAGCATCATTGACCAATGGCTTGAAGTCACAAAGTTTCTTGAAAGTCTTGTCTATGAAGTTGTACTTTACCGCCTTATTTGGAATGTGAAGCAAAATGTAAGATTCCGCAACTGTCTCTTCCTTTACGAAACCGATGACAGAGAACGCGTAGATCCGCCTATTGGTATAGTCTTCGGTGATCATCTCGGGGAAAGCGGCTGCAAGAGGCTGTAAATCAACATTATACTTCATGGACCAGCTTGAGCTGTTTCTTTCCATTTCGTATACCGGTAAATCTGAAGAACTTTGATCATTTACCTCGATATAGTAAAGATTTCCCCGGGATTCATCCAAAAACCTCAATGTCCTGGGATCAGGTAGCAGCGCTTCTTCATCGTCAAGATCAGGGAGTGGGAGAATCTTGATTTCCTCCTTACTGATATCGAAAGAGAGGCAATCTCTAGAGCTGAGACCGTACCAGTGAACCGCGCCATTCCAGAAGAATGAGTAGCTGAACTCTATAAAGGTTGACAGATAAGTTGGAGCTGGAACAACTCTTCTCCAAGGTCCTTCATTGGAGGAATAAACCTCTATGTGGTAAAGTTCAGTGTCAGAGGCAGAGGAAAAAGAGTTGTTGCTTCTTCCTCTGAGGCAAAAGACTTTGTAGTGAGGAGATTTAGAAGGATCAAAGGCTAGAGAGAGTGCAATGTGACCAGTGATCTGAGGGAGAAGAGTGTACTGTTTCGTCGTCGGATTGTAAACATAGTAATTTGTGTTGAATTGGTTAGAAGAAGCACAAGAGCATTTGCAGAGAAGAAGGCCATTGGTTGATTGCATTATGATCATATCTGTTTGATGATCAGTAAACCAAAGCGGTAATGATGAAGAAATCCGTTGGTTGGTTGCGTCATCTTCATCATCAAGAGAGACAAAACTATACTTGATGGCTCTTGGTGAGTGTAAGAAAAAGCCAGAAATGGGTAAGGGGTGGTTGGACTTGATGACACGGTTGGAGAAATCGGGATTTGTAATGAGCGAAAGCCAGCGTTTGGATACGCGTTTGAATCTTAAAAGAGTTTTGATTGGAAGTAAAGAGAGGATTTGAATCAAGACATCATCGATATCAGCCACAATTGTAGCTGATGAGGAAGAGGAGCCGCCATTTCTACGGCTTCTGGCCGATCTTGGAGCTTTTGTTCTCGTTCTTGAACAAGAAGACATCGTTGAAGAGTGATTTGAGAAGAAACTGGTTTAGGGTTTATTGTAGTGAGGAAGAAGAGAGACTCTGGTGTTGGATTATATAGAGAGGTCAGGATGTGATGTGTTCTGTTTTTTTAGTCAAGAAGATTGTGGAGGAAGCTTTTGCTTATCAATTATTCTTTGAGTTTCGTTGACATTGACCTGTTCTTACTTTTTAAGTAGTGGACTAATACAAACTTAGCCCATAAACTCTGTTTTCTTCTGAGACTTTTTTAAAAACATTGTTATCTCAAAACTGCAAGACCTATCGAGGATCAAGAATCTGTTACATGTTTAGGATGTTCCAACCATAGACTTGAACAACACGACAATTAATGTTTGAATTTTTACAAGAACAAGAAAGAAAAAAAGGTCCAAAAAACATGACAACCCAAATAAAAAGATAAGCAAAAGCAAGCAGGTGACGTGACGTAGATCTCTATTTAAACTCACATCGTTTTGCATGTAGACCCCTAACAACCATCAGATAACAAAGTATGAGCTGAAGAACTCCATCAAAACAAATCTTAGTCATAGAAATTTAACATTTATCACAAAATGTTTTCTTTTCTCATCCTATTGTTGGAGGTTTATAAGGTGGTTATCGCTGTCGTGGCCTCTATAGTCTTCTTCGTATTCTCGGGTCTAACACTCGCTGGATCAGCCGTGGCATTAACCGTAACCACACCGCTTTTCATCATATTCAGTCCGATTCTCGTACCAGCCACGATAGCCACTGTTCTCTTAACCACAGGGTTTACGGCCGGTGGCGCCCTTGGAGCTACGGCCATTGCTCTCGTCAGGTTGTTGATTTAGTAAAACCAAACAAATTATATTGAACTCACTCAAGATTTACGCTTCTATATTATTCATATGGTAGAATGTTTTTTTTTAAATTATGACATATATAGTGTGTGTGATGTAGGCGCAGCATGGGAGTTAAGTCGAAGAACAATATACCTGCAACAGGAGCTCCACCAACTATGTTTGCCCAAACTCCGTTCAATTTAACGCCAAAGATTAATTATGAAGGAACTTTTAAAGGATCTTGGGGAGGAACATCATCACCCAAAGCTGCGCCAAATTTTAGTTATGGAGGAACTTGGACAGCAACTTGGGGAGGAAGATCGTTTACTGGAAAGTTTGGAGATCAATCGGGCGGTGGAAGTACCGCAGGTGCAAGTACACCCGAAGGTGCAGGTGCAAGTACACCCGCACCCGCAGCCGCAGCCGCACCCCCGGGTTAAACGACGACATTGGTCGAGCTGTTCCAACATGTAGCAGATTCAAAATTCAACGTTTTATGTTTATGAGTAATTCAAAATTCTATGATCAAAAATTAAAAAATAAAATTACAATTAAACGTTTTATGTTTATATGTGATGTTGAATCTGCTTATAGTGAAAGACTGAAAGTCTATATGTAAAAAATACAAGAACACTATTTTTTCAGTAGTATATATCTCTTAAACGTTTAATTTATGTTTATATATAAATGTAATGTTGAATGCATCTCACAACTAAACAATAGATTAATAATGTTAAACATTTTTTCAGTTGGGAAAACATTTTTCACGTGAACGTGCATTTACGTACGAGAAGTCGAGAACATTCAAATTATATATGGTCGATTTTTAGGTGATTTCGTCTATGTGAAGTTGTTTCTTAAATAAGGCTATTATTGTCATTCATCAACGAACGAGTTAATAAAGATTGGGCCTCAGGCCCAGTCTCAATCTGAAAGCTATATCACCCAATACAAACCCGAGTACCCGACCCGACTCGTAATCTCTTTTTCGTTTCAATTTTGAAAATTTTCTCTCGAAAGTCGATGTCCATGGCTCCTTGTAGTCTCATATCACTGTAAATCGAGGAGCTTCAAAGATCATAGGCATTGACTATTATCTTCTGAGAATCTGTGCTAGAATCTCTTTGCATTATACTCAAATATGGAATTCACAGAGGCTTACAAGCAAACAGGTCCTTGTTGTTTCTCTCCAAACTCTCGTTACGTCGCCGTCGCTAATGATTATCGTCTCGTGATCCGTGATACGTTTTCGTTTCAGGTAAGAAAATAGTTAGATTTGGTAATTATACCACCTAAACCCTTGATTTGAATGGCAATTTCAGCTAGGAGATTTTGGATCTTACTTCTAATGTTCAAATGCAACTAGATCTTGTGCTTCAATTGGAAAATACTAACTTGGGTTTGTTAAATTTTTGAAATTGGAACCTTAGAGATGATAATGTCGTTGAAGTTTTTTTTTTTTTTTTTGATCTAAGTACTAATCTTCAATGAATATGTTATGAATGTGAATGCAGGTTGTGCAATTGTTTTCTTGCTTAGATAAAATAAGCTACATAGAATGGGCTCTTGATTCTGAGTACATTCTTTGTGGTCTTTATAAAAAACCCATGATTCAAGCTTGGTCATTGACTCAACCAGAATGGACTTGCAAGATTGATGAAGGTCCTGCTGGTATTTCATACGCTAGGTGGAGTCCAGACAGCCGTCATATACTCACTACGTCTGAGTTTCAGCTGCGGTTAACGGTTTGGTCTCTTTTAAACACTGCGTGTGTTCATGTTCAGTGGCCGAAGCATGGTTCCAAGGGAGTTTCATTTAATCAAGATGGGAAGTTTGCGGCGATCTGTACACGGCGTGATTGCAAGGATTATGTTAACCTTTTGTCTTGTCAATCATGGGAGATTATGGGTAGCTTTGCTGTTGATACCTTGGACTTGGCTGATCTTGAGTGGTCACCTGATGATAGTTCTATTGTAGTGTGGGATTCGCCTCTTGAATATAAGGTTTGTATTGTTTTGGTCTTGGTGCTATTTTTAGATAGTTTCTTAGGTTTGATTTGTTGGGGATATTTCTAAAGTTGGTACCCTTTGGGCAGGTTCTAATCTATTCTCCAGATGGTAGGTGTCTGTTTAAGTACCAGGCATATGAATGTGGACTTGGTGTCAAGACTGTTTCCTGGTCTCCTTGTGGTCAGTTTCTTGCTATTGGTAGCTATGATCAGATGTTGCGGGTCCTGAATCACCTTACTTGGAAAACATTCGCTGAGTTCTTACACCTATCAACTGTTCGTGCGCCCTGTTCTGCTGCCATTTTCAAGGTAATCTCTTTCCATTCTTTGATAAAGAGGTTTCTAATAGCCTTACTCAGGCGTGTATTTAAACCTATTGGACATTATTTTTCTAGGAAATCGATGAACCATTACAGCTTGATATGTCTGAGTTATCGTTGGATGAAAACTTTATGCCAAGCAATTATGGTAACAACGATTCCAAACCTGTTATTTTCTGAAAGGGAAAACTTCGGTACCACTCTTGATGTTTGTAATCTTATCTTGTTTTCTGCTGTGTTCTATGTCCAGATGCTTCAGAAGGCTATATAAGTGTCAGGTATGAAGTCATGGAATTACCGGTAGCTTTTCCTTTCCAGAAACCTCCTGCAGACAAGCCTAACCCAAAACAAGGAGTCGGTAAGCTCTTTCTTCTGCAACCAAATGCAACCTTGGAAACTGCAATCGTATATTGAAAATTCCCTTCTTGTTTTTAACTTCCAAAAGCTAAACTCTTTCAAAATATTCTCAGGCCTTCTGGCTTGGAGCAAAGACAGCCAGTACATATGCACACGAAACGACAGTATGCCCACTGCTCTGTGGATATGGGACATGTGCCGCCTCGAGGTTGCAGCCATCCTGGTCCAGAAGGAACCCATCCGAGCCGCTGTGTGGGACCCAACCTGCACACGCCTCCTCCTATGCACTGGAAGCTCTCACCTTTACATGTGGACTCCCTCGGGTGCGTTCTGTGTATGCAATCCCCTTCCGGGCTTCTCCATATCTGACCTCAAATGGAACATTGATGGAAGCTGTCTCCTTCTCAAAGACAAAGATGCATTCTGTTGTGCCACAGTCCCGTCTCTGCCTGAGTCCAGCGACTACAGTTCTGATGACTGAAGATTACTTGTGTGGTTCTTTGTAAAAGTTGCAGCCTTGTTTGTCTTTCACTATTAGGAGTGTTTTTTTCCCGCGTCTTTTACCAGTGAATGTTAAACATTTATCAATGTATAAAGAAGCTTTCTTGAATATCAAAATAACCATTGAGTCCTTGACCCAACAAAATAAAGTTCCCATTTCAGGAAATAGGCTCCTGCTTGATGTTGGTCTATGGTGGACTCAACAGATAAAGGTATACACCAAAACTCTGTTGAAAGGTAATGATGCATCCGATTATGTGGTAATGTGGTAGTAAGTTAGTAACATGAAAAGTATTCAGACTAGAGAAGTGTTATGCTTGGCAAAAGGGAGATAGATATGATTGAGTTGCTTCAAGTATTTCGTTAGAACTATGGAGAATGATTGATTAGGTAAGAGTGTTGTTATGCCTTTTCCATGTACTAATGGATATTCTGGTATATGCCATTATTTGTAACTGTATGACAAGTTTACTCTCGCAGTGGTGACCAATATGGTGGGCCTTGCATTGACAACTCAGTCAACCCTTGAAGAAAAGTCTCTTCAGTCTAAAACCAAACCAGGTTAGCTCACTATGAATGTTATAAGATATCTCACTTTGTTCAAAAATATGTAGATCCCATTTTGGCCAAGGATTCCTCCACATAGTAAGGGTCTAAACAAGAAAAATATTAGTGAAACTAGGAAACCAGACAGAGATTGAGAAATGGTATCCTGGTTTTAGTGTTATTAATACTCACCCATATAGTAAACAAAGAGAAGTAGATATTTAGATAAATATCTGTGCTCTGTTTATTCTGCATTTGCAAGTTGTGCATCTCTCTTTCAAGTCTCTGTAGCTTGTGGTCCATTTCCTTTATCAATGAGTATTGACTTTTACCTAACCTATGAAGACAAACATTTGCTGCTACATTCATGTAACTTGGCTCATCTTCTCCTCTTGGTACAGTCACTTGTTGAAGCTGTGTTTAGAGAAGTTTCTATGTGGGAGATTGAGACCTTGATTGTTTCATGAACCATTGACTAATGGATTACAACATCTAATAACTAGTTAGGTTGTTTAGAGATCTGAAACTCAATAACTTTCTTGGAAACAAGAAGTTGTTTCTAAATCTTAGGGACATGAAGAAATAGAACATCCACACACATTTGTTGCAAGGCACACTAAACCTACACAATTCGTTTCCTCTGTACAATTACTTTATACAACTTAAGGAAACTGCTCACACTCTTAAAAATGTTAAAATGCATCACAGGAAGATGAAGATGAATTGCTCTGAGTTCTTTGAAGCTCTTCCTGCACATCACTTCTCTTCCTTTTCCTTCCTGAATTCGCCGGAGCTTCATACTTTCCGGCGTCAAGAGGAAAGTTGAGCACGGCTTTTCTTCCCCGGAGCTTGAAAGCTGCACAGTCATAGGCTCTTGCAGCATCAACATCACTCTCAAATGTTCCAAGCCAGATTCTTGATCCTTTCTTTGCTGGATCTCGAATCTCTGCTGCAAATTTCCCCCACGGTCTTCGTCTCACTCCTCGGTAATGTCTCGCTTCTTCTTCTTCTTCAAAACTCTCTGCCTTTTTCACACTCTGATCAGTCTCATATGTTGATAATGATGAATTCAGCTCTGGTGATGATGATGATGATTCACCTTCCACTTGAAGAAACTCATTAACGAAAGAATCCGGATCAAGAACTGGAGAATCAGGTTCTTGTTTAGGAACCTGAGGTTCTATACACCAAAGTCCTGAGACAAAAGAAGCATCAAAGTCAAAATCTCCCATGAAGCCATCACAAGCCAACAAGTCTTCAACGAGATGGCTCTGTATAGCTTCCAAATCAGAGCTTTCCTTAAAACTCGCCATTTTTTTGAAAAAGAGAAAGAATCTGCAAGTGATGATGGAACAAAAACTCTGGATGTTTTGGTTCTTATATAAAAGAGGGAAAGAGAAGAGGAAGGAGACAAGAAGGTAATCACAAGATTTTAGCAGCCATGGATGGGGTAGGGACACAAAAAAAAAACTATGGTTTTGTCGCTCTCTTACTGGTTTTAGAGATGGGGTCATAAGTCTGTGATCAATTAATACAAATTTATGAAGACAACGTCCAACTTTTTGTAAGGACCTTCCTTCACCCAAGTTGTTGTGTGATGTGACACTTCACACTGCAAAAACTGTAATCTAAAGTTAAGCTTTTTTTTTTTTTTTTACATTTTGGTTCTAACGATGAATCTTCTCGTATTATTATGCTCAACTTGTCTTTTACCTTTGATGCTGACTACTAAAAACCATTTGATTCTCAACGGCACTGCTTATTTATTTCTTTTTGTTTCTTTTTTGCTAACATCCCATTATTGTTTTTGTTTTTATTCGCTATTTATAATTTATTGGTATATTATGCATAATGACGAAATATTCATATGACAAAAAAAAAATATGGTTTATATGGAGCTCGAAACTCTTTGATGAAAGACTAGGCAATGAAATTCGTTTATATGGAACTCGTAAATCATTTCTGATCAAACAACGTCCGATTAAATAATGTTGTTTCTTGGATACTCATCCCAAGAAAATTTTCTATTTTCATACAAAAAAATAGAAAAGATTTTTCTATAAAAAGCTTCCTAATGGATAAATTTTAAAAGAGGAAAGACAGCTCAATCAAGTTGTTTTCCCTGGTAGGCCTCTCCTGGTGGGAAAATGATTTGAAGCAACTTGATTTCTTAGATTTTTAATTAATTTTTAGGGCTCCACAACAATTAAACCTAATCCACCCTCTTTTTCATAAATAATAATATGAACATAGAAATATGATTATTTTGGATGTCTTTGCGCCATCATCCATTATTGGTTGTTAATGATATGCTAATCACTTTTATGTTCATTATTGAACATGCTTACCGAGTCTATTAACTTTAACTAGTTTCAAATGGAAAGTTTACCAGCGAACAGTTCACCTGTATTTTGCATTCAGCTAACAGTTAGTTAACATTGTGCACTTACTCATATCAGAAAAATATGATCCATCCATAATGTATGCCTTAGAAAATCTATTATTTGAAGATTTTGACATACATAGCAAAACGAAGTAAATGTTTTTGTTTTTATACTAATAAACAAAAGATCGGAAACATCAAACAGGTATTAAGAGACTGTCGTATTTCAACCACCAACATTATTCCGAGAAAAGTATGAATTGAATTGTATTAAGTGACTCTTCGATATCACTTGCACATACTAATACTACAGCTACTGAACCTACAGTAGTAATAATATTAAGTGCACTGCTTTATGCCTTTATTTATCTATTTACAGTGCGTTAATTACTTTGTTTCTTAGTTTGAATTTCTTGTATATATTTCAATTATCGGAGGTCTAGTGATGATTCTGATCGCCTTAAGTTTGACAGCACTCGAGTTTGGAACTATATTTACCCATCCAAGCCTCGACCCTCGAGTGATTTGGTAAAATCGTTTGGCATCTGAATGCCACACCGATACACAGTTTCACCCCTTGGTTTACACTTAATAAGAGCCTAAACTGACTTTACAATTTATGTACCCTAGGTTCTTGTAACAGTTAAATTAGCTAACAACACTTATTAATTGTTATTATATGGAAATTTAATAAATGTACGATAAAATATACAACTTGAACAAACTTTATCAAAACCACACCAAGATCTAACTAAATTAAAAAAAAAGTCTAGCAGTCATGATAACTTATAATTCAATCATATTATAATGAAAACTAAACTAGTCAAACCAACCTTCCCAAACATCATTTGAATATACACCAAAGTACCTACAGCTATTTCACAAGTAAGCCAGGAAAAAAAGAATAGAGGCCGAAAAATGTGGTAAACCAACAAAAATAGAGAAACAAAGAAAAAAGAAGAAGATATGCATTGAGGTAACGTAGAGCTCAACACTCACTTGCATCGTAACGCATGGGGTAAGCACGTGCCGTACACGTAGATCACACCTCTCTCTGTTCATAAAATCCCCTGTCCTAGTTCATGAAATCCCACAACGTAACCATCCGATAAAACAAGTCAGATTTTCTGGCCACTAAAAATGTTGTTTGGCAAGAAAAAACGCAAGAGAGTACGATCCCCAAAGCCGACGTTTAAAGGTGTTTTGACAGCGTTTTTTGCCACCACAGCCGCTGTATTCCTCTTGTTGCTGGCCGGTCTATCCCTAGTCAGCACAGCCATGGCGTTAGCCGCCTCCATGCCGCTATTCCTTGTATTCAGCCCTGTTCTCGTACCAGCGGGTATTACCGCCACCATTCTTGCTTCAGGTTTAATGGCTGGAGGCACCTCCGGTGTGACGGCTCTCACCATCTTAACTTGGCTCTACAAGTAAGTAACACTAACCTACAAAACATTCATTTTTATTATTAATATGTATGTGCATTTAGGCGTTTGATCTAGCATTTGGGATTATCTTGGTCATGACGACTAATTTCTGATTTTTACAGTTTTCTTATATCTGTATAACTTCAAACTAAATACCGTATGTGAGAGCATAGAAAAATTAATTAACGTCTACAATTCATGATTTGTGACTATATTTATGAATATTTTAGGCGGGAGCGTAGTCATATAATACGTGAACTACATGTGCAACTGGTTATGTCTTACTTTACGAAAAAGCAAAACAAAACAAAATAAACTGATTATGTCTTTGGAGAAATAGTTTGGACCAAATAAAGCATTCATATAAGATTTATCAATGTTCCGTTTGAACAAGTAGTTGGTAGTTTACTGGTTCATCAGTAGATACTCAAGATCGTTAGTTCGACCATACTTAAAAAGGATGGTTTACATTTTAAACATAGTATTATCAATATCACACTATAAAATATTATAGACCAAACTTTCAAGAATAACTTATCCATTCTTTCTATAACTACTTGTATTCAACCGTGTAGGAAAATTAAAGGGAAAGACTTTCCGAATATTCTACGAATGATACCAGGTGGATATGCATCGGATGGAGCTTTCCCAAGTGGAGATACATCGAGTGGAGGTACATCGGATGAAGATGCATCAAATGGAGTTTTACCGAATGAAGATACAACGAGTGTAGCTACACCAGGTGAGGATGCATCCGGTAGAGATATATCTGGTGGTGGAGATTTACAGAATGGAGATACATCTGATGGAACTGCCCCGCAAGGACTCGTACTAGATACACCGGCATCGAGTGGACTTCCACCAGATGCATCTGTATCGGGTGGACCTCCACCATATACATCTCCACCAGATACACCTCTATCGGAAGGATCTCCACTGGGTGGACCTGCACCAGAGGAATCTCCATCGGATGCATCTGTAACAGGTGGATCTATACATGGTGGACTTATACCAAGTGGACCTGCACCGGGTGGATCTCCATCAAATGCACCTGCACCGGATGGACCTCCATCGGATGCACCTAGAGCAGGTGGACCTCCATCAGATGCACTTGCACTGGGTGGACCTCCATCAGATGCACCTGCATCGGGTGGATCTATATTGGGTGGACTTATACCGAAAATGCCTGCACCGAGTGGATCTGTACCAGGTAGGCCTTCACCGGGTAGAGATGCAATGAGTGGACTTGCACCGAATGGACCTGCACTAGATGGACCTATACATGGTGGAGATGTATCCGGTGGAAGTTTTCCGGGTAGATCTCCATCGGATTCCCCTACAACAGGTGGATCTATACTTGGTGGACTTATGCCGAGTGGGCCTGCATCGGATGCACCTGCACCAGGTGGACCTCCATCAGATACATCTACACCAAGTGGACGTGCATCGGGTGCACCTGCACCGGATGCACCTGCATCGAGTGGGCCCGCACCAGCTGGACCTTCACCAGGTGGAAATGCAATGAGTGGACTTACACCGGGTGCAACTATACCTGCACCAGATGGACCTTTACCTGGTGGAAGTTTTTCGGGTGGACCTCCATCTGATGCACCTAAAACAGGTGGATCAATACTTGGTGGACTTATACCAAGTGGATCTGCATCAGGTGGACTTCCATCGGATACACCTGCACCAGATGGACCTCCATCGGATGCACCTGCACCGGGTGGATCAATATTGGGTGGACTTATACCGAGACGACTTATACCGAGAAGACTTATACCGAGAAGACGTATACTAAGAGGACTTATACCGAGACTACCTACACCGAGTGGGTCCGCACCGAGTGGGCCTTCACCGGGTGGAGATGCAATGAGTGGACTTTCACCAGGTGGACCTGCACCAGATGCACCTTTACCTGGTGGAGATGTATCAAGTGGAAGTTTTCCGGGTGGACCTCAATCGGATGCACCTAAAACAGGTGGATCTATACTTGGTGGACCTATACCGAGTGGACCTGCATCAGGTGGACTTTCATCGGATGCACCTACACTAGATAGACCTCCATCGGATGCACCTGCACCAGGTGGATCAATATTGGGTGGACTTATACCGAGAAGACTTATACCAAGAGGACGTATACTGAGAGGACTTATACCGAAAGGACTTATACCGAGACTGCCTACACCGAGTGGGCCTGCACCGAGTGGGCCTTCACCGGGTGGAGATGCAATTAGTGGAGTTGCACCGGATGGACCTACACCAGATGGACCTTTACCTGGTGGAGATGTATCAGGTGGAAGTTTTCCAGGTACACCTCCATCGGATGCACCAGCAACAGGTGGATCTCCAATTGGTGGACTTATACCAAGTGGTCATACATCGGTTGGACCTCCATCGGATGCACCTGCACTAGGTGGACCTTCATCAGATGCACCTACACCGGGTGGATCGATATTGGGTGGACTTATACCGAGAGGACGTATACCGAGAGGATTTATACCAAGAGGACTTATACCGAGAGGACTTATACCGAGAGGACTTATACCGAGACTGCCTGCACCGAGTGGATCCGCACCGAGTGGGCCTTCACCGGATGGAGATGCAATGAGTGGACTTGCACCGGATGGACCTTTACCTGGTGGAGATGTATCTGGTGGAAGTTTTCCGGGTGGACCTCCATCGGATGCACCTAAAACAGGTGGATCTATACTTGGTGGACTTATACCAAGTGAATCTGCATCAGGTGGACTTCCATCGGATGCACCTGCACCAGATGGACCTCCATCGGATGCACCTGCACCGGGTGGATCAATATTGGGTGGACTTATACCGAGACGACTTATACCGAGAGGACGTATACTAAGAGGATTTATACCGAAAGGACTTATACCGAGAGGACTTATACCGAGACTACCTGCACCGAATGGGCCTGCACCGAGTGGACCTTCACCTGGTGGAGATGCAATGAGTGGACTTGCACCAGGTGGACCTGCACCAGGTGGACCTGCACCAGATGGACCTGTACCTGGTAAAGATGTATCAGGTGGAAGTTTTCCGGGTGGAGGTGCTTCCCCAGATAAACTAGTGCCAACGAAAACATCAAATAAGCCGACAACTAAACCAGCAGATAAATCAGCTAAATCATCATCTAAACCGGCAGCTAAATCATCAACTAATCCGACAGCTAAACCATCATCTAAACCGATGTCTAAGCCATCAACTAAATCAGCATCTAAACTATCACCTAAACCGACATCTAAACCATCAACTAAACCAGCAATTAAACCAACCGCTAAACCGATATCCAAATCGGCAGCTAAACCATCAACTAAACCAATAGCAAAACCGATAACTAAACCAACATCTAAACCGACAACAAAAACGGTAGCTAAACCATCATCGAAAGAAGTAAGTAAACCAACAACAAAGCCAACAACTAAATCGACATCTAAACCATCATCTAAACCGGCAACTAAACCACCAACTAAACCGATTATTAAACCAAAAGCTAAACCAACATCTAAACCAATAGCTAAACCATCAACTAAACCGATATCTAAACCAGTAGCAAAACCGATATCTAAATCAACATCTAAACCGAAAACAAAAACGGTAGCTAAACCATCATCGAAAGAAGAAGGTAAACCAACAACAAAGTCATCATCAAAACCGACAGCAAAACCGGTGGCAAAACCAGTATCAAAGCCGGTATCAAAATCGACACCAAAACCAACATCAAAGCCGATAGCAAAGCCAGTTACAAAACCGACAGCAAAACCAACATCTAATCCGACAAAAAAGTCGGCAGCAAAGCCACCATCAATATTGACTGTAAAGCCGGTAACAAAACCAACAGAAAAGCCGACATCAAAACCGATAGCAAAATCGGCAGTAAAGCCAACATCAAAACCGACAGCAAAACCGGTGGCAAAACCAATATCAAAACCTATAGCAAAATCGACAGTAAAACCAACATCAAAGCCGGTAGCAAAGCCAGTTACAAAATCGACAGCAAAACTGGCATCAAAGCAGGAATCAAAAGCGACATCTAAACCGACAAAAAAGCTGGCAGCAAAGCAAGAATCAAAACCGACAACAAAGCCGGTAGCCAAACCGACAACAAAGCCGGTAACAAAACCAGCAGCAAAGTCGGTAGCAAAACCAGCAGCAAAGCCGACATCAAAACCGATAGCAAAACCGGTAGCAAAACCAGCATCAAAACCGGCAGCAAAACCGGCATCAAAGCCGGCATTGAAACCGACAACAAAACCAACATCTAAACCAAAACCGGCAGCAAAGCCGACATCAAAACCGATAGCAAAACCGGCAGCAAAACCATCATCAAAACCGGCAGCAAAACCGACATCGAAACCGATAACAAAACCAACATCTAAACCAAAACCGGCCACAAAGCCCGCAGCAAAACCAGCAGTTAAACCAAAGAAATGAAAAGAAATGCAGGACAAGGAAAAGATGATATGGAAATTTTTAATATGCATGTAATCATTAGAATTCCAAAATTAAATCTAGTTAATACTGTAATTACTAATTACGTGTTGATGAAACTAAAATTCTCAAATATCATTTTATTAATATATGAATCTTCTTCAACATCTTATAACATTCCAATTATTGGATGCCGAAAATTATCCTATTTGGTCTATTGAAGATTCTGATCGCCATGTTTGAGAGCACTCGAGTTTTGAATTATATTCACCTATCTAAGCCTCAAATGATTTGATACAAGATCGTTTGGTATCGGATTGCCATAACGATATACAGTTTCACCACTTGGTTCGTAAGTTCTCAAGTCTCAACACTTAATAAGAACCATATAACTTTCTTGCTTTTTGGGAGTCATCAGTCATTTTCTGTCTCTTGTACCCATCTTCAACAGAGAGACCACTAATACACAATACTGCAATTAGTTGACCATACTTATTCATATTTTATCGATTTTTAAAACATGTAAGATATAATACACAACCGAAACAAACTCTATCAACACCACAGCAAATTAAAATCTAACTGAACCAAACGAAATATAGTCAATCAAATTTTAACGAAAACTGAACTAATCAAACCAACCATCAGTACGTACCCAAACCGAAACCCGAAAATAAACCAAAATACATACAATCATATATACAACTATTTTACAAAAAAGGGAGAAAAAAGAGAAAGAAACGAGGCCAAGAAAATGTGACAACCCATTTTCGCATGACGAAAAAAAGAAGAAGAGGCATTGACGTGACGTAGAGCTCAACATTCACTCGCATCGTTTCGCATGAGGTAAGCAGGTGCCGTGCACGTAGACCACACTATTCTCTCTTCATTAAAATCCACTCTCCTAATTCATGAAATCCCACAATCATCCGATCAAACAATTATGGCGCCCTTTCCACTCTCTTTGATTTTTGGAAAGAATAAACGTCCTCGCGACGACATACGATACCGACAAAAGCCGACGCTTAAGGGTGTTATGACAGCTTTTTTTGCTACTCAAGCTGCAATATTCCTCTTGTTGCTGGCCGGTCTATCTCTAACCGGCACAGCCGTGGCACTAATCGCCTCCATGCCGGTATTCCTCGTTTTGAGCCCGGTTCTTGTACCCGCGGGTATTACCACCACTATTCTTGCTTCGTGTTTAATGGCCGGAGGTACCTCTGGTGTGACGGGTCTCACCATCTTAATGTGGCTCTACAAGTAATTAACACTAAACCACAAAAACATTCATTTCTATTGTTGATATATCTATGTATGCATGGGCACACAAGCCGGTTACCACAATTTTTTGATAACCAGACTTTGTTTTTGTGTCTAGGCAATTTACGGGTAAAGACCTGCCAAAAATTCCAGGATTGAATCCGGGCGGTGGAGCTGCAGCGGGTGGAGCTGCCCCTGCCCCAGCTGCCCCAGCAGCAAAACCAGCAGCTAAACCGGCAGCTAAGCCGGCAGCTAAACCGGGCGGATGAAAATAATTCAAGGACATAGACAATTTGATATATAATCTTTGAAATTCCATAAAGTAAAGATAATTACCCACCTTTTTTTGCTAAATACTAATTATTACGTGTTGATGAAAGTAAATTTCTCAAATGTCATTCTCTTAATGTATGCCGTGCTACAGAAACAATAACATATGTATGCATGTTTATTGTCCAATATTTTTAAAACGAGGTTATATATATCACCGATTTCAACCTATCCAATAACAGTAGTTTTAACTTAATGTTTCAAATACATAATTGAATAACACTTGATTTCAAAATACATCCAAATCCATTTAAAACCTCAATCCAATAACACCATTTTAGTTGAAAATTTTGAGATTTGACGCAAGTTAACCCCACGCATCATCCGTGAATTAGCGAGTCTTGCGCACTGGAATTCTTGTTTCGACCATCGTAATCTGATTTCCAATTAATAATCCAAACCTAAAAATTTGTTCGAAATAAATTAAATATAAATTCCTGTATAGAAATACAATAAGTAAAAGGACAGCTATGAAATCAGTGAGACAATCCATCAGCCCAAAGGAGACTGCTGTTGTTGTTGTTGCAGCTCCGTCAAAGGCAAAAGTGGAAAATTATATACAAATTATAATAGTCTAAGGAGTGACCATTACTGACCACTGCGCCAAGGAACAACCGAACAAGTAGTCCATAGCTAATAATAAACCCTAAAATATTCGATTCATCATTTTATCTTTAAATCGAAATTAATTGGAATTAGTTACAAAACTTAGTCATGTATTCGGTTAATTATTGTCTATGGTCAGGACTGTGCTGAAATAGAGCCACAAACATAAACTAAAATTATTATTAAGATTGGATAGCTAAAAAAAACATTCGTTCAAAGCTTAGCTTACATCTTTCTTTACTTTTTCCTATTGATTTATATATATTTAAATGACAATTTTGTATTTGGAAATATTTTTTTCTTTAGTAACAATTATTTTTGTTACAATTTTAAAAGACCTGTCATACTAATAGTTAAAATTTTTGCTAGCGATATGGTATCCAATTTTTTTTTCTTTTATCGAACTCTAATTCGAATTCTTGTTACCATTGTTAAAGTTTTTTTGTTACAAATTTTCTTAGAAAAAATTTAATAGTCACGAAGCGTATAGTTCATAAAAACCAAATTTAAGCCTGTATGGGATACGAAATCAAGATCATATATAACACATATCTCGCAAAATTTGAACAAGGAAAAGGCCAAAAACCGTGACAATCCACAGAAGAAAACAGAGAGACAACTGTGACGTGACGTAAGACATATCTCCAATTTCATTCAGATCGTTTTGCATGGAGCATGAATGTGTAGCGTAGCGTTCACGTAGACTTCCAATCTTTCTTGATAAAACCCCACTTGATCTTCCCACCACCAAATCACAAACCATTCCATCAGATCAAATCCCAGCCGTTTAATTTGATCATCCCAAAGATGTTTGAGATTATTCAGGCGGTTTTCGCTGCCGGGGCTGCACTAGCTCTTTTGACATTCTCCGCTATAACCCTCGGTGGCTCAGTGGTCGCATTTGTCATAAGCACACCGCTTTTTGTCGTTTTCAGTCCCGTTCTCGTGCCAGCGACTATAGCCACTACATTGCTAGCTTCAGGTTTCACAGCCTCCGGTTCCTTTGGTGCCACGGCTTTCTCCATCCTTGCGTGGATCTACAAGTAAATTATTGAAAACCACTCGCAATTTGGTTTACTTTTATTTAAATGTAGTTTTAGGCATATGAATCTACATGGGAACTTATTTATATGCATGATTAGAATTTAGACATACAATACAATGATATAATATACACTTCAAGGGGTGAACATTCGGTTATATATGGTATAGTTATTGGTTTTGAGAATGTATAACCTTACTAAACTCTATCATGTTTTTGCAAGTTCGGTTTGACAACACTTTGGTTCAAACCTGGTTCATGTTCGATTCGTAATCTTTAGTTTATACAAATCAACGAATTTAATTTTAGTAATCAGAAGTATATGATTGTATGTAGGAAACGTACAGGGAGGGACCTGCCAAAAATTCCAGGATTGACGCCACCTGCTCCGGCGTCTAGTCCAGCAGGCTCCGGCGTCTAATCCAGCAGAATCGGGGAAATACGATTAGGCGTTTCCTAATTTGGGATGATGTATGGAGGAACTTGATCATACTTAATTACTGGGGTTCCATAAATAAAATAAAAATTTATCCATCCTCTCTTTTATAAAATACTAGTTACCCCCGGATATTTCCAATATCATTCCATTGATGTATATCGTGTGTTACAAAAAGTATAATAAATGTAATCGTTTTTATTGTATTTTTTTTAATGAAGTAATATCACCATAGATGGATTTTGGGATGTGATGCAAGTTCACTATATCTACACTAAATCGCTAATAGTATATGGAAGGGTTATAAACTTATAATACTAATAGATGAATTTTTTTAGTAAAAGTAAAGGCTTTCAAGACTGTTATATCTTTAAAACAAAGTTTACGCCTTCACAACTTTTAAATGTCACTGCGGATTTTCTCCTTAATCATGTCACTCGGTAATTGCATATGGGCTATATATTAATATATACAGCTAATAACAAATATAACAACAACAAAAAACCATTCTCAATGCAAAAAAGAGAAACACAAAAGCCATTCTTCCTTTTTTGGGGTTAAAAGTTGATGCATTGAAATTGAACAAAACAGCTATGTACACAAAATTAAAAATCAAGCTTTGCTATTTCATTACAAGACAATAAAATCAAAGACATAATTTGAGTTATTTTTGTGTGTTAATATATAGTTTTTTTTTTAATTTCACAGAAGATAATTTGATGTTAAGGCCTACAAAAATTATATGAGAACTAGAGAAAAATGTTTAGTCAAGAGATACATATTAAAATATAAAGTGTGAACAAAAATGTATATTGTGTGATTAAGTTTGAGTTGTTCGAAGTGTCCGTACCAAATTTCATCAAAAAAAAAAGTCTTTGAACCAAATGATGAAGTGAGGAGTTTGTGGAATGAGAGCTGCCGAGAAATGTGAGAAATCGCGATTGGTACGGACAACTACCCATCCTCAAAGGCTAATTTACCTGGTTTAATGTTTTAGGTCATCACTTTTTTTTTGGGTCATTATTACTTGTAAGTTGTAATTATGCTTTGACTAAAACAATGGACCTGAGCCGGACCTTGTAACTTCTTAATTATTTATCGTACATTAAATATATAGAAAATCATCTTAAGAAATACATGAAACGCCACACAAAAAGAAGAAGCAATTTTGGCGTGACTTAACGTAGATCTCTATTTACTTCCCATCGTTTTGCATGGAGCATGCATGTGTACCGTACCGTGCACGAACACCACACAACTCTTTTCATAAAAGCCCTCTATCTTTCCACAAACATCCGATTAGAGTAGCAACAATAGAGATCAAACGTAACTCACAAAATGTTCTCGTTTCTCATCCCAGTTGTACAGCTTTTTCAGGTGGTTATCGCTGGCGCAGCATCTGTAGTCTTCTTACTGTTCGCCGGTATAACCTTCGGTGCCTCAATTGTGGGACTAACCATAGCCACACCGCTTTTTGTCATCTTCAGTCCGATTCTCGTACCAGCCACTATAGCCACTACTCTCGTAGTCGGAGGGGCTACGGCTACGGTTGCCCTCGGAGTGACGGCATTTGCTCTCATATTTTGGCTCTTTAAGTAAAATTTATTTATTTATTTTACTATTATTTTTTCCATGACTAAATTTTTTTAAAACCCTATTCAAACCCTCTACGTGCACATATCATATATACCTCTATTTATCAAACGTCTTATAAGGCATGTGCATCTACAACGACCTGCATAATGCATGTTTTTCTTGGTTTTAATGTTAAATAATGGACGTTTTCAGCACAAAAAAAAAATCTAAATAGTTTTATGTACACTTGTGTGTGTGATGTAGACATAGGATTGGAGTAAAACCGAAGAACAATCCAGCTCCGAAAGGAGCCCCAACCAAAGCAGATCAACCGGGGGCGTCGGGAGGAGCGTCTGGAGATAAATCGGGAGAAATGTCAGGAGCGGGAGGAGCGTCAGGAGATAAACCAGAAGGAGCGTCTGGAGATAAACCGGGAGGAATGTCAGGAGCGGGAGGAGCGTCAGGAGATAAGTCTGGAGGAGCGCCTGGAGATAAACCGGGAGGAATGTCAGGAGATAAACCGGGAGGAACGTCGGGAGGAGGACCTGGAGGGGCTTCGGGAGGAGCGCCTGGAGGAGCGTCGGGAGGAGGGCATGGAGGAGCATCGGGAGGAGCGCCTGGAGATAAACTTGGAGGAGCACCGGGAGATAAACCCGGGGGAGCATCGGGAGATAAACCGGGGGAAACGCCAGGACATAAACCGGCGGGAGCGCGAGGAGGTAAACGGCTTGCGTGGTGGTAAGGATGATCATATGGAGCAACTTGAAACTTAATTATTTGGTTTCATAAATTAAACCTCATGTATCCATCTCTTTTTAGTAAATATTAATTACCGTAGAAGAAATTACATGATTCAAATATCATTTCTATTAATGTATAACATGGTACAAAGAAACCATGAAACAATGCTTTGTTTAAATGAAGTAATTCATCGGTACTATAGCATATATACATAATGAATGAGAATGGATCCAAGTTAACCAAAGCAACTGTATATGACTATGTGAAGTGAATGATTCAATCGTGAGATACTGAGAACATACGTGGTACGATCGAGGTTGACTTTCGGGGTTGGACGTTGAAGAAGACGAATTCATTGATTGGTTTATATATGGGCATGTATTACTTTATTCAAGTTTGTAACACTTTTAGCTTTTTCAATTCTATTCGAAACCAAAATATTGGGCTATCTTTATATAACCTTTAAGATAAATTCGACCAAATTTAGAAGAGCAAATTGAACCCGGCGGTTAGCGTTGGGTCCTTGGTCTCATCCTTGGTCTTAATAAGCCCAACTCCTTTTCAGTACAATTAAATCAAGAATTTCTAATAAATCGAGAATTTCTAACCCATAGACATACATATCATTATTTCGTCAAACCGAGCCTATACCTAGTTTTGAGCTACATATCTCTCTCTCTCTTTTTTATGAGAGCATGCACATAGTTGATACTCATAGAGTATCATTAACAATTTTTTAGTATTAATTTTAATGTTTGTTTATTGTTTGAGATTTTTTATGATACTGGTAATAAATCTGTTTGCATTGGTGAGACCGGTTTAAGTATCATAAAAATATATATATATATATATATATTTGCAAAAACGAAATTGTTTTGTTTTGTTCTCCTATTAGTTTGTGTTTGTTTGGTTGGAAATGGGGATAGAGATCCAAGACGAAGTGAAGCTGAAACATTCAACTTAGTTAGTTAACTTTTTAATCTTCTTTTTTTCTCTGTTTTTCACGGTCCAATGGCGTTCTGCCACGTCACACCAAAATGAGTATCACAGATATCAGTCCACTGATACGTATCAGGCCCAATTATGTTATATGGTCCATTATTAAATAGTTTTTGGGTTAATGATACTCAAAAAAAATCAGCAGTGTACATGGTCTGAGGTTCGGGACCCTTGGACCCATAATTTTTTTTTAATTAGTTATGTAATATTAAATTTACCATTGAGAGCGACCTCTCGTTACTAGTAATTCCAAGGTCTCATTTTCATGACCTCCACTAACCATCTTCCAGTCAAGTAATTTCAATCGAAATTTAACAAAATCAGATATATATAGCTAAGTAATCACATATGATATGGCTAAGACGTAATATAACGATAAAAATTTCTTCACGCTTTGATATTCCATAAAGCAATTGAATGAAAGAAAACATTTGAGTTTTACAAGAAAGAATAAATAAAAGGCCTAAAAAACATGACAACCCACACAGACACACAAAAAAAAAAAAGAGAAAATAAAAAGAAGGAAATGTGACGTGACGTACCGTAGATCTCCATTCACTCCAATCGTTTTGCATGGAGCATGCATGTGTGTACCGTGCACGTAGTAGACCACACAACTCCTTTATAAAAGCCCTCTCTCTTCCCATCACCAAAACACAACAATCCGATCAGAAAATATGAGCGAAGAACTCAGTCAAAACCCATCATCAGCTCAGTCTCTGTCACTGAGAGAGGGCAGAAATCGGTTTCCTTTTCTGTCTCTGTCACAGAGAGAGGGCAGATTTTTTCCTTCGTTGTCTTTGTCAGAGAGAGAGGGAAGAAAGTTTTCTTTTCTCAGTATGTTCTCTTTTCTCATGCCATTGTTGGAGGTTATTAAGATTATTATTGCTTCCGTGGCCTCCGTAGTCTTCTTAGGCTTCGCATGTGTAACCCTCGCTGGTTCTGCCGTGGCATTAGCCGTAAGCACACCGGTTTTCATCATATTCAGTCCCGTTCTCGTACCAGCTACGATAGCCACGGTTGTCTTGACGACAGGGTTCACGGCCGGTGGCTCCTTTGGAGCGACGGCCCTTGGTCTCATCTTGTGGCTTATTAAGTAAGATTTTAACAAATTATATTGAGATCACTTGAGATTTATGCGTATATATTATTCATAAACCTATAGTTTATAAAGATATTGAACTTCATTTGTTAACGTAGTTTATAAATATATTGAACTTCATTTGTTTTCTTAATTAATCTCTACGTATATATACCTACTTTTTTGTGTGATGTAGACGTAGGATCGGAGTTAAGGCGAAGGATAATCCACCTCCGGCAGGACTTCCACCGAATTCGGGAGCGGAAGGAGGAGCCCAAAGTCTGATCAAAAAGTCAAAGTCTAAAGGTGGGCTTAAGCTGCCAGCATGGTGTAAGAAGATGTTAGGAGGTAAATTCGGTGGTAAAAAAGGCAAGTCCGGGGGTGGAAAAGGTAAATTTGGAGGTAAAGGCGGTAAGTCCGAAGGTGAAGAAGGTATGTCGTCTGGGGATGAAGGTATGTCCGGAGGTGAAGGAGGTAAATCCAAACATGGAGGGAGTAAATCTAAAAGTCGAGGAGGTAAATCAAAAAGTAAAAAAGGTATGTCCGGAGGGTCCGAGAGTGAAGAAGGTATGTCTGGAAGTGAAGGAGGTATGTCCGGAGGTGGAGGAGGTAAATCCAAAAAGGGAGGAGGTAAACGTGGAGGTCTTCGAGATAAATTGGGAAAGAAAGGAGGTATGTCCGGAGGTGGCGGAGGCATGTCAGGAAGTGAAGGAGCTATGTCTGGAAGTGAAGGAGGTATGTCCGGAGGTAAATCCAAAAGTAGAGGAGGTAAACTCGGAGGTCTTCGAGGTAAATACGGAAAGAAAGGTGGTAAGTCCGGCGGTGGAGGAGGCATGTCAGGAAGTGAAGGAGGTATGTCTGGAAGTGAAGGAGGTATGTCCGAAGGAGGTATGTCCGGAGGAGGTATGTCTGGAGGAGGTATGTCCGGAGGTGGAGGAGGAATGTCCGGAGGTGGAGGAGGAAAACACAGTGGAAAAGGTAAACACGGAGGTCGTGGAGGTAAATTTGGAAAGAAAGGAGGCATGTCCGAAGGTGGAGGAGGCATGTCAGGAAGTGAAGGAGGTATGTCTGGAAGTGAAGGAGGTATGTCCGGAGGTGGTATGTCTGGGGGTGGAGGAAGTAAACACAAAATTGGAGGAGGTAAACACGGAGGCCTTGGAAGTAAATTCGGAAAGAAAGGAGGTGGAGGAGGTATGTCCGGAGGTGGAGGAGGCATGTCAGGAAGTGAAGGAGGTATGTCTGGAAGTGAAGGAGGTATGTCGGAAGGTGGTATGTCCGGGGGTGGAGGAGGTAAACTCAAAATCGGAGGAGGTAAACACAAACTTGGAGGAGGTAATCACGGAGGTGGAGGTAGCCACATGGCGGAGTAAAGGCCAATGGTCGAGCAGTTCCAACATTAAGCAGATCATTGTGCATTAGTTCAAGATTTTATGATTGGGAAAGTAAAAGAAAGAAAAAATGTTTTCTAATACGTTTTATGTTTATATGTAATGTTGAATCTGATTATTATGATAAAAAAGACATAAATATGATACAATGTTTATTTTAAGAACAATAATAATGTGGCAACACTTTATTCCATTCTGTAGTAGAATTGCTTCTGTTATTCAATTATACGTAAGCATATAGTATTATAAAGAGGAGGTTTTACTGGTTATTTTCTATCTTGTAATTGATTTTTCTGGTTCAAAATAGAAATTCAACTAACAAAGCGGTTTGGGCTTGTTGACAACAAAAATCATCAATAGAACTTAAAGAGAATGGTATGAATATTTTTTTGAAAGTTTCAAGTAATTTTTTGCGAACGCAAATTAGTTGTTAAGGTTTTTAAGAATCATGTGTTAAGTTTATATGAATAGTTTTCAATACATAGTTTCTCACGTTCCAAGACTTTTTTCTATCATATCTCTCTCCAAATGTAAGCCTTAGGACTCGAATTTGGGGCTAACACTAAAACAGCATCCCTCTAAGTAGTTGAACCATCCATATTTGGTTCGAGCTTTTTAATTTCCATATGTGATCTGTACCATAAGACCACTCAACATATTCATGTGGTCGAGTGGTTTTGGTGAACCTTCAACAACATTCTTCTCGTCTCAAACCTGGCTCTCTCTCTCCATCCAACGGAAGAATAAGTGCACGGTTCTCGGTTTTCCGGTTATTTAGTCGCATTCTTAGTGTGTTGAGAAACAGCTTGGAACAAACCAATCACCAAAGCTCCTCTCTGTAGTTTTGTTACTCATGATTGTCTTTTAACAGCCAAGTGGAAGAATCTTGATATCACCTTTTTACAATGTTTCATAAATATCCCCAAAATTTAAGAGTTATTCCTGAAAAAATCGAATATATATGCTCGGCCTTCTCATGTTCGGCAATATTTTATTTTTGTATTATTATCTAAACTCTCACACTTGGCCAACCTCACAAGAATCTTTTACAACTTTATTTTACGAGATTTGAAAATTAAACAGCATATTGCAATTTCATCAAGCCGAATAGAGATTTACTGCAACCATCATCCGTAAAATCAAGCAAACTAGTATCCATCAAACTTCCACAAAATCTCGCCTCCTTAAATTTCTTTCGAAGCACCTATATTAGGTTGTTCCAACCGTGAACATGAATTGCAACACGACAATTAATGTTTGAGCTTTTTACAAGAAAGAAAAGATGGCCCAAAAACATGACAACCCAAAAAAAAAAGCAAAGGTGACGTGACGTAAATCTCTATTTACTCCCATCGTTTTGCATGTAGACCCCTAACAACCATCTGATAACAAAGTATGAGCCGAAGAACTCCATCAAAACAAATCTCACTCATCAAACTTTAACATTTGATTATCACAATATGTTTTCTTTTCTTATCTTCTTGTTGGAGGTTTTTCAGGTGGTTATTGCTGCCGTGGTCTCCATAGTCTTCTTAGTGTTCGCGGGTCTAACACTGGTAGGTTCAGCCACGGCATTAACCGTAACCACACCGCTTTTTATCATATTCAGTCCGATTCTTGTACCAGCCACGATAGCCACTGCTGTCATAACCACAGGATTTACCACTGGTGGCGCACTCGGAGCGATGGCCGTTGCTCTCATCAGGTGGTTCATTAAGTGAAATTTTAAAAAACTATAGATTTTTTTTTTCATGAAATTTTTGTTTAATTCTCTTTTTCTATTTTGTCTATCTTTGATTCTTTTCACATGCTACTTCATTTATTTTTAAGAATTAGTGTACCCTGTACACTTATTGTTCTTATTAATTCTTTAATGTTTTGTCTTCTAACTTATTAGTTGTCTATTCCATCACAACACATATTTAACTTTTTTTGAAACATCATCAGAAAAACTGTCAACATGATTAATAAGAAGTAGTACAATTTTGTTTTTAGTACATAATTAACCTTTGACATATATATATGTAGACGTAGGATGGGAGTAAAGCCGAGTGCGGAAGGAACTTCGTCAGCCCAACCTCTGCTCAAATTGCCAGTTTATGGTGGATATGGAGGATTTTGGGGAGGGAAGAAATTTTCTGGAACATTCGGAAATAAACCAGGGGGTGGAAATCCATTTGGAGACATCTCAAAATGGTTCGGACCAGGGGCCGCAGGTGGAGGTGCACCTGGAGGGGGCGGAAATCCGTTTGCAAACATCTCAAAATGGTTCGGACCAGGGGCCGCAGGTGGAGGTGCACCTGCCGCTGAAGCTGCACCAGCCGCTGAAGCTGCGCCTGCCGCTGGAGCTGCGCCTGCCGCTGGAGCTGCGCCTGCCGCTGGTGGAAGTACACCACCCACATGGTAAAGGAAATAAGTCAAGTTGTTCCAACATGTAGATTGTGCGTTGATTCAAAAGGAAACAAAAGCTTTTTAAAACGTTTTATGTTCATATGTAATCTCAAAGCTGCTTATACTGAAATAAAGAAACACAAGACTATGCTACAATGTTTATTAATTTAACTATAAATCATATAACGTGATGAACAAACGGGAACGTATAATGTATAATGTACGGTCGACTCTCAGGTGGTCCGCACTGTATAGTTCACCAAAGATCCTCTGTAGTTTTATTACGCACGATTGTCTTTTAACAGCCAAGTGGAAGAATCTTGATATCATCTTTTTTTTTGTCAATGTTTCATATATATCCCCAAAATTTAAGAGTTATTCCTGACAAAATCGAATATGCTCGGCCTTCTCATGTTCGACGATATTTTGTTTTTGTATAATCAAAACTCTCCCACTTGGTCAACCTCACAAGAATCTCTTACAAATTTATTTTACGAGATTTGAAAATTAAACAGCATATTATATGCAATTTCATCAAGCCGAATCAAGATTTACTGCAACCATCAGCCGTAAAATCAAGCAAACTAGTATTCATCAAACTTCCACAAAATCTCTCCTTGGATTTCTTTGAAGCACCTATTTTAGGTTGTTCCAACCGTAAACATGAATTGCAACACGACTATTAATGTTTGAGCTTTTACAAGAAAGAAAAGATGGTCCAAAAACATGACAACCCAAAAAAAAAAAGAAGCAAAGGTGACGTGACGTAAATCTCTATTTACTCCCATCGTTTTGCATGTATAGACCCCTAACAACCATTCAATAATAAAGTATGAGCCGAAGAACAAATCTCAGTCATCGAAATTTAACATTTCTCCCAATATGTTTTCTTTTCTCATCATCCTAGTGTCGGAGGTTTTTCAGGTGGTTATTGCTGCCGTGGTCTCTATAGTCTTCTTAGTGTTAGCGGGTCTAACACTGGCAGGTTCAGCCACGGCATTAACCATAACCACACCGCTTTTTATCATACTCAGTCCTATTCTTGTACCAGCCACGATAGCCACTGCTGTCATAACTACAGGATTCACCGCCGGTGGCGCACTCGGAACGATGGCCGTTGCTAGTCTCATCAGGTGGTGGTTCATTAAGTGAAATTTTTAAAAACTATAGATTTTTTTTTGTTTTATAACAAACTTGTTTAATTCTCTTTTGTCTATCTTTGATTCTTTTCACATACTACCTCATTTATTTTTAAGAAGTAGTGTACACTGTCCACCTTAATGTTCTTATTAATTCTTTAATGTTTTGTCTTCTAACTTATGAGTTGTCTATTCCATCACAACCCATGTTTACCTTTTTTTGAAACATGATATCATTAGAAAAATTGTAAACGTGATTAATAAGAAGTGGTACAATTTTGTTTTTAATACATAATTAACCTTTGCACGCACTTGTGAGTATATATGTAGCCTGCGACGTAGGTTTGGAGGTAGGAGATTTGGGGGAGGTAGGAGGTTTGGGGGAGGTAGGAGATTTGGGGGAAGATTTGGAGGGGGCCAAAATCCGTTTGGAAATATCTCAAAATGGTTAGGACCAGGGGCCGCAGGTGGAGGTTTACCTGGAGGACTTGGAGGACTTGGAGGGGGAGGTTTACCTGGAGGACTTGGAGGCCTTGGAGGTGGAGGTTTACCTGGAGGACTTGGAGGCCTTGGAGGGGGCGGAAATCCGTTTGGAAACATCTCAAAATGGCTCGGACCAGGGGCTGCAGGGGCCGCAGGTGGAGATGCACCTGCCGCTGAAACTGCACCTGCCGCTGGAGCTGCACCAGCCGCTGGAGCTGAACCGGCTGCTGGTGGAAGTACACCACCCACATGGTAAAGGAAATAAGTCAAGTTGTTCCAACATGTAGCAGATATATATTGTGTCTTGTGCATTGATTCATAAGGAAACAAAAGCTTTTTAAAACGTTTTATGTTCATATGTAATCTCAAAGCTGATTATACTGAAATAAAGAAACACATGGACTATGCTACAATGTTTATTAATTTATAGTATAAATCATATAGCGTGATGAACAAACGGGAACGTATAATGTATTAATGTACGGTCGACTCTTAGGTGGTCGGGCACTGTAGTGCATATAGTATCAATTCTTAAAGTTTATATACTAAGTAATTTTAAATTAAAAATTGTTAATTGAACTGAGGATAAATTATAAATATTTTATTAAAAATTACGTTACATTTGTAACTAAATTTTCTTTCGACATCTACATTTTTTAAAAATCGTCTATATTGTCAATCAAATTGCTGTTTTTTTTTCTGGTCAACGATCAACAAACCAAACTTTTTATGGTATATACTGACAAGCGACAACTATAATATCTATGTAACGGTTGCATGACTAGTGACTAATACAAATTTAGCCAATAAACTCTGTTTTCTTCTGAAACTCTGTTTTATAACATTGTTTATATGATCGAAACTTCAAAGACTTACAGAAGATCAAGAATCAGTTTACATGCAAAGAGAAGTAACTCGTTTTGCGACATTGCAATAAATCATTACAATTAAATTTACCATATACATGACAAGATCTCTCATCTCTCATCTCTCATCTTGATCTTGTAGATTTTAACTAAATCCACTTTATTTATCGGGTTTCTTTTGTTGGCTGCTTTAATTTCCCAATTTAATCGACCAACTCTGAGATCCAATCAAAATGTGACAAATCCAAATCAAAATCCAAATCGGACGGCTCATAATGATCATCCACAATGCTCATCCGACTCCAACACTTCAACAACACCTTCTCCTCGTTACTATCTAAATCATCTTTCCCGCTTCTCACCGGAGACCGTGACGTGTCGTAATCCTCGCTGTCCATTCTCATCGCCACTCCATCGCCATTTCCTCCACCTCTAGCCCTCACCGGCCTATAAGCGTACCTGCACCTGTGCTTTCCCTCAGACTGCCTTAGCTGCTCCGGCGCGTGTGCAAAGAAACACACTTTCCTCTGACACAAGTTTCCGGCGTTGCAGGCGCGTGTTCGGTAACGCGCCGGGTGGAGCCAGTACTCGAATACGCCATGTGCGAATTCGCATGAGTCTCCACGGTGGCATGCGCCATTTCGGAAAGCCGGGCATGCGACGGCACAGTAAGTGTAACGGCGAGGATCACGGCGTGTGGCTTTCTCGCCACGGTGAGCGTAGGGACACTCCGTCCAGTCGTGGCTGCGAGTACGAGGACACCGTTTGATCTTGTAGGCGTACATGCGGAACTCATCAGAGCCGTAGATCGCATCGTCGATGTTTGGGATCGGAGGGTCGATCTCGTAAGCTCCTGCATTCCCAGGTTTGCTTACGATGTACCCGAAAGTAGAGTATTGCTGCTCTCCGATATCGTAGAATGCCATTGGAGTTACACTTTTCAACATTTTTCCTTGCAATGATCTAAAGATTTATTTTGGTTTAATACATGTCTTTCAAAATTTAGGAAAGGGAAAAAACTATAGAGATTTCATCTTAGGAAAATCTTAAATAATTTACGAAACTGAAAGGGGAATTTATAGGAAGAAAAACGAAATAAAAAGTCGAATATTTAATAATTTTACCTTTTGCAATGAAAAATGCCAAAACTATATTTTAAACGTTACAGTTAATTTTTGTTGCATGAACTTACTTATATACTATGGATAAATAATATGTTAACGGCAACGGAAGATGGCAAAAGATAAACTAATACGATTTGAAGATTTTTTTTTTCTTTTCTCAAAGGCAGCATCAGATCATATGTAAAGTATATTACCGTAATTTACAAAACAATTGTCATCAACTTGTATATTTAAATATTTGATTTAAAAAAAAAAAAAAATTGATTATGGTGTTAAATGGTATTTGATTCGTGAGAGGTAAAGTTAACAGATGTTAATAAAAACGGTAGCGTTTTTGTGTGAAGGAAGAGTAGTGAAAAAAAACATTTGGAAACACACGAGTGGTAAAAATTGCATGGGAAGACACACGTGTAAGTGGTAATCAGAAGAACTTAAATAATAAAGAGGAGAGGAGCACCATCTGGCACACGTGTCGAGACGAATCCTTTAAATCCTCGACAGCCGTTTCTCTCCTTTGCAAACTTGGTAGGTTTGGTGAGAGCATTGCTAAATCCAAAAACATGGAAATATATATATATATATTTTACAAATGTCATTTCCATAATTTATATTTTAGTCGTTATAAATTTGATCGAAGTAGGAAATGCTTATACAGCATATTATTTACACCGCAAAGTAGCTTATTTATTGTTTTTTTTTAATTTATATCCGAAAAGTTTTACGTTAAATACATTTCCTTGGACCGGGGATCAGACAAAAAGAAAGCTTTTTCTCGCATCTAATGATCGAATCGCTTTTTCTTTATGTCCGAAAAGTTTTTCGCTAAATATATTTCCTCGGACCGGAGATCAGACGAAAATAAAACTTTTTTCTCGTATCTATTATTCGAATCGCTTTTTCTTTATATCCGAAAAGTTTTACGGTAAATACATCTCCTCGGACTGGGATCATGCGAGAATGAAGCTTTTTTTTTTTTTTGTCAAAGTTTAAAGATATTTATTAGTGAATGAAGCTTTTTCCTACCATATCATATTCGAATCCAACTTTCCTAAAACATGGTTTTAGATTCAACTGTTTTAGCTACGAATTTCAGGTAATTGTTTTATTGTTTAGAGCCTTTAGACACTAGATTAATGTTTTTATTTCTGGCAGATCTATAAACTGACGGTTTTTCATTAGAATCTATGCCAGCTTACAAGTTTTGCTTGGAAAGACGCGTATACTTTTCTTCAGAAAAGAAGCAATTGCATGCACAAATGTTAACGTCTAACTTTTTTCCTTTTTTAGTTAAACTTTTTAACCATCAAACAGCTTTCCTCCAAGTTGCAGCATTTTGCTCAACAAAAAAAAAAAAGCGTCATTATAGAGTGAAAGTAGTTCTTGTGGATCTTGAAGGAAATGTGAAGAACTAAATTGAAACGTGTAACCAAAGAAACACATCTCATGATCAACTAACAAGCGGAATTACAAAAGAAAAAATAGAAAAATAAATCTCATAAATATTTATCAAACAAAAAAAAGAATTAATAAAAACCTTTCATCACTTTCCTTGAAGCTTGTATCCTCCGATTGCGTTTATTAACGTCGCGTTTTAGTTTATTTTCTGAATGTCCGACCTCTGTTGCGGCTCCTAAGAATCCGGTCTGAGTTCCGTCGTTGTCATTGTCAATGTCTCCTTCGATCGTTAATCCTTCAATCCTAGCCGCAATGGATTCCCCTTTCACCCCAACATCTACATCTATACGTAAAAAATGTGCAATCATCATTTCATTTGACGCTACAAATCTACTTAGGAAAATCAAAATGTTGTTAGGTTGTCGTAATAATGTATCCTTTTTATCTTATATCAACCAAGCATACCATATTGATAAAATCCATTCTAACCACACGTTTCTGTCATGTGAGTTCCATAGTGATAAAAAAAGATCATATGTTTAACAAATCTTAATTCATGGCCTTCTAAATACATCACAATAGTAAATAATTAGATCAAAGACTAGAAATGAAACATTCCCAAATAGAATTGGTTTGTTTGCACGCATATAGAATCGCACCAATAGATGACAGCCTAAGATCATGGATAGGGACACAATGTGTATAATTGTACACAAACCTGGATTAGAGAAGAACCAAAGGACGAGAGCACAAGCAAGAAGGACAAAAGGGATTATGTGAACGGCGTTTTCAGCAAACTTGGTACGTGACTTCTCTTTCTTGGTCACCTCTTGGCCGATGGGATCGTATGGAGCCGGCTCGTCTTCGTCTAAGCCCTTCCATAATCCCTTTGGTGCGGACCAAGGCACCGAGTAATCCTCCGTCACACGGTTCCAGCTCGCGGATCTGTACATATTGCGCCTATATAATCCGATCTTGTTGTGTAGAAGGGATTGAATCAGTTTCCGTACAACGTAACTAATTAAGGCTAAAAGATATTACGTTTGTGTCAAATCTCAAATGAGATAAAAATTCGTAATTCGTTACTAAAAAGTAAAAACCCCTTAAAAAATTATTAATTATTTGGTGGCGAATTTAGGGCCTATGCCTTTGGTAAATCCAGATCGAAGTAAGGACTCTGTCAAATTCTTGAATGAATCTCACTTCTTTTGTTTCATTGGAGAGCATTATTAATTACGTAATTTTTTGCAAATTATTATATACTTTATAGTTCTTTTCTTCTATTTGTAAATGGAAAAACATTTCAGAAAAAGCAAAATCTAAATTAGACGCTCATATACATATATATTATTATTTATATTCGAGTGGTATTTTGATTTCATTGAATATTTGGAAATAGGGAAAATTATATGCTAATATATCTCACATTACAATATAACACGTATATATGTCTCTGATATACATGTCCACGTTATCACAGGTTAAACACAAAAGGACATGGACTGAGTTATACCGTGTACCAAACCAAACCGGGCTATCGTACTCTTATACCAACCTTAGACCTGACCAGTCCTTCATTCTTTTTTTTTTTTTTTTTTTTATAATCAGTCCTTGATTCTGAGAGTGTCAATGAACCTATCCCCTTGGGAAATGTCATTCTTGACTAGAAAATCAAGGAAATCGTTAAAGCTGCTCTCTTTATACCGAACCGGATTTTTATCGTTAACCAATTCACACGGGACACTCATCTTATCGTCCATACCCAAGCTATGCAAGCTCGCGAGAGAGATTCTCGTATTCTCTTCATTCAATGTGACTTTATGAACGATGCTCTTGTATAATCCATTGCTTAGCACTTCCACATGGTCACCAATATGGACCTAATTATAGAAAAAAAGAGCATTTAGTACGAAAATGGTAACTACAGTTTTTGTTTTAGATACACCGTAGGAAATCAAGTTATAAATTAACCGGGCTCACGTAGTCACGTGTTTCAAGTTTTTCGGTTTAGGTCTAAACCGGTATAGTTGAAACGTACCTTAAGTACACCTGTGACTTCTGGGACAGCAACCCAGCGGCCAGAGCCACCGTGAGCCAATGGATCGAAGATCTTGAGACCGGCCAAGTTCTGTAGAAGGATGGTGATGCAACTATAGTCTGAATGCGGCGGCAGGCCTAGCGCAGTCTCAGGGTCCGGACACGCTGGATAGCAGTTAACGGTCATGACTTGCATGCCGTTTTCGTCCATCCGAGACGACAGGTAGTCTCTCCCTAGCCCGAGGCTCTCCGTTATTGCTCCCATTATCTCTATTGATAGTTCCTTCACTTCCTCGCAGAACTTTCCCATTTTTTCCCTGAGATATTCACAAAAACGCACACACATGTGTATAATTAAATACGTACAATATACGATTTATACTACTACACAATGTGATAGACATAGACGGTCCTGACTCTTGAGAGAACTTAAAAACGTAAAACAAACAGAAATAAAATGTCTTCTTAATTATATACATTTTCAACTCTTAATCTATTCCATTACATTAAATAAAATAAGATAAAAGATGGTCAAATCATAAATTAGTTTATTCTAAATTCAGTTCTTAATTTCTGTAACATATAGGCAACAAAACGGTTTAAATCATAAAACCCATGGTTAGAAGAAAAACAAAACCGTGTGCTATGTTAGAGAACAAAAGCAGGAAAAGTGTACACGTACAAATAACAACAAAGCTATATTTTTATGATTACTAAAAGAATGTTGACAAAAAAAAACGGCAAAAAAACGGACCAACAACAGGTAAAAGTAAAGAATAAAAGAAATGTGAAAAAAAAATTTATCAACAATTTTTTGAAGTAAAAAGAAAGACATGGAAGGATAAACTAACAACGTTAGCTAGCTTAACGATGTTGTAACTAAATTATATGTATAGTGGAAAGAGAAAATTAGCTATTTAAATTGAGATTGAAAATTTGAATGAAAATATCTATTGCATGAAGCTTCTACAGTATTTTAATATTCAGATAATATTTTAATGTTTTTAACATAAGGACAAAAAAGAATAAAATTGATAAGTGAAATTAAAGGTTGCAAGTACAACGGATTGTTTCTTAAACCTTACCTAAGTTAGGACGGTCCAGGTGATTCAGTCCATTAGGTGCACAAGAATAAAGACAAAATTCGCCGCTATAAGCAATCCATTTTTGTTTATTTTGTAGATGCAATGTATAAGTATGACCTAATCAGTGACATGTAATACCTGTATCCGGGTGGATTCTCAGGCCAAAGATGAATCCAACGATGAAGAGGATGTGCATAGTGCTTTAGAAAAATCCTCCAGAATTGGATATTGTCCAAACCATCCTTGAGACTCGTACTGTACCGAACCGGTGCATACACATCGTTTGACATAAACTTCTTCTTCTCCTTCGCTGGCAGCTCGAAAAAGCGTCTTGCAACCTCCAAGGCGTCGTCTAGTATGTTCTGGTTGATTCCATGGTTCACTATCTAATATATTAATCGGACCAAAAAAAAAGAAAATATGAATCAGTTAGAGTGGAAGGAACCGGAAAATGTTGAAAAAATTCGGAGCCAATTAACCAGACACTCCATTTAAACCGGTTTCCCCCGGCATGTGACAGCCACGTCACGTACTCCCGTTACTAACACAGCTGATATTTTGATTTCAACGAAATACGATATAGCTGATATAACGTGATTTTAAATAATGACACGAATTATAGTATAGACTATTGAATCCGTGGTTATCAAATGTAAACAAAATTCTACATAATATATCTCGTTGATTTTTTTTTTGGTGAATAATATTATATCGTTGATAAAAAGAAACAAAAAGATTTTTGTGGATGAAAAAGCAGTTTCCTTGTAACCAAATTTTCGGGAAAAAAAACTGAAGTTATATGAATTTACTTGTAAAATAACTTACTTGAAAAAAACCAAGATGCTGACATGCCAAACTTAGCTCTCGAATAACCCCTCGACGTTCATCATCTCCACCTTTCAGCCGAGAAACATCGATAGTGGGTAAGATTTCGGAATTTGAGTCACATGGTTCGCAAGAAGGCGGGACAACGTAACAATCGGGTACATACGGTAAACTCCTCTCTTGTGCAGAGTTCCCCATTTTGAATGTGCTTGAATCCTCACCTTTCTCCATTGTGTTGAGATTTGAATTTGAGTGCTGAGAAACCGGTTAATATTATGAGGGGAAAACTAAAAATGAAAGTGCGAGTGGCTCCTCTATAAATAAGCTTTGTAGCCGTTTATTGATATTTTGGATATTTTTTTTTAGCAGATATTTTCAGAGTTATATATTAAATATATGACGGTCGAATACTAAATTATTATTCTTCTTTTTGGAAGATCTAGAGCATGTGTAACTGCCAAATGTATATGTGTACCAATAACGAATCATTATGAACATTCATTTGTTGTACGAAATATATAAGAGTGGCCAAATTCATATATGACGAGGGACATTAGATGTTGGGATGTAGCAGGAACACTAACATGGATTTATTATTTAATGAAGACTTTGATCTCATTCATAGTACCATCTACAAAAAACAAAGAAAAACTTTCCGAAAAAAAGTATCCTCTTGTCCGGATTTCAAGCCTTCATAAATATGTTGGACACACATGTGGATATATATATAGAGATAAATTCGATATACATGTCCTATGAATTGTATGATTATGTAAAAAAGTTTTTGAAATTGTTATATGGTCTTGCGTAAGGTCTAGGTAAAATGTATTCGCCGGTTCCTTCATGCAATGGGCATTTATCTACCTTTTTATTATCAAAGTTTTGGGACAAAAAATGTCTGATGTCACTGACATTAGAAGGACCATGGTATACACATATGAAGTTTCATGAATCATAAAAACTATATATTTTAAAAACATAATTAACACAACTAGAACTTGATAAATAATATTACATCAAATTTTCATGGAAATACAACTAGCTAGCTGTTATCAAATTAAGGAAATATTTTTTTTTAGAGGTCGCCGGTTCGAGTGACGCTTGAGACGAAACTAATATTACATGTTGTGGTTTCGGAGCTGGGGGATTACGGGTTTTGGCCCCGAACTTCCTGGTATTCAAAAAAAAAAAAAAAAAAAAATTTAAGAGTGTTCTAGTGATATATTAGTACTTTTAGCAGTTGGTATATTAGTTCATTTCTACAAATTCACAATACGTAAATAAAACTTGCAAAAACAAAAAATTGGTTATCACATAAATTGATCAAACATGTGTGTGTTAAAAACTCGACTATATTTTACTTATTATCTCAAAAGGCTAAGTCCTATAGTAGTATTTCAAATCATGCATGTTCCAACAAATATAAAAAGTATTACAAGGAAAAATCTCCCGGAAGCATATTAGGTAGGTTTGGTAAAGAGAAACACTCAGGATTAGTCGAGAAGTTCTGGTTCAACACCCCTCCAATGCCAATTCCAAGCCTCTGCGAGTATTTTTAGAAAAGGAAAAGTACATAATAACTAATGTCACCAATCCACTAGATCATATATAAATTATAAACACATGCATTATTTACAGGTCGCTACAATCTTCCCTAATTAATCACAATCGCGAAAATAAATATGAATTACTTCTTCAATATCTTCATGAAGATTTAACCAATTTAGGGATGTAGACTTTAACTAACAGCACAAGAATCATATGAATTGTGTAACACGAAAAATTTGTTAAGAAAAAAAAAACAAAGGCCAGGTAACAAAGCAGATCATATATATATATATATATATTTTATGGTGGTTGTGAAGTTAGGTTATCCACCAATGAGCAACCTTAACATATGCCCTATATATAACACACATATATTTACATTCACACATGCATATAGACAACGATAGCAATACAAGAAAAATAAACGCAATTTATTGAAAAAATACAAAGAGCGTGCACTATGGAGAAGACGTCGACGATACAATTTCTTTTCAATCTCTGCATCATATTTGGGATTGTAGTAATAAGAAGATGCAATGCAACAACATACTTTGTGGGAGACAGCTCCGGTTGGGACATAAGCTCCGATCTTGATACTTGGACTTCAGGCAAGCGTTTCTCTCCTGGTGATGTTCTAAGTAAGTATCTATCATATAGACACTTTAATACTCTCATTCTAAAAATCGCTAGACGGTAGCTAATGTTTGCTTCATCCAACTATATATAATTAAAAAAATCTCAAATTAATTTAATTTTCCCCTTAATGAACTAAGTCTAATTATGTGTATATTGTTTTTGCAAGTGTTCCAATACTCATCGACGCATAGTGTATACGAAGTGGCTAAAGACAACTACCAAAACTGCAACACAACAGATGCAATCCGTACGTTCACAAACGGGAACACGACAGTTGCTCTTTCCAAACCGGGAGACCGGTTCTTTGTATGTGGCAGTAGGCTCCATTGTTTTGCTGGTATGAGGTTACGGGTCCATGTTGAAGGCAATGGCCCATCTCAGGCCCCCGTGGGATCTCCCCAAGCCGCCACTGCAGGGATTCTTCAACCATCTTCTAAAAAGAATAACCCTGCGACCGGGGTCGCTAGCTCGGCCGCCCGTTTTGTTGGCGACAGCGGTTGGAGGGGTAGTATGGGAATTTTTGTATATTTTATGGTTTTTGCTTTTCCATTCATATGGTCTTGTTGATTAACAACTATAATGTCTATAATAAGAGTTTTCATGTATATGTATATTCATATTTTCCCTAATGAGTAAGAGTATTTATTGGTTGAGTTTCTTCATTTTGGTTTGAGTTTATGACCAAATTAAAACCGAAATTTTTGGTTCGTTATAAGATTACCTACAAATTTTGTTTTATTTGGTCAGCAGATAAACAACGTTATCTATGTTTAAAATTATCAATCAATCAATATATAATAATAATAATAAAAAGAATTTGAGTTAGATTCTTTGATTACATTGAATTTTGTATCTGAACGATTCTATCGCGGAAAATTCAGATTTTTTTTGGAGAACTATCGGTTTAAAGTTTAGGTAATTGTATCTGGTTCGGTTTAGTAAATTCATCGTTTGACCGTGTCTAGTGTCTATTATCACTGCGATTAAAAAAGTTGTGGTTACTTTCTTATCGCAATCGCTACTAAAACGCAAACGCGAAATACTAGAAGACACGTCTTCCGTTTCGCAGCATCTCTCTCTCTCTCTCCATAGCCTGTCAGCCTGTCTTGTCCTGTCTTCATATCTCTCTCTCTAGAAATTTCTCAATGAACATACTCAACAGGTTGGGTTTGGGATCAAGTGGGCAAACCAATATGGATCCTTCTCCGATCGCTCAGGGAAACGACGGTGACGCTCCGTCACCGGGGAATCAGTTTGCTCAATTCGGCGCTGGATGCTTCTGGGGTGTTGAGCTGGCGTTTCAGAGAGTCCCAGGTGTGACTCAGACCGAGGTTGGATATACACAAGGGATCGTAGACAATCCTTCATACGAAGATGTTTGTTCTGGTACCACGAGCCATGCGGAGGTTGTTAGGGTTCAATATGATCTCAACGATTGCAGCTATGAATCTCTGCTTGATTTGTTCTGGTCTAGGCATGATCCCACCACTTTGAATCGCCAGGTACGGCTAATCCAAGATTTAAAGTTTTAACCTTTCACGTTTGGGGATTGAGAAAGATTTTGTCTTTAGAATTATTGATTCTAATTAGGATGTGCCTGAGCCTGAGGACTTTTTGTGCTTTAGGGATTTCTTGATTTTTGTTCCATCACCAGTCTAAACTCTGAAAAACTTGTAATTTTGGAACTTTGGTCATCCAAGTAGATAATGAGGAAATAAATGATATTGAGTCTTGATTTTTGTTGAATTATGAGGCTGAAGTTGGTAGCTTTGGTTGTTTGAATCTTTGTATGAGGTCGTTTTGTTCTGTTCATGATCATTGGTCAACACTGGATTTTATGTTTGGCTATACGGATGTTAGTTTGGCTTACCATTTATCTGTGTATAGAGAACGATAATCATTTGCAATTTACTGCTAGATTTGTTTGAGGCAATTCATTAGCTTATAGTCAAATTATCTCGTTGGTGTTCTAGGCGAAGTATATCTCAAATTCTACGCATATGCGAACCCAAATCCTTAGCCGTTTGGAAACATCTGATCCACAGTGACATATAAACAATTGATTGCCCCGTTTTAGCTTTTCATCATTTGGACTAACAACAAAATCATATAGTCTTCTGGCCCAAGCGGTCCGTTTAGGTTCGATGGCTTTAGCAATTTCTGTTGTTGCAAACTCGGGACAGTTATCTCAATGATGTTAACATTGTGTTGCAGTATTATTATGATGGAAAAAGATCCTATATATCCTCTCTTGTGCATGAGGCTTCTTTTCCGACAGTCTACATTTGCATCTTCTCTGACTTTCATTGGCATATACTGACCAGTCATATGACTTTATCTCATGAGTTTTATTTCTCTATATAAGTACTATCATAACATTCTTCAGCTAAAGAACTCTGTTTTTTCGGTAGCCTACTTCTATGCTATCATTGATACTATGTTATATGACTTTACTGTGATCAGGGAAATGACGTGGGGACCCAATACCGATCCGGAATATACTTTTACACACCCGAGCAGGAGAAACTAGCCCGTGAGTCACTTGAACGTCACCAGCAACAAATGGAAAGGAAGATCATGACTGAGATCTTGCCAGCTAAGAAATTCTACAGAGCTGAAGAGCATCATCAACAGTACCTGTCAAAGGGTGGGCGGTTCGGCCAGGGGCAATCCACTGCCAAAGGCTGCAACGACCCAATCCGCTGCTACGGCTAAAAAGCTCCTTTCCTCTTCTCCCAAAACAGAGGATTTAGCACCTAAGGACTTGTGTGCAATATATTGTGTAAAACTACCGAAGTTGATCACACGCTATGTAACTACTACTTTGGAATTTTATTTGCAATGTTGTAATATTGATGTTATACTCTATAAACCTAAACCAAATAATCATTGCGATCCTGAATAGATCTGTGAAACTCGTAGACTTATAATTGAAGCCAACGAATAAAAAAGAAGAGTGTAGGAGGGCCATTCCTTTAGTCTCCTTAACAAACGTGCCCACCAACCTACAAGTTGCATACTTGCATGATTGCTTATTAAAGTCATCCCATAATTTAAACTTTATATTTCTGCTAAAAAAAAAAATCAGACAAACCAAAAATTTAAAATTTAAATGATGTTTCCAAATTATAATCATGGTTGTTGGACTTTAATTTTCTATAGACATTTTAAAATACAATTCAAGAAACGAAGCGTGATATATTAACAATTGACCAAATTAGAAATATTACACAATAGTATTGAACGTATTTTTCTTGTGTCAGATACTAATATTGAAATTTGAATATTCTAATTAGCGTTGATTTTTAGGTGTTAATCTCTGACTCTGACTTGCTTCTTTCTATATATAAACGATCTTCACGAGGTTTCATCATCAACAATACACTTAAGACTTTAATAATGGATTCTTCTCTGAAAACTCAGGAGCCTCAAGTAGTAGATACACCTGAAACTACTCCTTCTCCAATAGCTCAGGAGCCTCCTCAAGTAGTTGACAAACCTGCGGTTGTTCCTTCTCCGATAGCTCAAGAGCCAGACAACGATGTTCCGGCGCCGGGAAACGAGTTTGCTGAGTTCGCCGCCGGGTGCTTCTGGGGAGTTGAGCTTGCTTTCCAGAGAATCCCTGGCGTGACCGTGACTGAAGTCGGTTACACTCAGGGGATCTCTCACAATCCGTCTTATGAAGATGTCTGTACGAACACCACGAACCATGCAGAAGTTGTTAGGGTTCAGTTTGATCCTAAGGAGTGTACCTATGAGACGCTTCTTGATTTGTTTTGGTCTAGGCATGATCCAACCACCTTGAATCGTCAGGTATCTATTTTTGTTTGGTTTTGTAGGTTTCTTTACGGTTTGATGATTAGAGGATCTAGGGGTTTTGGTGTCTTTTCTGGTCAAATTTGTGCGTCTTGAGACTTGCTCTGCTTGAGTCCATGGCTTCTTCAAGAGTGTTGACTTTTTTGGGGGAATCTTCTTGTCATTTGCATCTTCTGATTGTTTTGGTTTGTGTAGTGTAGAGACATGTATATGGTAATGCTTAAAGTGGATTTTTGTTCTTGTCTTGAACTTTAATTTGATGGTGCTTGTCCTCAATTTTAGCTCTCATTGTAAATGTGATATTTAGCCATCATTCTTCTTGACAAAGTTCAATTTTTAACGGATCTTTAAACTGTTGCAGGGAAAACTTTTGGGAGCACAATACCGATCAGGTATATATTTCTACACACCAGAGCAAGAAAAACTAGCACGCGAGTCTCTAGAGAAAGAGCAGACAAAACTGGAGGATAAGATTGTGACTGAGATCTTACCGGCAAAGAAATTCTACAAAGCTGAAGAATACCATCAGCAATACCTCGTCAAAGGCGGGATGCATGGCAACGCTCAATCACCTGCAAAGAGCTGCAAGGACCCTATCCGCTGCTACGGCTAATCAAAATCATTTGTTGCTCTTCTCCCAAAACAGAGGACTCTCTCAGAGGACCTCTGTACCTGTTTGTTTGTTTGTTGGTTTGTGTGTGTCTTAATATGTACTTGTCAGCTCATACATAATAAAAGATGTGGGATCATCTCACCTTTGTAAACTTCTCTTAGGGGGGCTTATTGGGATGTTGATTTGTGTAAAGTTTCTGGATTTCAAAAGTTGAGAGATTTGCAAAAATTAAAGATTTTTGTGGATTCTAATAAATCTGTTAACACAAATTTGTGGAATCTTTACAATAATTGTATGGGTTGTCGTAGATTCTTGATGACTTTTACTTCAAAAGTTTATTAAAAAAATATTTGATATGCTTGCTTTCCAAATATTTTCTCTTTTAATAAGGAATGTTTATTTGCTTATAATGGTGGTTTGACGTAGAGAAAAACTCATTTTTTCCAATCATCATCCGTGGCGAGCGAAGGTACAAAAACTATATTTTTTTTTTGTTTCTTCATCATAGTTTTGATACATTTATTCATTGGGAATGAAAGATGTATTTGCGGATATGTCGGTTGAAGAACGCTACGGTTGGATCCAAAGCAACATTAGTTCTGAATGATCTGTTCTTTTTTTCTTTTCTCGTATTGCTTTTACTAGATTTCTTTTTTTATTATTGTTTTGAGATTAAATTTTAAATTGCTTTACGATATCAAACTGGATTATTGTTTTTGGTTCGTTGAATGAATAATATTTATAGCCATTACCAGTTCTTTGCTCGTGACTTGTTCGTGACTTCTCTTCTTGATAACATGTGATATCTTTTATCGTATATGTCTCTCTATTAGATAGTGGAAAGGAGAGGAGTTTTTAATTTGTTATAGATATTTTTAAAATACGTAGGATAACTAGAGTATTTTGAAAGTTGTTGTTAATGAGTAAAAATATAAAGAATCATTGTTCCAATAACATTAGAGTTTGACAGAATTGCAAAATCAATAAATACACAACTTTTTGAATAACAAAAGATTTTAAATAGAATTGTAAAATCCATACACCAATAACACTATATTTTAATTGAATTGCAAAATCACAACACCAATAATACCAGAGTTTACTAAGAATAAAAGAATCTACAAACCAATAACAATAGAATCTTAAAATTTTAAAAGTCTTTATAAATCAACATCCCAATAAGCCCCCCTTAGTTACTCAAATTCAACTAATAAATATCTGAATAAACTCATTAGTACTCCAAACTAGCTGAGTCTGAATTCTGAAATTAGAAAATGGGACAACTCTCTCTTTCTAAAATTCATTTGGGCCATCCGTAAGAAGCCCATATTTTAGCCAATCAAGCAAAGGTAAAACCCATTCCATTGTTTCGTGCATTTGGAAAGATTTTAGAGATTGTTTAGTGTCATATCAAGGATTTGTTTTTTGATCAAAAAAAAATAAAAAAAAATCAAGGATTTGTCTTTATGTGGAGTAAATCTGATTTGAGTCTGTAAAGATTACTTCACCAATTTCTAATATGTATAGAATTTTCTGTTGTCTCTTCTCGGTTTTACACATTCTTATTTATTTATATGCTATTTAAATAGCTGACAAAAACATACTATAATTCTGATCATTTCAATTTCTTTCACATTCAGAATATAAGACGTGATATAATCATCTAAATCAAATTAATAATAAATAAATAAATAAAACAAATCACCGTCAGATACGAATTATAAGATATCCCAATTAAAAAATAATGAGAAGTGAAAAAGATATAAGATTGAGTGATCTTAAATATACACAAATCTTTGAATATTCACAACATGTTGCTCATTACTCTTTAACGTGTTTGGCACCTTGGTCCTGGCTCATATGAGCATAACAGTATTTCATGGATACTAATACCTTAATATTAATTAGGGTAAATTTATTCATTGTATACAATATAACAATAATATACATATTGGTAGAGTCTACAAGAAAAGTGAAAGTCAGAACAAAATTAAGGGGGAATTAGTTTGGTGGTTAACCAATTTTATCCTAACGAAAACCAAATCTCTCAAGTTAGCATTATCTTATTTTATTAGCATCTCTTCAACAAAGATGTAACTAATGCTTATAACGTTTTTGGTCAGACTCGGAATAGAGAAATTCTTTTAGATTATTCTTCATGGTAAGATTACTTATTTACCTTTTTCTTTTAATGTTCTATAGTTCTGACCAATTCAGTGACGTGATTAGCAACAAAATCCAACCCAATATGCCTTTACTTTCACAAGCTTTCTGTTTAAAAATCTTACATATGAAAATTTGTATTCCTTTATAATATATATTTTAATTAAATAATACTTACCTAATGACTTTATTAATCTAAATCAAACATTGTGTCTCCAATATGCCAGCCAAATGATGGTCCAAATTTAGTGGTTGGAGCTTAGAAAAAATTGCCATAAAACCATTAATCAAAAGAAATAATATTTGAAGAATTAGTAGTGAGAATCCAATAATCATTAGCATGACTAAAGTAAAACATTAACATCGATACAACATATCTTTATCTTAATATTAACACATACATGTACTAGCTACTATTTATTTCTATATATACACCCAAAACGACAGGCAAAAGAGGAGACAACAACACAAACTTAATCCATGTAATAACCTCCACATCTCTCTCCAAATCCAATAGCTTATCAGATTGATCAGAAAATGATTCACGATCAAGAACCAATGGCTGAGATCATGCCAAATGTCATAACGGCGATGTCATCTCTCCTACAAAGGGTGTCGGAGACGAACGACGATCTGAGCCGTCCGTTTAGGGAGCACCAGAGGATCTCAGCTTTCAATGCACTGACCAAACCTTCTATATCAATCAGAAGCTATATGGAGAGGATCTTCAAGTACGCAGATTGTAGCGACTCGTGTTACATAGTCGCGTATATATATTTGGATCGGTTCATACAAAAGCAGCCATTTTTGCCCATTGATTCCTTTAATGTCCATAGGCTCATTATCACCAGCGTCTTGGTCTCTGCTAAGTTCATGGATGACTTGTAAGTTCCTTTTTGTTAGGAAAAAAAATATATGATTCTTTTTAATTAGAATGAAAATTGTTCTCGTTTTGATCATTGTTTTAACGTTAATCTTTATTTGGGTTGAAATTTTTTTATAGAAATAATAATATAAATGGATTGAAGCATGCAAGCTTATTTTCACACATTACAAAATTAGAAAATTTTGGAATGATGTTTCTAATTTAGTAAGTCTAAAATTTTTTTGGCCTACAAAATACAATAGTGAACTAATAAGTCTTTTTTGACCCAAAAAAAAAAAAAAAAACTAGCAAGTCTTAAAGTTTTTGGCCTAGTTGCTACTTATTTTTCCATCAATCATCTATCTTTGTATAGTCTATAGTAATCCTTTTTTTTTTCCTTAACATTTCTCTAACAAATGTACCTGAATTTGACAAAATATAGGTGTTACAATAATGCATTTTATGCGAAAGTTGGAGGAATAACCACAGAGGAGATGAACTTGTTAGAGCTGGACTTCTTATTTGGAATTGGATTCCAATTGAATGTGACAGTTTCTACTTACAACGACTATTGTTCTTCACTACAAAGAGAGATGGTTATGAGGACGATGTACTCTCCACTTTTGGAACCTTCTTTTTTAGTTAGAAGTTTACATAAGAATCTTCTGATGCATTTGTTCGACGAAGATTCACAATCTATCCATCGAAATAATCAAGTCACCACTGCTGTTTGATACATTAGGTTATTAGATCATGCTATGATATGTAACAACTTTTTTGTGAACTTCAATTTATTTCCGGTTTGATATATATAATTTATTATTTATGAAATTTCATGTAAATACAATAAATTTGTAACCGAATTTAACATATGTTTTGAATTCACTATTGGTAACTTTAAAAAGATAAATCAGAAGTACATGGGATTAATGAGGAAAAGAGAATATCCAATCATATCTTTTATTCCAATTTGTTAGTTTATTCAATCCATTTGTTTCCTTTTCCATTTCGGAAGCTCAATGATTTTTCAGTAAAAATGAAACAAAACAAAAAAACGGTAAACAGAGTAAGAAACAGAGTATAAGGGGGATTCAGCTGAATTAAGCTTCCCAACCACGCAACTGGGTGGCTCGAGCGACTCGGTTAACTCCAAGAGTGAAAGCTCCCATACGGAGGTTGCAGGAATGAGTATGGCACATTGTCTTGATGTTGTGAAAGGCTCGAGTCATGTACTTTTGCAGCTCCAAGTTCACTTTTTCCTCTTCCCACATGAACCCTTGAATGTTCTGCACCCACTCGAAGTAACTCACAGTCACTCCTCCTGCGTTTGCATATATATCTGGAAGTATAATCACTCCTTTCTTCGACAGAATCTGCCAAAACCAAACAGGTTAGGATTTAGATTCTAGGAGTTTTAGGGATGAGTTCTTGTGTTACTGATGCATTACCTCATCAGCATCTGGATCAGTTGGATGGTTAGCTGCCTCTACTATAAACTTTGCCTTGACATCTCCAGCATTTTCCCTGACCAAATATTGGAAAATATATAAGAATCAGAGAATGAATGAATCTCTATGGTTGGTGTGGATTTACGAGTGAAGTTTTTGTACTGACTTGTTCAGGACACCGCCAAGAGCGCAGGGGATGAGAACATCACACTCATGAATGAGCAGTTCGTCTGAATTCATAGCGTCTCCACCATTGAAATCATTGAGACTTCCAGTTGCGTCTTTGTGTTTTATGAGAGCGTTGATGTCTATACCTTCAGGGTTCCTGATTGCACCAGTAATGTCGCTTACTGCAACCACTTTTCCACCTTTCTCGTGGATCAGCTTGGCAGCCCATGTTCCAACATTCCCAAAACCCTGTCATATTATCCAAATCTCTCAACTTTTCTTTCTCTTATAATTTTACAAAATCAAGCTTGAGATATGAGATTAGCTGATAGTAGTTTTACCTGAATAACAAATGTCAAACCCTGAATCGATTTCCCGTACTCAGCAAGAAGAGCTTCGGTGGCAAAGACTACACCTCGTCCTGTGGCAGCTTCCCTACCTAATGAACCACCAAGATCCTACACCAAAGTGATCCAACAGTTATACACCAAAAAGCTCAAAACTTTGGAAATCAATCACACAGAAACATCGAACTATCAACAGATTCCGAACTCAGAATGATATAATCAAAAACACAAAAGCCTTACAATGGGCTTTCCAGTGACAACAGCAGGGGAATGACCATGAAACTTGGAGTACTCATCAAGAATCCAAGCCATAGTTTGAGCGTTAGTGCCCATGTCAGGAGCAGGCACATCGGTGTGAATACCGATAAGATCATGAATCTTCTGGGTGAAGACACGAGTCAACCTCTCAAGCTCGCTCAAACTCAAGTCACGAGGACTACATCCAATTCCACCTTTAGCTCCACCGTATGGAATGTCTGCTACAGCAGTTTTCCAAGTCATCAGCTGAGCTAGTGCGTTCACTTCATCAGGATCAACCTTCAAAACCAAAAATCAAAACCCTTAATTCCAAATCCCTAAATTCAACCCATTTCTTCAATTGAAAACCCCAAAGTTTACAACTTTAAACCTTAGATCGAAAACAAATGATTAAAGACAAAGAAAGATGATGGAAATGATTAAAGACCCTACCTCAGGATGATATCTAATTCCACCTTTCATGGGTCCACGAGCATTGTCATGTTGAACCCTAAATCCGATGTATGAAACAAGAGTTCCATCGTCTTTAGGTATCGTACACTCAACCTGAGAATCACAAGTCAAAAATCCACACCAAGATTGAGACGAATTTTCCCCAAAAACGAAAAAAAAGTGTAAAACCCCAAAAAAAGAAGAAAAGTCAAACCTTGATTTCTCTAAATGGGATCATAAGACTTCTCTCGATCTTCGAATCCAAACCCAGAATTCGAGATGCATGACGGAAGTTTCTGTTCGTTGCAGCTAAAGCATTCATTGTTTCACTAAAAAAAAAAATTCGAACTTCAAAGGGAAACAAAAATCAACAAACCAAAAATCCAAAGTGATCGGAAGATCCAAGATTTCAGAAAACTGAAATTTGTATCTCGTGATCGGAGAAATTAACCGATTGAAATGGGAAAAAGGTAAAAACTTGGAGTTTTTGGTTTGTTGTGATGAATGGTGAATGAAGAAGAAGAAGAAATAAATGAGTATTTGTAGGGGAAAGAAGAGAAAGCGTAATTTGAATGAGATTGGATATTTTTGACGTATCCTACGTCAGACAGAGACTAATTATCGACGACAATGACTCTTTTGCCCCTGATTATCTATTTGGATTTGTTTGTCTAATCTTTTTTTTCTCTTTACTTCATTTGGCTATTTTTCTTTCTTTTTAAGGCCAACTATCTTGTTTTCTCCTTTTTAAGTCAAACATATCTTTAGAAGATTAACATTCATTTTAAATTTACTAAAAAAAATATTGGGTTGAGTTGGAAAGTTATAAATAATAATCGAAAAAATTAGTAATTACACGAACTACAAAAGTTTTTAAAAAGTATTTAAGAATATAAAGTTTTTAAAAAGTATTTAAGAATATACCAATTTGGTAAAATTGTAAATAATGGTGGAGAAGATTTTGATTTCGACGATTTAACACTAGTTGTTGGAAAAAACATGTGACATTTCACTATTTCAGGGATGTTTTATATTTACTTTAATTGAGGAAAAGAATACAAATTTGGTTTTCTTAAAATTTCCGGTTTCCGTTATCTTACTGGTTTCCTGTGACAGGGTCGGGACGTGGACACCCAATAAGGATGGAGCTGGGACAGACTGTTTCTAGGGACGGCATTAATTATATGACTTTTTTTACCTTGTTGATTATGTTGTATGACTCGTTTTTTTCTTTCCCAAATATTGTATTGCATGACTTATGAGACATTTAATACTTGGAATACATTTACTGAATCTGAATGTTATCATATAGGACAGCAAATTATGGATAAACTTCAGACCTGCTTACATAAGGTCCACGTTAGAAAAAAAAAAAAAAACATGCATCTTATGCTTTAAATACTATATTTAGAGGGCATTTTAGGAATATCTCTCGTGAAATTACAAATGATTTAATCCGAATATACTATAGCATATGACCAACAAAATATATATTTAAAACCTTTTTAATATATATCAAGAAAACGTGAAAGAAAAAAAATTGACCGTCAATGTTATAACGAGGAGATGCGAAAAACATGGAAGTGAGTTCATTAAGGGGAATGATTCCCTGCGGACGTGACAATATTGTACTAATGGTTCTAAACAATCTGAGCCGTTAAAAATCGGATGGTCGTTAAATCGTAAGAACCAGATTCCGAATCTAAGTCAGACTCAGCAGAACACGTTGCAGAAGTTGCTATCCTTCTCTTTCTTTAAAATTGGATGGCGACTCTTGCTGACCTGGCTGTGACGCGGCTACTCGCGGCGGCTTCGTCGGTGCATATCTTTTTTTTTTCTTTTGACCATTGGGTCTGTACTTAGTTCAATATATTTTTATGCATTGCATCTCTCTATGGATTAAAATAAACTAATTAGCCGACAAAAATAAAGAAAGAAGAAGCTAATTCATCATAACCTAATGTATATACGAAAAATATTAGTTAATATTTGCAACTAGAACTATTAGGTTTATCAAAAAAAAAACTAGAACTATTAGAATGATGAAATCTAGAAAATGTGTGTGTTCTACTTCATTTTGGTTATAAAAATCAAAATTCTTGTAAAAACAGGTCATGGATAGACATTGACTCTTTCTTTTTGTTTGTACTTCAAACATATCATGAACGTTTATCATAATAAAAACAAAAATAAATCATGAACTCAATAGTGTGTGAACATAATTTTGATATTTTGATATATAGGAATTTCTAAATAAAGGAAAACAACTAAACAAGAACGCCAAAAACTTCCGGGGTAATATATTGAAATGAATGAAATTGAGATGCACTATAGATTTATATATGTAGAAAAAATATTGATCAATTCATATCTTTAAAGAATACAAAAAAAAAAAAAAAAGTATAAGAAGATGGGAACATTTCAATTATAAATTAAAGAACAGTTACAACAAATATTTTGTCGTCTTTAGAAAAATTTCAGTATTTGGGAGGAGGGAGTAGCCATGTGGAGCCCTTAATGTAACCAAGACTGATGAAAGGCCTAACTTCTTTTTCGTCAATATCTTGTGTGTAAGGCACTCTCTTCTCTAAGTGTGACCCTGGTCCGAAACACTTGTATTCTCCATAGAAAACCGTCCTGTATTTACACAACACACAATATCCAATTCAGTTTATAATCAGATATATAAAAAATGTAGTTGATTGAGTTATATATGTAAATGAGATGATATGAAATGTTACGTACTTGTCATATTTGCGGTTGAGGTTCTCCCTCCAGCCAGATGGGTTGACCACGCTGGTCATCTCTGTGAAAGCATAGACGACTTTAGGGTGACTCATCCAAGACCTGCCCAAATAGATTCCGGTTCCGGTTCCAGTGACTTTGCAATGCACGAAGGAGTATCCGTTTTGTTCGGTTGGACTTTGTCTACCTTGTGCTGTGATCACTCTTAATCCATCTCCAACAGCGTGCAATTGCGTGTTCTATCAAATTTACATACAAATATATGTATTATTAATAAAACATGTTATATTATATGTTTTATTTATGTGTCTAATAATTTTAAGGTTACCAAGTACAAGGAAGCTCCTCTTCCGAAGATAAAATCATAGGTTCCTTCAATGTAACAATCCTTGAAAAAGTGGTTGCCTTTGTCGTCACATAGAGTATCTTGAAAACCATGGAATCTACAGCTATAGAAAGCTGCCTTATCAGCGTTGATCCTCATAGCTAGAGCTTGTCCTTGTGAACCTGGTTTCGGCATTGGAGCAGTATTCTATAGAATAACAAAATCAAATTAGTAGCAATTAATATTTAATGTAATCTAGTAACGTAGATCGAATATATGTATTCCACATACTTTAATGGTGAGGTGAGCTGCCAAGAAATACTCGGCCCAGACGATAAGAGTTGCACTCTCTACGGTTCCGTACTTAGCGGCTGTCCCATGGTAAGTCAAGACCGTTTCTGCACCAGGTTGACCTAGCAATGTAACGAATGGTCGAGCTATGTCGATCGTGACCTTCTCATTGTAGACACCAGGAGCCAACTTGATAATCACACGGTTCTTGTTTCCTGTTGGAATGCTCTGGATAGCTTCATTTATCGTCTTGAAATTAGCGCCTCCTTTTTGATTCACCTGCAATGAGATTTTCATTTTTCACTCGAGTTAACATATTTGTAACTATTCATATAAGCAAAAATTTAATGGCGCCTAATTCGGTTAAATCGATATGAACCGAACCAAACCAAAAATTAGATTCTATAGTAACTTACGGTGATAATTTGTCGCGCTGCTTCAGCAGCTTCGAGGGCGGGGTCTAGCGTGCCCTTTCTCTGGGAATATGGTTTAACGTTGGCCTTGAACCATTGCGGGATTTGGGCTCTGTTTTCTGGAATCGGATCTGTATCGGTGGCTAGAACCATCGGCGAAGCAAAAACAACAAGGAATGCAACCACGGACATTGAAATGTAACCCATCTTCTTTTATTATTTTCTTTTATTTATTTTACAAAATAAAAGAAAATAATTAATGAAAAGGAAAAAAAAAAAAACTACGTGTTACTATTACTATCTTATTTACTTTAGAAATGGAAGAAATGAAGAAGCATTGAAGGGGTTTTTATACTTGTCTTGCTTGTTGATGTCTGACCGGACAGATCTAATTTTTACTATTCTCGTTTGTGGTTTATATTTCTTGAAGCATTTTTGAATATCTGATTTTGTTATAAATACAAATTCAGTAATTTTTCTTGAAGTTAAATTTGTAAATTCATCTGTGACCATCTACGAAAAGGAAAATTTACAGTTGGCAAAGTCAACATGTTGAATATTGACTCCTCCAGAAAGAACTATGTTGTTAATTTGCTATATTTCTATTTATAAATTTACCTGAAAACCCTTTAACAAAAGAAAAAAAAAAAATTACCTGAAAAGTACCTAAACCACAATTTAAGTTTGAATGTAAATTTGCTAGACAGGACAGGAGTGAGCAAGTGATTTTCGATCGAACTTATATATTTTTTCAAAAAATTTCTTTTCTTTCTACTGTCAATTATCAAGTTAAAAAAAAAAGAGATTACAAAATGTTCCACCAAAAAAAAAAGTCCATAATTTTCTCCTAAAAAATGTAAAACTACAATTTCTAACCAAAAACGTAATTTCACAATCATCTGCTAACAATGTGATTCTTCAGTATTTTAAAAAAATCACAAGTTTACAATTTCCTACCAAACTACGATTTTTTTTTTTAAAAAAAATTTAAATACGATTTCTAATATCAAACAAAAAATGAAAAAAGTAAGTAATGTCCATCTTATCATTAACTAAAAATATTGATATGTAAAATAAATAAAAATTGATATTTACAGTATGGCTTACAAATCTACTGTCGTTCATAACATTAATGACCAGTCGCATAACTCTATCTATGCGCAATAACCAGTACTAGATCATCACCCGTACTACAGTACGGGTTGAATTTCATTTATTACAAAATTTATATATTATATAGTTATAAAATAAAATCGTGATATATTATAATAGGACATAAAAAATATTAATTTTTTTATGTCAGTCCATATATATAATATTAGAATGAATATATTTTTATTTTTTTGTAATCCTCAATTATGGATATATTTTTTAAAGATATGAAAACGGAAAATAATATTATTTTCAAAAAAAATAATATTGTTTGAACAATGAGTTAATTTATGTTAACAACCACAAAATGAGAGTGCATATAATTTAGTTAGATCAAAAATCAAAATATCATAAATGAATCGCATCTGAAACGTAGATTATTTTGAATTAGTTAAAAAGTTAGCTATTATTTTGAATTAATTTAAGAAATTTTTTTTCAAAATCTAATTCATTGGTTGTTGAAATAGAGATTTGTTTGAGATAATTACTGAATTTACCAATTATTCACATAATCGAATATGTTATGAACATATATTTGGTATATAATATAATAATAATACCAAATTCGATCCATGTGTGGAGTCTATATTTTCATTTACAATCCCTATGAAAATATTGTGGCACAATCTATTATTCATTATTTCCAAAATTGCTTGCAGAATTAAATTTTCAAATATTTAGAAGTGTCAAACCTTATTAACTCATCTCATCATAAAATCTTAAAATGTCGTCTATTATAAGGATCATAACTTTCTATCATATAATACATTACTTTTAACCCGCCGCCTACTATAAATATATTAAACATATCTTTTTAGAAAATCAAATTAGTATTTATAATTTTTTATTATCTTTTTAATCTATTAAATATTTATGATATTCTTTAATATATTAAATTAAACTTTTTTTAAATGTTCCAAATTAAAATCTTTAAAAATTTTATTGTAGTATGTAAAATTATGAATTAAAAATATATATATATATATATGAAATTAAATATAAATATTCAAATAGTTATAAGGATCATAACTCATTTCATCATATAATACATTATATTTAACCCGCCGTCTATTATAAATATTTGTTTCAAAAAATTAAATTAGAGTATTTATATTTCTTAACTTTTTGATCTATTAAGTATTGATGATATTAAAAAAAGAAATATATTACTCAAATATGAATTTTTGACCCGTTAAATTTGTTCTTTCATACATTGAACAATTTATATTCGTTTTTAAAAATTCAAATCTTTGAATATGCGGAAAAAATTTACTTTTTTATTATTATGTAGATGATATAATAATTTATTTATTTTATAGAAATAGAATAATATAAAGATGAGAGGTGAAGTATAATGATTAATAACAAATTAATGTGATAAGTTAGATATCAAATCTTATATGTTCATTTTGATTGGTCATTCTTCTAAAAAAAAATTAAAAATAGATTTTCGTTTTTATAATTAAATTAAATTAATTAAATTGCAGAAAATAGTATTTGACTTGTTTATCCTTAATGAGTTGAATTAATTTACTCTATAAATTTTTATTTCTAATGGCATTCTTAAGTAAATTCTTACAAAAGGGAAGGTTAGATAAGGGTATCTTATAAAGTGTACTCCCCAAATAATAGTATAGGATGTTTTAATTCTTATGCGCTTCTCAGTTGTGAAAAGTTAAGAATTTTATTATAATGAAACTAAAATTACACAAGTCTCTACTCCTCCATGATATACAGGAAGAGAGGACTCTTCGACAACAAAACGTACAATTGTACCAATATACATGTATTTTTAGTGAAAAGTACAGAATTTTAGTAATGATTGGGTGTGACTTAGTAAGCGGGAGGAGGGAGAAGCCATTTCGAGCCTTTGATGTAGCCGAGGGTAAGGAATTGATTAGCTTCTTTGTTGTCAATGTCTTGTGTGTGTGCCACTCTCTTCGCTTTGTGTGATCCTGGTCCCGTGCACATGTATTCTCCATAGAACACCGTCCTATCATTCATTATATCAAAAAATATTACTTATTAATGGTTAATTGATGGTTGGTTCGCACTGTCACAAATCACATTTTAAACTTTTAAAAACTATTGCAATATCTCTATGTGCACTGCAGATTTACATGATCATATATAATGTGAAATTGATATACTTACTTGTCATGCGCGCGCACTCTGTTCTCTTGCCATCCAGATGGGTTGACGACACTAGACATTTCAGTGTAGGAATAGACGACCTTAGGGTGGCTCATCCAAGCCCTACCCAAGTAGATCCCAGTTCCGACTCCAGTAACCTTGCAATGCACGAAAGAATACCCGTTTTGCTCGTTTGTACTCTGTCGATTGTGTGCCGCGATCACTCTTAATCCATCTCCAACAGCGTGCAATTGCGTAGTCTATGGATCAAATAAATAAAACATGACTTACTTATCGGTCATGCTATATATGTGTGTGCGCTCTAAAAAGAGATTGAAAAAATTAAAAGTATAAATCGTACCAAGTACAAGGAAGCTCCTCTTCCAAAGATAAAATCATATGTTCCTTCGATGTAACAATTCTTAAAGAAATGGTTGCCTCTATCGTCGCAAAGAGTGTCTTGGAAACCATAGAATCTGCAGTTGTAGAAGGCAGCCTTATCGCCGTTGATTCTCATAGCTAGAGCTTGTCCTTGTGTACCTGGTTTTGGCATCGGAGAAGTGTTCTATAGGAAATAGAAAATTTAATTAGGTCAAACTAATCCATAACCTAGTATGTATATTACTAACTTAGATTAAATTTGTATACATACTATAATGTTTAGGTTGGCTGCCAAAAAATTTGTGGCCCAGACGATAAGCGTGGCACTCTCTACGGTGCCGTATTTAGCGGCTGTTCCGTCGTAAGTCAAGTTGGTTTCCGCACCAGGTTTGCCAAGCAATGTAACGAACGGTCGGCCTATGTCGATGGTAACTTTCTCATGGTATATACCAGGAGCCAACTTGATGATCACACGGTTCTTGTTTGCTAATGGAATGCTTTTGATTGCTGCGTTTATTGTCTTAAAATCGCCGCCTCCATTTTGATTTACCTGCATTGGAATAATTGATAGTATGCATTGATTTGGGTACAATTCCGCTAAAGTGATATGAACGATATTAAAACGGTAGAACCGTGCCAAAGGAAACGATACAAGAATCGATACTAAAAGAAAATAAATTGATTACGGTGTACTAATTTTTTTTCATCCGAACAAATCCAACTAAACTGAAAATTAAGTACAACGATTAATATATATTTATGCAATTTTTAGCAGGTTTCTTTGTCTCAAAAACTGAAAAATGCTCAAATACGAAATATCTGGATTCTATACATTATTCAATCTTATAAGTATGATAAAATTGTGATTTGCTTACGGTGATGACACGTCGCGATGCTTCAGCAGCTTCGAGGTCGGGGTCTAGCGTGCCCCGTCTATGGGAAAAGGGTTTAACGTTGGCCTTGAACCATTGCGGGATTAGGGCTCTGTCTGCCGGAATTGGGGTTATATCGTCGGCGAGAACCACCGGCGAGGCAAAATATACAAGTAATGCAACTAGGGACAGGGAAATGTAACCCATCTTATATTTTATTTTATTTTTTTAGTTTTTTAAAAAAGTAAAAAGAAAATAAAAGAAAAATATATATATTTTTTGGAAAAAAAAATTGAAGAGATGAAGAAGCCTGAATGGACTTTTTATATACTTGTAGTTGCTGGGATCATCCATGTCTGACCGGATAGATCTCCTTTTACTATTCTCGTTTGTGGTATTTTTCTTTTTCTTTTGACGTTATATTTGTGGTTTCTATTCGTCGAAGCAGTCATTTCTCATGCACTTGGTGTGTAAATTGTGATTAATGTGGAAATCAAGTAGCTTATTATTCAATATTCTATCCACATAATAACGGGTATATATCATTCAGTAATAATTAATCAGAGATCAGATCATCAGAGACTCGAATAAAGGATCATATATATTAATCAAACATTTTCATATAAAAGGAATTACACAGTCGTATAGGAAACCTAAAGCTTTTATTAGATTCACCAATTAGTCAATTACATATGGAATTATTTAATTCTATTTTTTTTCTTTCTTTATCTCATATCAGATTAGATTGTACAAGACAGTACTGATCTGATTGGTGATACTAGACATACTAGACAATAATAATAAAAAAAAATTGGTGGTAACAGATGACGGTACATTAAGAGATGGCGGTATGGTAAGAGATGATATATAGTTTCAATTAGATTCTGATCGGTAAGAAATGGTGATAAAGTAAATAAGAACTTACATATTTGTGTAAGAAATGGTGATAAAGTAAATAAGAACTTACATATTTGTAATATTTTTTTCTTATAGAAAAATATTATTTAACATTTAATCACTTACACTTAAATAACAAACTAAAATAAATAAAAATACTCTTATCCGCCATTTATCGCCTCGAAATTATGGTGGTGCAATACTAATTACAACTGTAAAAACTTTGTAGCATCAACTTATATATTTTGTACTGCCAACTTTGTATGTCTCTTTCTTACTATCTCATTGTATAGTCGTCACGTAAAGATGGTATGCATCAACCATTTACACTCTATGAAGATAAACAATGTATAAATTAAATATTTCTTCGTTCCCTTCTTAAAATAAAAAACCTATGTATAAACTATTAATTAACGATTCAAATTATTTTAAGAGACAATAAATTTATAATCAATATTATGATTAAAATGAGTTTTGGTACTTAAACAAATGTATAAGAGTTTATGAACGGAGACAACATTTTATTATAACGAAACCAAAATTATACAAATCTCAACTCCTCCATAGTATTTAAAGAAGAGAGGACTTTTGGAAATTGAAAGAAAATAGCAACAAAAAAATATACACCGATATACATATTTCGGTGAAAAAGGGTGTAAGTAGTAGTTTTGGTTTTAGTTTTACGTTTTAATTTTAATAGGTTAATATTAAAGAGTTTACAAAGCGGGTGGTGGGAGAAGCCACTTGGATCCTTGGATGTAGCCGAGGGAAAGGAAACGGTTAGCTTCTTTGTCGTCGATGTCTTGTGTGAATGGCACTCTCTTGGCTTTGTGTGATCCTGGTCCTGAACACTTGTACTCTCCGTAGAACACGGTCCTGTCATTTTTTATATAACCGGCATAAGGAACATGACCGATTGGGTGATATTCACAACATTTTTTATGTATTGTGAAAAGTGGACTTACTTGTCATGTGCGGGAGTCTTGTTTTCTTGCCATCCGGTGGGGTTGACAACGCTGGTCATCTCGGTGTAGGCATAGACAACCTTAGGGTGGCTCATCCAAGCTCTTCCCAAATAGATTCCACCACCGGTTCCAGTCACCTTGCAGTGCACGAAAGAGTATCCGCTCTTCTCTTCTGCGCTCTTTCCTGCATGCGCTGCGATCACTCTAATACCATCTCCAACCACGTGCAATTGTGTTCCCTTTTGAATTCAACATGTATTGGAAGATTTCAGATTTTATGTATTCAGAAAATATGTATGAGATAATGAGACATATAGATAGGGTTTACGTACCAAGTACATAGAGGTTCCACTTCCGAAGATGAAATCGAATGTTCCTTCGACGTAACAATCCTTGAAGAAATGGTTTCCGGTATCGTCACAGATTGTGTCTTGGAAACCGTAGAATTTGCAGTTGTAGAAAGCAGCAAAGTTTCCGGAGATTCTCATAGATAAGGCTTGTGCTCCCTTTGTTTTACCATCTGGCGCCGGTGCAGTATTCTACATATGAAAGAATCTAGAGAACTTAGCATTGGCCAAAAGAGAATGTATCATTGCCTCGTTGTATAATATATAGTACGATCACTTACCTTAACGACGATGTTAACGGCCATGAAATAGTCGGATAAGATAATGAGAGAGGCACTATCGACGGTTCCATACTTGGCGGCGGTACCGTCGTAGGTGATAACAGGCATGGCACCTGGGTTGTCCCATCAATGTAATGAAGGGTTTGTTCCTGTCGATAGTGACCTTCTCTCTGTACTCACCAGGAGCCATCTTTATGATCACCCGCTTTGTGTTCCCTGCAGGAACGCTCTTTATTGCGTCCGTTAGTGTTTTGAATTCACCTCCCTTTGGATTCACCTGCAAAATTTTTACATGTATATATTCAAAAATTTTGTATCAAAATCTATTGTTACAAGGATGGGTTTGGGACAATAAAGTGTGAATAATACGTTGATGATACGTGGAGCAGCCTCAGCAGCAACGAGAGCAGGATCTAAGCCTTTACGTTGAGCCAATGGAGCGACGTTGGCCTTGAACCACTGCGCCACTTGGGGTTTGGCCTCTGGGATTGGTGTCACATCATCTGCGAACACCACCGGTGAAACAAAGACCACCAACAGGCCTAATAAAATGGACACATTTGTGTATCCCATTTATTTATTTTTTTTATTTTGTTTTATTAAAAAATAAAAAAGATTTATTTTTTTTGTTTTATTTTTTTTTTGTTTTTTTTTCTGGATGATTTGATGGAAAGATGGCCATGGGTATATATACTGTTTAAGAGACCTGAAAACTTTTGAGGTTCATTTTCGTTTTGCTATTATTGTTTGTGGTGATCCATTTTTGCATCCCGCTATAATTTCTCTTTGAATATCCCTTATTTACTTTTTCAACTTTACATTTTTATAGACCGGAAACCTTTTTAAGTTTCAAATGTTTTACAAAGGAAAAAAAAATTCTAACCACTTGAATATATCTAATTAAATAACCTTTTCTTAAAAAGAAAATAATATATCTAATTATATAACCCTTTAAAAAATAAAGAATATATCTAATTATATAACCTTTTAAGTTTTATCTAAATAATTAGTCCCTGACCTCCTTCAATGTACTGCATTATTCGCTTGTTTTTTTGAAATTTTCGCTTTAGATTATCAAATGAATTCCTTTCATTTCTTATTATTATTTTTTCAAAATTTTGTTTTTGTTGCAAACAACATTACATAGAAATACAAGGGTATATTCGTCATTTTCCCAACGTTTCAGGAGCTGAGGGAGGAGGACTCAACCTGGCTCCACAAGGCCTCAGCATAAGCCTTTTCCTCTTGCTTCTCCTCTTCTACAACAAACTCTACTCTTCCTTCAGCTTCATCTTCATCTTCATCTTCTTCTTCCACTTCTTCCTCAGCTTCTGATTCTCCACAGAAACTTCTAGGGCCTTCCCTAAACTCAGCCAAAGCTTCTCTCATAGCCAAACCTGTAGCCGGTCTATCACTCCATCCATATTTTGGAGCCGGTACAATAAACGGCAACACAATATCATTGATCTTGGACCGGTCACATGAATCCATTTCTTCATGAGGTGGAGGGAAAACGAAGACGATCCCGAGCTCATAGTTACATATACGAAGTTTTTTAACTGATCTGATGGCATTGTGGGACTGGTCCTGGTTGTTCCTGGAGGATCTGGAAATGATCTGTCCCCAGGCAGCTGCACTGAAATTATGTGAGCCACAGTAAACCCAACCAAACGAAGAAGGTCGTGAACCTCTCGTGGACGTAAAGAGTCTCCTAGCCACCTGTTCATAGTTTAGACATTTTACTACAGTGTAAGAGTCAGGTTTTGCCAAGTCGTAGAATCTTTTATTGTCACAGACAGAGTTCTGCGTTGTTCTTACCTTGATATGCATCGGGTGTCCAACTCTATCTTGAGGATTAGGAACAGCATCGTGAAGCACATTGTTATGTCTCAACTTTTGCCAGGTTTTCTGCACAGGATAGTCAAAAAAACAAAGTTTTGGGATTCATATTTTCCATTACATTATTGGATCAGTCCAAAGCAATCCATACTGTTTCTTTCTGAACAAAAGGTTTGGGTATAGTACAAGAGTAAAATAAGCAAATACCTCAGAGAAGCAAAGCAAACGTCTTGAAGACAAGACACCATGATGGCCATTCTTGACTCTTTCAATGGTAGGGAAGATGATTTTAATGGAAGGAGCTTCCCGTTCTTCCCTATTACTCCAGCATCCCCACTGATCAAGAACACAGACCAAACGTTTCATGCACAAAACTCGTAGTAACAGTTTTTAAGGGTGCTTCGAAACAAAATGGTACCTCTGGATCAGATTCCTGGGAGTCAAAATGCTGTAACGCTTTTTTACCTGCAGCTGATGAAAAATCAGCTTGAAATCCTGAAGTTGCTGAGCCTCCAATCGAGGATGCACCTATTATAAGAAGAAAAAAAACCCAATAAATTTAATAACCTGTTTAGGTGTTTGTTTACCATTATCATAGGCAATGCACTTACTGTAGACGAAATCAGATTCCAGAGATTCGGGCCACTTGTAACGGCCTAACACCTTTCGAGGAACCCAATACAGAAGACCACACAGTTAAAGATTGATATACTCTCGTTAAAACTCAAGGGTCTGAAAGGATGATTCATTTGCTTTATTAATAATCAAACTTACCTCTTGTAGCCTCCAAATGCCAGAACATCTCTGAACTGAAGCAATCAACGAGCACAATGCAACAACATGATTAGGTTGAATCAACTTTGACACATCTGAAATGGACACTCCCTGCAAAACTGAAGAGAGATCTTTAGATGTATCCATACTCCATTTATGCAAAGTATCTCATAAGCATATGAAGAGTACCATGCCTGTAATACATGCAGCATTAGTTGCACCTTCTCGTTGCTCCTACAAGAAGCAGCTCCAAGGACTTCATCCCGATACACATATCCCACAAATTTAAAGAACCCAATATCCCACAAAGGAGACACCCATTTTGCAATATTCCGTGGCAAAAAGCCTAGTTGGACAAAATCTGTCAAAAGGCAATTTGGACGAGTCAGATAATGAAAATTCATGTCTAGAACATACAGCGATCTGTAATACATGAGATGTAACTACCTACCATCTCTTGAATCATCATCTGGGTTAGGAACAAGGACGCTCACAGCATTCGCGTCAGCAGGCACATTCGTATTTCTTCTCAAAACAAGTTCCAACATTCCGAGAGAATTTTCCCGGGCTCTGCGGATATATGAAGCCAGTCGTTTCAGTTGTGCTCCTGTGGAATCATTGGCAGAACGGAAAAGGTAACTGAGACCTACGACAGATGCTTCAACAGATCCCAGAAATTCTTCATTGAAAATCTGTGAAACAATAATCATACGATTAGTCAAGAAAGGGATGTAGGGACCCAATCAAACTTTCAATATTCTTTAAGAAAAAAACAACTAAGTGAACCAATAAAAAATGATTTCAAGATATTGATACTAATCAGAGAAAGCATGCATAAAAGATGGAAGATGAAGCTACTTACGGTATTTGAGCAAACAGACTCTGTAAGATAAGATGGCTTATAAGAATGAATTCCAGGCACTGAAGCCACAAGGTGACATGCTGAGTGTTCAAAGTTGTACTTCGTGAACTCAATAATCCAATGAGCCTGACTTGGAACATCAGTCAAAAGTGATGCAGCAAATCCAGCCAGCTGAGCACAAAAATCTGGTTTTAAACCATGATTGGTTTCTCTTCGGCAATGGCCGAAAAGGGATAAAACATCAGGGTCTGCTCTTCGTGGAAAATCTTGCCACCAAACTGTGTTGGTCACGTCATTCCACTGCAATGATAAATCTCCATTAGAAAATGAAATATGATAAAACTCTCTGAATATAGCTGAAACCTCATAATAGCAAATGTGATGCCTGAGACATCTGTGATTCATAGTATATAGTATATTACTAAGGCCTAGACTCTTACCTGTCTTGCCACTAAGTTTGCAGATGTAATAATTACACGAATGCTATCTTCTCTTTGCAATATAAACAGCTTGGGGTGATGACAAGCAATGCCACGGTTCTTGCAGTCTTTACCAAATGCAATTTCCTCAGGAAATGGTGGAAACCTAAGACAAGATAAAAAATATTTAGAAAGGAAGTAATGAAGTTTAAAAAATAAACAGGAATATCACTAATTCACTATTCATCGTTCCCTTTAACAGAAATATGATCAAGTATTACGTACACCATAGTTACATTTGGGTAATTTGGCAAAGGAGCAGCAGATCTTGCATCAGGGCTTGAACTCCAACATCTCTCCGCATGGTGACATGCAATAGTCACAGGCAAGTGGCTAGGTATCTCACAACAGGTAAGAAACCTGCTAATACAACTTCGTCAGACTTTTGAACAAGCATGGAGAACAAATGAAGATAGAGTATCCATTTCTTCTGTTTAGACTAATAGGGAAAATATAAAAATAAACTCTTTTCAACATACCATAAGATATCACTTGTGAATGTTGCAATAAAGATTTGTTGAATGCTTTCCACAGGGTGAAGAAGTTCTGGCAAGGAAACCACCCGTTGACTACCAGTTGAGTTTTGTTCAATATATTGAAGACGATTTAGATAAAAGTTCTTCCCAGGTGCTGGGAGAGAACATAGATGACTTTTCTCTTTATTGATGCAACTAATATCGGGAGTGTTTTCTTTTTCCCCATCAAAAGGAAGCATAGTCCTAGTCTTATCACTGACAGAAATACAAGCAGCACCGTCATTTTCTATTTCGCTAATCAAGTCAGAGACACCTAGTCTTCTATCTAGATGTAAACTTGGGCTTGGCCGTTCAACCCTCAACCTTAAACCGGACAAACCATAACCCATCTCATGATTTGTCTCCGCACTCTTAACTCCTCTATTATCTGCCACTATACTTACTTTCGACCTTAACATTTTGGATGTACAACAAGATAGACATTCCTTTCCAGAATCTGAGATAATAGATACCCTAAGGCAAGACATAGGATCATCACTGCTCAATATATGTCTACAATAGCTTACAAGAGAATTCACTCTCTCAACAACACCAACAGCTTTAGGTGGACAAAACCCAGAAACTGGAGAATCAATCTCGTTTTCCATCGGAGCAAAAACCCTTTTGCTTCTCTTCCCACTGGAAAAAGTTCCTCGAGAATGTCCTGAAGAGACCGATACAATCGAAGTATCTCTTCCTTCAAAACCAATCTCTTGAACCACAAACCCAACTCGACCATGATTATAACACAACCCTTCCTTCCCGCAAACAAACAATACCTCATCACCAATAGTAACCTCCTGAATCTTAGCTTTCCTAACCCTAACACGATTAACAAACACACCATTCAAAGAAACCTTAAATTTCAAATTCCCCAAATCCTCAACGCCAACTAATCTTCTCCTAAACTCATCATAAACTTGACTAAAACTACCTGAAGGTAAGACAATCACGCCATCAAAAATATAAAGTTTGTGACTTTGGCTATCAAATAGAATCTGACAGTGCTTCCTACTGATAGAGCTATGATCAAAGACAAAATCACAAAACCCATCACTACTACTTCGACCAAACGTGTACGGCCGATCTGATTCAATGTGAAGTGACTCTACAGGCAAACCAGAAGACCCAGAAATCAATGGTGTACCAAAATTGTGAATACGAATCAAAACTTTCTCGCAGTGTCGCCTTTTCATATCTCAACAAAATCGAAATCAAAATCAAAATCTAACATATAAGATTAACGAAGAAACACTTCAAAAATTAGAAAGAGAAAGCAAAACCCTTTTCCCCAAAACTGATTTTGGCTTTCTGAGATTGATTTTCCCTCCCAAATCGATGTTGCTTTAGGGACTGTTTCGCTTTCTGTTTGGACGGCAGGATTAAATTATCCTTCGCTTGAATAGTATAACTTTCCCGCTTTAACACAGCTGTTATATTTAATTATTTATAACTACTACCTTCAGATAAATTAATAAGTATACTAATCTTCTATTTTTAAGGTCTTCATTTTAATATATAGTTTTCGAATGCCAATTATGATATTATTAAGATGTAAGTACGTGATAATTTTCTGAGTAATTTTGTTTCATTTTTTAAACAAGGTCAAAATCAATATTTTTTTACAAATAATTATTTGCAAGTGGTTGGTGAATAGAAAAAGCTATGTTTTATTAAGCAGGTGGGTTGAATAATTTAAATGTATGATTAATATGAAAGTTATATTTTAAATTAGATTTCAATGTTTTTTTTGTTGTCAACAGATTTAGATTTCGATGTTTGATTAGATTAGATGTAACGTGAGCGAATACGACGATAAATAAAGCTAATTAAAATTTGATTAACCTGACCATATAATTAGTCTCATGTTGGAAGTGGTCTGATAATGCGCGGGAGATTTGACCACGAAGAAAGTACATTAACAACTCTTTAGAAAATTTCTAACCAACCCCAACACACAAATACAATAAACAAGATAAAGTCTCCTTTCATGCTACTTTGAATTTTTCTTCATTTGTTTATACATTTCAATTGTTTAAATTAATTTCTTAGTGTTAGTGTATGCTTTTGGTATTCCGGTGTGATTAATTTAAACATTTACATAAGTTCGTCTCTCTGGTTTTCAACATTTTCAAAATTTCTTCTTCTTCTTCTTCGTGCATGATTAGATTCCCAAGAACATTTCTTAAACCAGAGGATGAAGAAAGATTTGATGAATCGAAGTGAATTTCAAAAGTTAGGATTCGAAAACGTTAGATACTACACAGAGACGCCGTACGGAGGACAGTCGTCGGCGTCGACGAGCAGATATTACGGTGAAGATGAACCATACGTTGAGATCACGCTTGATATCCACGACGATTCTGTCTCCGTGTACGGCATGAAGTCACCAGACCATCGAGGCGCCGGATCGATTTATGAGGATCAATCGCTTCTCAGACAAGGTCGGTCAGGGAGGAGTAACTCGGTATTGAAACGCTTGGCTTCTTCGGTTTCTACCGAACTGAAACGAGTTGCTTCTTCCGTTTCGTCGTCTTCGGCAAGAAAACCACCGCGGCCGCAGATAGCTAGGCTGCGCCGTTCGAAATCTAGAGCAGAGCAGGCTCTCAAAGGTCTCAAATTCATCACCAAGACTGATGGTGTTACTGGTTGGCCTGAAGTTGAGAAACGGTTTTATGTGATAACAATGACTACTAACGGATTATTACACCGATCCAAATTCGGTGAATGTATAGGTAAGCAAAAGCAACTAGTGTTCAATGTTTTTCTGTTTTGAAATTTCAATGATTACATAAATTTTGTGGCAGGGATTAAATCGACGGAGTTTGCGTTGGCATTGTTCGATGCTTTAGCGAGGAGGGAGAACGTAAGTGGAGATTTAATAAACATGAATGAGCTTAAAGAGTTCTGGAAGCAGATCACTGATCAAGATTTTGACTCGAGGCTACGAACTTTCTTTGCAATGTAATGTTTCTTTCGATTTCTTTATATATCCGATATGAACTTTTAGTTTCATATTGAAGTATGGTATGAACTTTAGGGTCGATAAGGATTCGGATGGGCGTTTGAATGAAGCCGAAGTAAGAGAGGTAGAATCTTGATTTTAATAGTGATTGGTATTAGAAATCTTGAAGCTCTTTGTGTTCTTCATAAGTAAATTTTCTTATTTGTGTACAGATTATAACTCTAAGTGCTTCTGCAAACGAGCTGGATAACATTAGGAGACAAGCTGATGAATATGCTGCTTTGATTATGGAAGAACTAGATCCTTATCATTATGGGTACATTATGGTATGTGAAGTTTTGTGAATGAGGTTTGTTTTGGTTAATCTTTTTTTAGTTAGAAAAGTTTGGTTTGTGAGTGTTTTTTGATGTGTTTGGAGGCACTTGCTACAATGCCAAACAGATAGAGAACCTGGAGATACTACTATTGCAAGCGCCGATGCAAGATGTGAGAGATGGGGAGAGTAAGAAGCTGAGCAAGATGCTAAGTCAGAATCTCATGGTTCCGCAGAGTAGGAATCTCGGGGCACGTTTTTGCAGAGGGATGAAGTATTTTTTGTTTGATAATTGGAAGAGATTGTGGGTGATGGCTCTATGGATAGGTGCTATGGCGGGGTTGTTCACGTGGAAGTTTATGGAGTATCGAAAAAGATCCGCTTACCAAGTCATGGGAGTTTGTGTTTGTATAGCTAAAGGAGCTGCAGAGACGCTTAAACTAAACATGGCTATGATTTTGTTACCAGTTTGTAGGAACACCATCACTTGGCTCCGGACCAAAACCAAGTTAAGTGCTATTGTTCCTTTCGATGACAGCCTCAATTTTCACAAGGTAATGTTTTAGCTTCCTGGAGAACGAAATGAGAAGTTTCCGATATAATATAGAAATAATGTTTATGATTGAAACTTACACAGGTCATAGCAATAGGAATTTCAATTGGAGTTGGAATCCATGCTACATCTCACTTAGCATGTGATTTCCCCCGGCTGATAGCTGCAGATGAAGACGAGTATAAGCCAATGGAGATGTATTTTGGGCCACAGACAAAGAGATATTTGGACTTTGTGCAATCGGTAGAAGGAGTTACCGGGATTGGAATGGTTGTACTAATGACCATAGCCTTCACATTGGCTACTACATGGTTCAGACGTAATAAGCTCAAACTTCCTGGACCACTGAAGAAAATAACAGGCTTCAACGCCTTCTGGTACTCTCACCACTTGTTTGTTATCGTCTACTCGCTTCTTGTCGTTCACGGATTCTACGTATACCTCATCATCAAGCCATGGTACAAGAAAACGGTTAGTAACTTATTAACTATTAGACCCAATACAAAGTTGTAACAGTTGCAATATGAACTCTGATTTTGGTTTTCATGTGATTTAATAGACATGGATGTATTTGATGGTACCGGTGGTTCTTTACTTGTTTGAAAGGCTGATTCGGGCATTCAGGTCAAGCGTTGAGGCTGTCTCAGTACTAAAGGTCAAATCTATAAACATTTCTATATTGAGAATTTGAGATATCCAAGAAAAGGAGGACTTTGTATATTCATCTCTACTACTACCTTACATCTTCGACAGGTTGCTGTGTTACCAGGGAATGTCTTGTCGCTTCACTTGTCAAGACCAACCAACTTCAGATACAAGAGCGGACAATACATGTATCTCAACTGTTCTGCAGTTTCTACATTAGAATGGTAAATAAGAAAAATTAATATTATCTGAAGACATTTGTATGGAAACAAAACTGAACATTGGTTTACATATAAATAGGCATCCATTCTCAATTACCTCAGCTCCAGGAGATGACTACCTCAGTGTACACATCAGGGTTTTAGGAGACTGGACTAAGGAATTAAGATCATTATTCTCTGAGGTACTTTACTCCATTTTCACTCTAGACATAAACACAAGAGATTAATTGGGTCCAAATATGTAATTTAGTGATTTCCTCTGAACCTCAGGTGTGTAAGCCACGCCCTCCTGATGAAAACAGACTGAACAGAGCCGACTCGAGGGACTGGGATAACATTCCTAAGTAAGTCTTATCAGTAACTAACTATTCTACAGTTATTCTCTAGCTATTTTAATTGCAAATCACTGAAGCACATATTTTAATTCTCTAACTTTGTCATTTTTGTTTCTAAATTGTGATCCAAGAATCCTAATCGACGGTCCATATGGAGCACCAGCACAAGACTACAAGAAGTTTGAAGTTCTTCTACTAGTGGGTCTAGGAATCGGTGCTACTCCAATGATCAGTATTGTGAAGGACATAATCAATCACTTGAAAGGTGTAGAAGAAGGCAGTAACCGAAGACAGTCGCCGATCCACAATATGGTCACACCTCCTGTTTCTCCATCAAGAAAAAGTGAGACGTTCAAAACCAAGAGAGCTTACTTCTACTGGGTCACAAGAGAGCAAGGGTCGTTTGACTGGTTCAAGAACGTGATGGACGAAGTGACCGAAACAGACCGAAACAACGTGATTGAGCTGCATAATTACTGCACTAGCGTCTACGAGGAAGGAGACGCAAGGTCCGCACTAATCACGATGCTCCAGTCTCTGAACCATGCTAAGCACGGAGTGGACGTTGTGTCAGGAACACGTGTTATGTCCCATTTCGCTAGGCCAAACTGGAGAAGCGTTTTCAAAAGGATCGCTGTGAATCATCCCAAGACTAAAGTCGGTGAGTTTCTTACTAACAAACAACCAATCTCATTTTATTTACGCATATGCACATCATATGAATGTTTGGTAAAATTGGCAGGAGTGTTTTATTGCGGAGCAGCTGGATTAGTGAAAGAGCTACGACACTTATCACAGGATTTCTCTCATAAGACCTCCACCAAGTTCATTTTCCATAAAGAGAATTTCTAAAAAATTACGTTTGGAGATATATATTTAACAAGAGTATTTGATATAGTTGAAATTGTACATATATAGTGAGATTTGATATAGTTTTGGTTTTTGTATAAAAAAAGATAAGGAACACTAGATCATATTTGTATCTTAATACTAAAACTACAGAACATTACCTTTCCTCCAAACTTCAAGTCTTCTCGAGATCCTTTCCTATACGCTGTCTCGGTTCAAAAACATAAATTGTCTTAACACTCTTTTATAACATTCTCACTATGTAAGTAAAATAAAAGCAGAAGAAGATCAGAATCTTACCCTGATCAGAGCTCACTTTGGCTTTCTTTTCAGTCTCTGAAAGCTGGGTTTCATGAGCTGGCTTGATGAAACCTGAGTTGTCTGAAAAGGAATCAGAGGCTTCTTTTGAGTCAGGATACTGGCATCTGGTGAGATGGGACTATGTATGACTACACTTGGTGATCCAACTTTTCCTCTTATCTTCCTCGGAGCTTCAAGTCTTTCCAAAATCATCGAAGTTTTTATATCAGCCTGTTTGTTGTTACTCTGTATAGGAGACAGAACTTGGCGGATCGTAGTTATAACCGGAGAAGGAGACTTCATGAGAACCTCCTCAGTGACTACTAGTTGTTCCCATTCTTTAGTTATGGAAGCTGTTGCTTTGTCTTCTTCATCGATTATATGAACTTCCTGAAGCGTTTCTGGATTTACTATGTGTGGAAATGTCTGTGCCGCTGGGATTACAGAATCTGAAAGTACTGAGCTCACTTCATATGTTGTGTCTTTCCCGTTGGAATGTAATGAACTTCCAGAAACAAGAAAAGAAGTTAGAGATGTGGAGCATATTTTCAGGGATTCTAATGATGACGAGAAGAGAATATAGGAGGAGAATAATCACCCAAATTGAAGACTTTCTTTCACAATGAGGTTCAGTTTCTGGTGAAAGCCTCTGTTGTGGATCAAAGGATTGTAATCCGTTGATTCAATCTGCTTAAATTTCAGAAAGAAATGACAAGTTAGAAGTCTAAATACTAAATATGAATATCATCAACATATTTAAATGAAATCGACCTCTAACAAAGCGCCTTTGACAGAAATCTCGATTTCTCTAGGAATAGAGGACTCGGCAAACTGACTGACATTGGAAATAGGAAGGACTTCCTCTGACCCTGCCAATCTCTGCAAACAGTTTTGTCTGTTAAAACTAAGAAACTGCACAATTCAAGACATAACACAAACTTATCATATCATAGGGAGAATACTATCCAGAGAGGCTAATGCTGTTTGATCAAGGAAGAGGGTCAGAGTACTGAATTTTTACCCTCAGAAGCATTGGACCCTTTTCAGACGGTTGAAGAACGTAATAACAATGAAATTCCACGGCTGTCATGGTGTCTATATTACAGTTTGAAGAACAAACCAAGCCTTGGTCCATTGAATATAGTGCACCACATAGTCCCTGAAAAACTGTATTTCTAGATGCTTAGGAAAAGTATGAGTCATTGGGTATTTATATTGGATACACCTGAGCTACTGAAATGTGTTTTTTTTAGGTAAAAACACTGCTTACTCTGAGTGTTCAAATCTGGTTGATCCATTTCTTCTGAAGAAGCTTCTGTGTCATGACAAGTTGAAGGGCTTACAATGTAAGGTGTCCCCAGTAGTAGGCCTACGTCAGAGTAGTATTTTTACTTGAATCAAGCTCTCTATTTTGGAGGCAAGAACCGAAGTCAAAAGAAGAGAGCGCTGTAGAATAGCTAAAAGCCTTACCTTCACTGAGAGAAGTTAGATTAGTCCTCTCTATGACATGGAAATCAACTTGGGAAGAGATTGGATGAAGTTTCTGGAGGCTATGGATTGAAGGTAAAAACAGGACAGTTCTGTCGCCAATTTTCACGGAATTTTCAATCACATCATACTTTCCAAGTTCATGGTTGGTTATGGAGCATTGCAGATTCTCCATGGTGTTTTTCACAGAATCTAGTAATGGGAATCCATGGCACCTGCATGTCTGTAAACAGCAACACAGAGGATCAAAAACTGTAGAGGGAAAAGCATTAGCTGAAGTAACTTATAAAACCTACAATATGACAGTATCCAGTGCCTAACGATGCAAAAAGTAATTATTGGGAGATAAGAGATTCAAGTTTAGGGGTATGGCTCAGTACTCGACAAGGGCTAAATCTGTCAACAATTTGATTTGTGGCTGCGGTGAGATTGCCGAAGATTTTGTTCACTGAACCAACTATGTTACTTTTAAAGATAATCTGAGCCTGCAGTGATTCTCCAGTGTCATCCTTTAGCTCCTGAAGCCATCTCATTTCAAGCCCATGAAGTGATTTTCCATCTGAATTCATAGAACGGATCAGTTTCAGAACTATTCTTGACTTCTTGTGTTATCTCGTGCTGGATTCAAAACCTCTTTACAGATAATAGATTCAAATGATCAAAGTAGCCTGGCAATCTTATTTAGAGAACGAGTCATCAAAATCTGAGAAATTTAATTACTGTGTATGAAGAGAAAAATGAGAAGCAGCCAGTTATTTGGAACCTACCAGGGATGCAGGTTTGAAATGAACAATTGTCAAGATCTGATAAGCATCTGAGGAATCTATTAATCTTCTCCTGCGTATAGCTCGCATAGCTTGCTTGCTCCTCAAACAGAAGAAACTCAACTGAGACACATTTATCTGCTGCAGCCTGAAGCAAAAAGACTCAGAACTGAGAAAACAAGCTAAAGCACTAACAAATACAGTATTTGACACATTTGACTAACCATAAGAGTGTTTCTAGCTTCAGAATCCATATCTTCAGGGAAGCAAGAACTCAGCACAATAACTTTCCTCATAATGTCTCTACCTCCCCATGAGTACAAAGCTCGATCACACAGAACACTTGATAGCTTAAGATCTATGAACAATTTAGTATATGATTAAAGATCATGAAATTAACCAGGAAACTATGAAGAAATAGATAGATAAAGAGAGAAAAAGAAAGACCTCTGCAAGATATGGCTCCCGATTCATCGATCTCAGGTACAAACGCATCCAAAGGCAAGCTGTTGATAGCGTGATGGAAGTCTCGAAGACAGAAGTTTCCAGTAGGAGTGTAGGCAAATTTCAACTGCTAGATCCTTAAAAAAAACATGAAAACCACACACAAAACCATTGAAAATAGAAGGAAACAACGATCGATGACAAGTATAACCTGATCGTTTCCAGAAATCCGATCTTTCAAGATATAACACAAACCGATCCGATCAGTGAGAGAATCTACCGGAGACGAAATTGCGTGTAAATTGCCGAGTTTCAGAAACGACTACAACAAAATTCGCAGCAACAATCAATATTCAATATTCATAAACGAAGACGAAATTCGCAGCAACAATCAAAAATCCAAGATTCAGAATCGAGCAGCAACAATCAAAATCGAGATTCACAGCAACAATCAAATTCAAACTTCATGAAGACAAAATTCGCAGTAACAACAATCAGATTCGAGCTACAGAGAGACGAAATTCGCAGAAACAATCAAATTCAACCTTCGGTAACGAAATCTACTGAGATAGATTCAGAGATCTACGAACAAAAATTTCTACTGACAATGGAAATAGAGAGAGACCTGCTTTAGATCTCCGATCAGAGACGGCGAGATATTCCGCAGATCCAAGACGAAAAATAGTAGCACCATTCTTAGTCAATCGTCGTCTTCTTCTTCTTCTTCTTCAACGATGCGCGCGAGACTGGGAATTTGAAAAGGGAAACGCAGAGAAGAGTGATTTAAGTAGAAGACGATTTCATTTTCATTTCAGTCCCTATACTTCTAGGTACTTTTAGGGATTTCACTGCAAAGTGCAAACAAACTCTTAATTATTTACGAAATATACTAATAGTCTGAATTATTTCCTCTTTTGGCTCTAAACTTTTTTAGCTGTAGTATTTCATCACAAATCACAATCAAAGTAAAGACCAAATATGGAACTTTTTATATGCCTAGAATTGGAAAACTCTTGAGAAAAGAGTACGAATGTATTATGCTCTTTAGGTAATCAAGTACATATGTGAAGGAGACATAAGTTTATATCCAAAAATTGGAATCAGCCAAAGCCATAACAAACAAACTAAAATAACTTAATCTAAGATTCTGCAGACTCATCTGGGCTCTGAAGAATATCACGAATGAAGTTTATGAAAGAACAGAGACCACCCAAGAAGTTATGGTCAATGACACCATTACCATCAAGAACATGAGCAAAATCCACCAGCTTGACTTTTGGTCGAGCATCATCACCATCATTTCCCTTTAAGATGGATTCGTTCTCATAGACCATTAGAATCGAACAAGAGTTGAAATGGTAGAGCGTTTGGCTCTCGAACCAGGTCTTGAGCTCCAGCAACTGTGTTAAGATCCCGTGGGAACCGCTGTAAACACTTGAGGCAAAAGCGGAGTCAGGTTTTGAGCCGATGTCTGAAAATGAGTTAGATGATACAAACTTCCTCAGAGTCAATCTCGCTCCATCGACATCGAGCCTGCGAAGAAGTTTCCTCTCGGGCTTCCAGAAACTTGATTCTTTGTGATCATAAACTTCAAAACCAGAGATCCTGAAACCCGCTGACACAGTTGTGGTACCCGTGTCTTTCCTTAAACATTTTTGGATGTATTCTTCAGAAGCTTCAGGATACCATGTCCTTGTACCCATCTTAACATCCATTACAGATGGTTTAGAGTAATCTGCAAGAAGATTTTCCAACACAATCATGGCTGCTTTATCAGAACCTTCAACTGCTTGTGTGCCGTGATACACCGGGAAATATCTACGGATGTGTTCTGGAACCTCTGTGTTTGATGAGAAAGATTCATAGAACTTGACCTCAATTTCACCACGAGAATCGCCCTGAAGTGGCTTGAAGAACCGACCTTTGTCATCTACGAGGGGACCAGGCTTCCCATCTTTAGCAATGTGTCCTGCAACCTGATGTTCAGGGGCCTTGAGCTGCATCTTGTTTAAATTATGAAACTGAACCTGAAGAATGAGAAATTAGATACATAGAAAGCACTCATAAAACAAAAGAATTCACAAGAAGAAAACCAAAAATATGAAGATGTGAAGAGATCCGCGGTTCAGTACTCAAAGAGACAGTAAAAGATCAGAATGAGTCCACCACAGCCAACAATGCCCTAATATCTAAAGGTCATAGAAATGAACCCTAACAGCCAAGAAGATCTGAGACAAGCCACATTACTAAAACTATCAAGAAATACAAGAACAACTCTGCATAAATGAACCTGTTATATAACTCAACAACTTAGGAATAGCTATTGATCTGCAAATCTATCACTATCTTCACAAGAATCAGAGCAAAAGGAAATTTAGATTAGTTATCGTTTGTGTTAATTTAGATTAGTAAGAACATCCCTACACATAAAATGAAATTCCATCACACATCATATTACTACTTACAGAATTTTCCAGGAATATTCTAATTCTGAATCAACAAACCGCAGATCGAATACCACTTTCCTAACAAGAAATCAGATTTAGGTTCTTCAATTCTCTTCACATCCTTTCATTAGAAAAAAAAAAATCAAAATCAAAATCAAAACTTTTCTGGTTCATCGCCTTGAAGAGCAAGAGAAACATAGAAAAAAGGAAAAACAACACCCTGAATAGGAAAATTTCCAAATCAAGCTATTCAATTGAAAAAAAATCACGAAAAGTTGCTTTTTTCGTATAAAAGGCTAGAACTTTAGAAAAGTACGATCCCATTAATCAAACGCAACACAAAGAAACTTAGATTTAAGTAAAAAAAAAAAATTGAAGAACTTTTATTGGTTAGAAACGAAGTAAAAGATATACCCAAAAAAGTTAGTAGAACAAATCTTCAGGGAGAAACGATGGAGAAGACGATAAGAAGGTGTCCGATTCTTCACAAATGGAAAGCTTTGTTTTTGTTTTTTTTTTTAACTTTTCTTTTGAGGCAACGAAGCAATCTAGCTGGACATATTATATATATAAAATAGATTAATTATTATTCTCTCTTTTATTTAATATATGTTTAATAAAAAGTTAGATGCAGACTGCTGAGGACGAAAACTCAACACGGTTGTAGTTTTTATATTTACGACATGCGTCATCTTTTAAAATTGAAAAAAAAAAAGCCAATGAACAATCATAATTTTTTCACCGTACAATAAGAGCGATTCACCGTCACCGTTATCAATCCCGAATCACTAGCCGAGACGATGGTGAGACCATCAATCGCCACGTGTGAACCAAGCGCACGACCTTGTTTAGCGACGCGTGGCTCACTACCTCGTAGCCGTACATGTGCGCCGCTTCTATTCAGCTGCCTCCTCCTAGGTTTAACGGTCTTTTGTACCGACGCAAATCCTTGTGACTCGAAGCTTCCTCTGCTCCCGTCTTCCATGCGAGCCTTCTTTCTATTGGAATGGTGAGAAATTGTAAGAAACTGTGGACACTTTTGGACCGGAAAGTCAGTGTTCTTTATCGTAAGAATACAACTTTGCCGAGATAAACAAATGTGATTTTGTTTTTTTTGTCAATTTTGTGGTTTTAGACAGTGAGCTGATGTTATTGTAATGTTTATGATCAGGACAGTAACATCACTCTAACTGACCTACCAGATAAGACTATGGAAGCTAAGTGTCTCCAGAGCATGTTTGAGTTGATTGATTCTGGATTCTTCAATGAAACTAAAGTAAGTCTTTTGATTCTCTTACAGTCTGTTTATGTTCTGTAATGCTTCAAGGAATCAGCTTTCCAAGTTTTAGCCTGATTGGTTTGAATTGATTTAGATTTGTTCATTTAGAAATCAAATTTGGTTTAGATCATACTTTCAGTAAGAAAGTGTATGTTTTACTTATCAGTTATGATAATGGACTTTTATTAATGTTTGTGTTGGTATATATAATAGATACAGGAGATTGCAAAGGGAGCTACTGAAATGAATGTTCCTATATATCGAGCCAACCGGAAACTAGTCGCTACTAAGAATGGTGGGTTGGAAAATCCATCCCCGCTGGTGTTTAATCCGTCTTGGAACAGAGAAGTTCGACGAGTACAAGGCAAGAGATTCAAATACCCTTCCGCATCCGGAGTACAACTCCCTAGAGATGAAGAAGATATCGCATTCATGAGCGTAAGTCACCCCCCTTTTTTTTATGGTTGTTATTTCGATAGATGGGTCGATTCGTCTGACTAGAGAATGCATTATGGCAGGTTCTTGAACTCGGAGAACTTATAAAGACGAGACAAGTTACTTCAGAGGAACTCGTTCGGATTTATCTCAAGCAGTTAAAACGGTAAGGGAGCTTCTATTTTCACTGAATGTTTTCAGGGAATTTTACTTGATCTGATGTTGTTAATGGGGGTTTCTTGAAAAAAAGGTACAATCATGTTCTTGAAGCGGTAGTTACTTATACTGAAGAGTTGGCATACAAACAAGCAAAAGAAGCTGATGATTTACTCTCTCAAGGAACTTATCTCGGTATCTTTCTCTAATGCCATATAATCTGTTTGATGGATGGGTGACAAATTGGTGTTTCAAGTTTCTGATATGATTTTTTTGTGCGTGATAGGACCTCTTCACGGGATTCCATATGGTTTAAAGGATACAATTGCGGTTCCCCGATACAGAACAACATGGGGTTCAACTTCTTTTAAAGACCAAGTTCTTGATATTGAAGCATGGGTTTACAAAAGGTCCCGACGAAACAATTTCACCATGTTCATTGATTTTCCTTTTTGTTCTATTGGAGTTACAATGTCCATTGGACACTTGGTCTTTTTGTTTGTCTAGATTAAAAGCTTCAGGTGCAGTTTTAGTAGCAAAGCTCGTTGCGGGTTCTTTGGCTTATGATGATATCTGGTTCGGGGGACGGACTAGGAACCCGTGGAATATCGAGGAATTCACTACCGGGTCATCAGCTGGACCCGCTGCATCCACATCGGCTGGTTAGTTTTTATCAAAAAATGAATCAAGATTACGTTTCAGTTGGCTATAGCTGAAAATATAAACAGTTCATTTTCCTCTTTTTGGGTAAATATTTTGTTCAGGTATGGTTCCTTTTGCTATAGGCTCGGAGACAGCAGGCTCAATAACAAACCCTGCAGCTCGGTGTGGCGTAACAGCATTGCGTCCGACATTTGGGAGCGTTGGTAGAACCGGAGTGATGAGCATATCCGAGAGCCTGGTATGTTGAAAAGAGCAGTGGTCTTAATGTGCTTCAAAACCGAGTGAAAACTTATCTTCTAACTTTTAAGTTCCAACTCCTCTTGTTTCAGGATAAGCTGGGACCTTTCTGTAGAACAGCAGCGGATTGCGCTGTAATCCTTGACGCTATCAAAGGGAAAGATCCCAATGATCTCTCATCTAGAGAGATAGCGTTTGAAGATCCCTTCTCCGTGGATATCACAAAACTCACAGTTGGGTATACAAAAGATGCTGACATGAAGGTAAACAAATTGTTAAATACTGTTTGCAATCACAATAATGAACTGGTTTGTGTTGATTCAACATTTGACTTCTTCAGGTAGTGGAAGTTCTTGGGTCGAAAGGTGTCAATATGGTTCCTTTTGAGCTAAATTATACAGTGGACTCGGTTCAAGGGATATTGAATTTCACAATGGACGTAGATATGTTAGCTCATTTTGATGAATGGCAAAGAACCGGTCAAGACGATCTCTATGAAGCTCAAGATCAATGGCCGGTTGAGTTACGCCGTGCTCGTGTAGTTACACACAATTTGAAATTGCATTTTTTGCTTTACTAGAAGAGGAAATGGGAATTGCGTGGGTATAGAATTTTAATTAAATAAATTGTGTGTTCGGCGAGTTTTGTGGGTGAGAATTTATTGTACTACCTTTGACTTATCGACCTTCGCGTTCTAATTTCGATCTCAACTTCTACTCTCTGTAATAAAAGCTTTTTTCGTGGGAAACAGTATTAGACCATCCGCAGTGGTGTAAGTGTGAGGGAGAGGTGTAAGATTTATTTTATTATTATAATTTAAAGTGAGAGAGAAAAGAGAGAGAGAAAGAAAGAGAGAGAGAGATAGAGTGTCTTACACCCGAGTGTAAACTTACATCCGGGTGTGAAGAGAAAGACAATTTTTGCATTATTTCTGTATTTTAAAATAGATACACCTCACACAAGGATACACCACTGCGGATGGGTGCATAATCCCATGCAAAGTCCAAACCTGAAAACAATAAATCAAACGTATATTATCCATTTAAGATGATTTACCTTAATCTGAAAAAGTTAAAAAGTTTTTACCGAAAAAAAGTTTTTGAGTCAATGAAAACATTTCCGGCAGATCCCCATTCTTTATTACGAATAAATAATGATATTTCAACGATGCAAGTTGACTTGATACATTTTGTGGTTTTTCATTTTTAACCCCAAAGAAAAAGTTGACTTGATATTTATTTCGGGGTTTTACAAATTTTGCTTTTATTTATTATCACATACAATTCAGCTCCTTGGTCTTACAGATTAATTGTCCTTAAATGTAACCTTCAAAGGCAACACTTATTAACAAAAATATACTAGAAAATAAAAATCAAAAGAATATTACAGTATGTTTTAAGTATATATCCAATCTTTAGCCAACCAAATAGCGGAAATGTGATAAAACCAGATAAGCCAGTACACGAAAAACAAATCTGTAACAAAAAAAATACTCATCAATGGATTAGCTTGAATACCTAAGTGGCTTTTTGATATCTTCTATCTATTCTTTATAAAGAAGTCAAGCCAAAATGTTTTTTTTGTGTAACCTGAATCCAATATGACACTGTTTAGTGTTTACTTGCCTATAATGTCTGTCTAGTTATAAAAGAAAATTAATCACAAGGACTAGGTATGCAAAAATTGGTAAGTTGGCTTTTAGGGTTGATTTTTCTAAACTTCTAAAGTGAAACAGACAAGTGGATATTCACTTTCCTCGGTACGACCTTAAAACCAACTCTTTTCCGTAAAAACAAAATCTAACAAAATGGTACCTACCCTTAATTTATTCGAAATATTGAGGGTAAATTAGACAATTACTAGTCATCTTCCTTCTTTCCTCTGTATTTATATTTATTTCTTTCTTTTAGCTCCTCTGCACAAATCCCCTGAGCTCTCTTCCCATCTCGAGATCCGCCGTTAAAACTCTTTTTGCCCAAACTCTGAGCTTCTCTCTTCTTCTTCTTCTCTTTTTTATTCAATCACATAGAGGGAACAAGAGAGACTCTTCTCCAGATCTAGTTTTATATCTCATTTGGTTTAATCAAGGTATGTTCGTCGGAATTATCGAAGAATTCTTGTAGATCTATCCATTCATTGATTCAATTTGATATTTTCCGATCAATTCCGATCCGATTAGCGTTATAGTTTATCGATCGAACTTGATAGTGCAGATCGAGACGAATGTACATTTTTGTGAGAAATTTTGTATCGATGCATGTTCGTAGTTTCGATTATCTGATCGGAGCAAATTGAAGTTTGATCATATAGTTTTTACCAATGCACTATGGTTTAATGCAATAAACGATGCGGCCAAATGATGAGTCTTTTGAAATGTTTTAATCTGATTTGTTGTTGGAAATGTCTTTGGTCTAAGGTCTTAGCCAGTGAACATGGCGTCAGCGACTGAGAACCAATGGCTTAAAGGAAGAGTGAAGGCTGTTACCTCCGGAGACTGCTTAGTGATCACGGCTTTGAGCCACAACAGAGCTGGACCTCCACCGGAAAAGACCATTACTTTATCTTCTCTTATGGCACCTAAGATGGTGAGTTTAATCTAACCTTTACTAATTTTTTTTCATTCTGCTTATTAAGTCCTAAACCGCAGATTACGTTATTTGTTGTTGGAATTAACTGTCATGTTGTTTGATTTTCCTCTTTTTAGGCTCGCAGAGGAGGTATAGATGAGCCTTTTGCATGGGAAAGCAAGGAATTTTTGAGGAAACTTTGCATAGGAAAGGTGCAAAGTCAAATTTCTTGACTTAGTTATACATTGGGTATTATGAGTGACTATATTTTCTCATCTTAAGTATGTGTTTTTTTTATTTTATTTGACAGGAGGTTGCATTCAAAGTTGATTACAAAGTGGAAGCTATTGCTGGAAGAGAATTTGGCTCTGTTTTCCTTGGCAATGAGAATCTTGCTAAGCTTGTTGTTAAAAATGGTTGGGCAAAGGTGATAAGCGTTTTCTTTCACTCGAGATGATGTTTTCTGAATTATGGTGGTGGTATCTTAGCTTTCTGACATTACAGGTTAGGGAGCCAGGTCAGCAGAATCAGGATAAGGTTAGTCCTTACATTAAAGAGTTGCTACAGCTCGAAGAGCAGGCCAAGCAGGAAGGATATGGTCGTTGGAGCAAGGTTGGTCTTTTCTTCCTTACTTAGTTTCTCCAAATTCTTTTCTCTCTTATTGAACTGATGATGGATGTTACCTGACTCCAGGTTCCTGGTGCTGCTGAGGCATCTATCAGAAACCTTCCTCCTTCTGCCATTGGGGATTCTGCTGGCTTTGATGCCATGGGCCTTTTAGCTGCAAACAAGGGCAAGCCTATGGAAGGTATTGTGGAGCAAGTGCGTGATGGAAGTACTATTCGGGTTTATCTTCTTCCAGAGTTCCAGTTTGTGCAAGTATTTGTTGCGGGAGTTCAGGTAACTAAACTTGTTTCCCTGATCTTTCTACGTGAAAGATTGACATTTTAACCTATCACTTTGGAACACAGTCAACAATTTTTCTCTTTCGTTGTAGGCTCCATCAATGGGAAGGCGAACCACAAATGGAAGTGTTGTTGAGACAGTTCCAGATGAGCCGAATGGAGATGTTTCTGCTGAGTCACGAGGTCCTCTAACGTCAGCTCAGAGACTTGCTGCCTCTGCAGCATCGTCTGTCGAGGTTTCCTCTGATCCATTTGCAACTGAAGCCAAGTACTTTACCGAGCACCGTGTTCTTAGTAGAGATGTAAGTGTTTTTCTCAACAACTTCTCTCCTGTTTATCTGTATTTGGCATTAGTATGATCTCAATTTGTGCTGGATATTGCAGGTTCGCATTATTCTTGAAGGCGTTGACAAATTCAACAATCTGATTGGTTCAGTTCATTATTCTGATGGGGAAACAGTTAAAGACTTGGGTTTGGAGCTCGTTGAAAATGTATGTGCTTACACTAAGCAGTTATTTTGCTTTCAACATAAATTGCATATTAAGCTAATGGACTGAAAATGTTTTTGCTCTACTAGTGGTAGAAACTACCTTTGTTGTTAGATATAATATTCTTCTCTATATTTCTCATGTTGTTACTTAGAGAAATTTGGTTGACACATAATGTTATAGTTTGTAATTTTACTGGTCAGTTTTGGATCTCTGGTATTAAAATTACTGAATATTTGATCTTCAATGTTATTGAAACAAAGTTAATGTCCTTGGTTGCTATTATATTTTCTTAGGGTCTTGCGAAATTTGTTGAATGGAGTGCTAACATGATGGAGGATGAAGCTAAGAGAAAGTTGAAAGCTGCAGAACTTCAATGCAAGAAAGATAAGGTTAAAATGTGGGGAAACTACGTTCCTCCAGCTACAAACTCTAAGGCAATTCATGACCAGAACTTTACGGGAAAGGTAACATGTCCTGGCCAAATTCTTTTTGAAATACTGTCCTTCTCCTCTGGTTATTGAGTTATTGGTTTTATCTCTCTTTAGGTAGTGGAAGTGGTGAGTGGGGATTGTCTTATAGTTGCTGATGATGCTGTTCCATTTGGGAGTCCAGCGGCAGAGAGACGGGTCTGTCTTTCGAGTATCAGATCTCCCAAAATGGGCAACCCACGCCGAGAAGAGAAACCAGCTCCTTATGCTCGGGAAGCAAGAGAATTTCTGAGACAACGGCTTATTGGCAAACAGGTATTTTGTTGGGCCTTTCTCTAATCATTGCCTCTCTGCGCACATTTGAACAAGATTTGATTTCCCTTTTCCTGCAACAGGTTATTGTTCAAATGGAATACTCAAGGAAAGTCACCCAAGCAGATGGTCCTACCACATCTGGAGCTGCTGATAGGTTCATGGATTTTGGCTCAGTGTTCCTTCCATCTCCTGCCAAAGGCGATTCTGATGAAGTGGCTGCATCATCTGCTGCAGCAATTAATGGCAGTCAGCCGGTTGGTGTGAATATTGCTGAGCTCGTTCTTGCCCGTGGTTTTGGAAATGTGGTTAGACATAGAGATTTTGAAGAGCGATCAAACCATTATGATGCTCTTCTGGCTGCTGAAGCTCGTGCTCTGTCTGGAAAGAAAGGAATCCATTCTGCAAAAGAATCTCCAGCCATGCACATCACAGACCTAACTGTGGTTAGTATATATATATATATCTATATGTACATTAGAAACGCATTTTCCTCACTAGCCTTTTTTCAGTAATCTAATTGGTAAGCATATATTTGTCTCAGGCGGCAGCTAAGAAAGCTAAAGATTTCCTGCCATCCTTGCAAAGAATCAGGAGAATACCCGCTGTTGTGGAATATGTCCTCAGCGGACATCGGTTTAAGCTTTATATCCCAAAGATAACATGCAGCATTGCCTTTTCATTCTCTGGTGTCAGATGTCCTGGCCGTGGCGAACCTTATTCAGAAGAGGCTATCTCTGTAATGAGACGGAGGATCATGCAGAGAGATGTTGAGGTAAACCGAATGCACATCTAAAAAAAATACATCTCTGTTTCCTATTCTTTTAAATGGTTTGCTCATACTCTATTCTAATCACACAGATTGAAGTTGAAACCGTGGATAGAACCGGTACTTTCTTGGGATCCATGTGGGAGTCGAGGACGAATGTGGCGACAGTTCTGCTTGAAGCTGGCTTAGCAAAAATGCAGACTAGCTTTGGTGCAGACAGGATCGCCGAAGCACATCTTCTTGAACAGGCCGAGAGATCTGCTAAAAACCAGAAACTGAAGGTAACTAGCAATAAATGTTAGTGAAGAAATCCTCTGTTTCAAAACGTTATTTGTTAAACCATTTTGAGAATTTTCAGATTTGGGAAAACTATGTTGAAGGAGAAGAAGTCTCAAACGGAAATACAAATACCGTAGAAACCAGGCAAAAGGAGACCTTAAAGGTGACTTTATCCACATGATTCTTCACAAAACTCACATCTTCTTTTATAAATAGAAAGCAAACCTTCATTTTTCATTTCATTGCCTACGATTACAGGTTGTTGTTACAGAAGTACTTGGAGGTGGTCGGTTCTATGTTCAATCTGCTGGAGATCAGAAAGTAGCTTCGATTCAGAACCAGCTTGCATCCTTGAGTATTAAAGACGCTCCCATTATCGGGTCCTTTAATCCAAAGAGAGGTGACATCGTCCTTGCACAGTTTAGCCTTGATAACTCCTGGAACCGTGCAATGGTAATTCCAATCCACTTTCTCTGTTTCGGGAATTTCTTTGCTTCATGCTTTTATTCATACAATCGATACTTGTGTTCAGATTGTGACTGCACCCCGAGCAGCGGTTCAATCCCCAGATGAAAAATTCGAAGTGTTCTACATCGATTATGGAAACCAAGAGACAGTTACATACAGCGCAATCAGACCAATAGACCCTTCGGTATCTGCAGCACCAGGGCTCGCTCAGCTCTGCAGACTTGCCTACATAAAGGTTCCAAGCTTGGAAGAAGACTTTGGTGCTGAAGCCGGAGAGTATTTGCATACGGTAACGCTGGGTAGTGGTAAAGAGTTCAAAGCAGTGATAGAAGAAAGAGACACATCTGGAGGCAAAGTCAAAGGGCAAGGAACTGGAACTGAATTCGCTGTCACACTCATTGCTGTCGATGATGAGATCTCTGTAAACGCTGCAATGCTTCAGGTCGGTTTTCTCTCACCTTGTCTAAAAACATTTCCAAGAATTGGTATTGATGATGATGATGATGATGATGAACAGGAAGGAATAGCGAGAATGGAGAAACGTAAGAAATGGGGGCACAAAGACAAACAAGCTGCTCTTGATGCTTTAGAGAAGTTCCAAGAGGAAGCTCGCAAGTCGAGAATTGGAATCTGGCAGTACGGTGACATTGAGTCCGATGATGAGGACACTGGTCCGGCCAGAAAACCTGCTGGTGGTCGCCGGTAAATTATAAAAGCCGATAAGTCGTGATATGGTTCAAAGGGACCATGAGGTAGGGAGAGAAGCTTGGGTCTGTTTCTCTAAAGAGTTTAAAGACATGTCCAACTTTTTGTAACACTTTAGATTTGTTTCTTCTCTTCTTCTTTTAATTTATACTTTTTTGGTTGTTATAGACTTTTCAAAGAAATTTTCCATGTAGAACTTGAAATAAGGGGAAGTTTGAACCATGCTTTACATGTTTTGTGTGTTTTCTTTGTCCAACGTATCCATTTATTTTTCCTGAGCGTTATATTTAGAAAAATAAAAATAAAGTAAACAAACAAAAAAGCCAAAGTTCTCCGGCAGGTTTCGTCGTCTCTGGAACTCTTTAGTATTTTTGCCCAAATCCTTTGAAACATTTGTGAAAATACTCCATTTTACTTTTCAACAAAAATATCCACGCGTCATCAAAAGTATTTATTTTTAATTCGTTGATCTCGAAGCAGCAGAGTAAAAATATAAAAGTTGTTAGTTGAAAAACTCAGAGAACAGAAAAAATAAGAAAATTGTAAGAAAGATAATAAAGGGAAGCAAACACGAAGAGCTCACAACAAGATTCATGCTTTCAGATTTCGACTGGTGAGTCTAATCTGTATAAACCTTAAATTACTGCAAATCGTCATTGTTCTTATCGAATCTACAGTTGTGGTCTGAATTTTTTGGTGTTTTTATTTGTCCATGTCTGTTTTGACTTTGTTGCCGAGAGAATTTACTAAAACTAGTAAAGCTAAGCTCGTTTGTCATGTTTAATTGAAGCAGATAATTGTTGTTATTCCTCTATTGGATGCCATGGAAGTAGAAATCTTCTTGGCTTGATTCTGAGATTTTGGAATTTTGAAGTTTAATCCTTTCCTTTCCTACAGTTCTTGTAATGTTCAAAGATTACTGTGATTTTGGATATTTTTCTACACTTCATAGTTTGTGATTTTGAGTTGTGGTGTTTCCTCTTTTTCCCGTTGTGATGTTGAGAAATCATGGAAACTGCTGATTCCTTTAGAGAAATATGTTGATTTCGATTCGGTTTACAATGGTTTTAAAATTACAATTAATTTTCGGTTCGGTTTACATTGGTTTAGAGAAGAAGAAAACAAAAAACAAAAAAAAGTCACGCGATGGAAATTTTGGAGAGAAGTGCGTAGATTAAAATAGGCATGATTCCTAAAGGTAAACCCCTTTAGAAAATGCTCTCACTCGCGCAACGCGCACTTGGTGCGAGTGGTTGCGAAATAGAGCCTTCTGATTGGCTTAAAAACTCTAAAAAAAGTGAAATAGTATACATGTTGCTAGCTCCTCTTTTATGTTATTATTTTTTTCTTCTTCTTCTCTCAGTTTGAGGCAAAAACACGAAGAACTCACAACTTAATTAGATTCATGCTTTCAGATTTCGACTGGTGAGTCTAATCAGTCTTAATTATTGCTAATCGTCTTTGTTCTTATCGAATCTATAGTTCTGGTATGAATTTTTTGGTGTTTTTTTTATGTATCCATGTCTGTTTTGACTTTGTTGCTGAGACATTTGACTAAAACTAGTAAAGCTAAGCTCGTTTGTCATGTTTAATTTGGAGCAGTAAATTGTTCTTCTTCCTCCATTAGATGTGGATTTGTTTATAATTTGGAACCATGGAAGTAGAAATCTTCAGGAATCTTCTTGGCTTGATTCTGAGATTTTGGAATGTGAAAGTTTAATCCTTTCCTACACTTCTTGTAATTAGAATGTTCAAAGATTACTGTGATTTGGATCATTTTCTACACTTGTTAGTTTGTAATTTTGTGTTTTTCTGTGACACATTCCGCTTTATTGACTTGCTTAGTTTCTTTACATGTTGAACCACAATCCATCTCTTATCACTCTAAATCCAATTGCTTTTTCATCTTGGGAAAGCAATAAAGGCTAGTTTCCAACTTCATCCTATCCCTTTGAGTATATCCCAATCTTGACTCCTCCTAGTGATACATTCGCAGAAAGAAAATGCATATCAAACATAGCTATCTGAAATTCCACACTCTTAGTTACCTTTACTAAACCATTTGATTGCCAAAGTGTATGCTTCATAGTATGATATAATGAACCGCAGTCCATCTCTTATCACTCTAAATCCAATTGCTTCTTCATGTTTCTTGTCACAACTTTATGATATGATTTTTCTGAAAACATGTTTAGTTTTGTTTATTGTTGAGATAGTCTTAGGAAAGCAAAAGAGGCTAGTTTCCAACTTCATCCCATCCCTTTGAGCATATCCCAATTTTGAGTCCTCCAAGTGATGCACTCGCAGAAAGAAAAAGCATATCAAGCATAGTTATCTGAAATTCCACACTCTTAGTTACTTTACTAAACCATTTGATTGCCATGATCTAATGATAATATGAATGACTATTTGTGGCAGAAAATTCTATCTCAAGAAAAGTAAACTCAGAAGCTTAATGACCTGGACCGAGATCTAAGGAGGCAGTTGCTGCAAGGCGGAAATGAAAATCAGGTTGAATTGACGGAGCTGGAAACTGAGCTTGATCAGCTTCTATTAAGAGGTGTTTAGCTCCATTTTACAGGTACATTCTTTTCCCGTAAAACATCTTTCTGTGTAATGATGCATGAATTGAAAGCATTCATTGACTTAACAATAACCACTGATGAATCTTGGAATTTACCTATTAACTTAAGTTTTAGATACGGATGGCTAGAATTAAGCTGCCAACTAATTTGATGCACTAGGAGATATTGGTTATACTGGATATGATTAAGACACAATATGGCGCATGGTTTCTAAATTATTAGCTGGGCCAGGCTTATTGAAATTAATTTTCCATATGAATTTCATTGTTAGTTGATCAGCTACTACATTCATCATGTTTCACGAGTGCTTTGCTTGCTGTCTCGACTCTCGACCTTTTACTTTAGAGATTTCAATAGATCAGAAGAGATTTAAGAGATAGTTGAGAACTTTTATAAGCTGGCCAGAGATATAATGAAGGGAAATACCTATTTGCTTGAAGTTAAAAGGTTTCACTCTACTTGATCCTTTTTATGTATTCTGAATCACATCTTGGTGTGTGTGCAGGTTGATGCTGATACTCTCTAATCCTCCATAGGCTTCAAGTGTAAATCCAGATATTTGATCAATCTAATGCCATAGCCTCTCTTTCTAAGAACTACACTTGAAGATTCTGTACTTCGAAGGAGAAATCAAAGAAGAGTGGTTCTTTTTGAAGTGCATCAAGTATGTATAGCTAAGGCATGACATTTAGCTTATCTAGGGTCTCGACTAATTGGTTCGGTTAGCTCGATCCAACTTGATAGTGCAGATCGAGACGAATGTACATTTTTATGATTCATTGAGGAAGAATTTTGTAGCCTTTTCAATCTATGCATGTAGCTTTATCTTGTTCGTAGGTTCGATTATGTGATCGGACCAAATTGAACTTTGATCATATAGTTTACCAATGCACTATGTTTTATGCAGTAAACAATGTTTTTGAATGTTTTAATCTGACTCTTGTTGAAATGTCTTTGGTCTAAGGTCTTAGCCAGTGAACATGGCATCAGTGACTGAAAACCAATGGCTCGAAGGAAGAGTGAAGGCTGTTACCTCCGGAGACTGCTTAGTGATCACGGCTTTGAGCCTCAGCAGAGCTGGACCTCCACCGGAAAAGACCGTTACTCTATCTTCTCTTATGGCACCTTTTTGATCAATAGCTTATGCCTATGGTTAGTCTTAACAGTTTGAATAGTTCATTAGTTTCTGTAACCATCATAAATGTTGTTTTGTTGAATATAGTGAAGTTTCCAGCATCATGAATCAAGACGTAAATTAAACTAGATGTCAAAGACCAATCTGGCATTTTTTACTTAATTTATGTCCTTTCTTGCAGATCGTGTTTTCGGGCCTAACACGACAACACGCCATGTCTATGATGTTGCTGCTCAGCATGCAGTTAATGGTGCTATCGCAGGGATCAATGGTATGGATTAAAAACTTTTCATTGGCTGATCTAGTTAAGACTTTAATCTTAAAAAAGAAAGAGATATTTTTGTTCTTAAAATTTTACCCCGAGCTACAGTACCATGAACAGTTTGAATGAGCATTCATTTAGAAAATGAGATCTTTGAGTTGCCAAAATGTATCTAGTGCTTCTTCTAATCTCTAGAACACTTTGAGTTAGCTTTTTTTACCAATTTGATTTTAATGTAGTGAGTGTTAATCCAACCACAGGGACCATTTTCGCATATGGAGTGACAAGCAGTGGAAAAACTCACACTATGCATGTAAGATTCACTAATCATGATATTTCTTGCTTTTCATCTTATTATAATAAAACGTATTAGGTTACTGCTTTGTACAATGTACTTCAATGTGTTATCTCATGCTCATCTGTCAGAGAGTCATTTACCTCTTCCCTTGTTACTGGCTAAATCACTGAATAGTTCAGGAGCAAAGTTGATCTCCTGTAGTAACCATAACGATTAACAATGGAACTCGATGTTTGGATCCTTAAATGTCTCGTATCAGCAAAACCTTGTGATATCCCTGAGACACGTCCTTATAACAGCTTACACATCAACTCTAGAACCCTTGATGTCTCTTTCATCTTTAAAGAACAACCTGCATTACTTTTTCTTGTATGTAACCTCCACCAAGACGACTTTGGCTATTGCATCATTCAATTTGCAGTCTTTAGCGAAGGCCCTCTTCTTCTTTAAGATCATTCACTTGACTGACCAGCAAATTAGTTCCCATGAGTAGACACATGTATTCTCCTCATTATGCAAACAAACAACTTTGAACTCATTATTTGGTTTCTTCTAAATGCAGCTAGATTTCTCTGCATTTTCATCCTTTCTAGGACTTCTCTTTTCCAGCTTCTGACACTAGCTTTGAGATGAGTTGTTTATCTAGCTAGATACACTACACCTTCACATTCTTGAAGTAAGCACCCTTGAGACAAATCATGTATCACTTTCTTTTGTCTCAATCAGTTTCTTCTTTAGAAAAGAACAAAAACCAACTAAAATTAATTCAATAGCTTCATCTCAGACCATAACTTTGTGTATTCTCTGGAAAAACTCCAGAAACCTGCAACTCTTCTCTAGTAAACCTGCAATATGTTTCTGACAAATCTTACCAACACCCAGCGTCAAACCAAATCTGTAAGCAAACCTTTTACCATCAGATTGTAACCATGCTTAAGCTGAACACCCATTGATAACCTTATGTGCTTAACTTGCTTTCTTCTTAGCACTCTGAAACAAAGTTATGCAACCTTTTAAGTCTTTACTTTCAGCTGAACAATCATCCAACAAACATATATAGCTCCACCAGGAGAAATACAATATCCTTAGGATATGCGTTGCTTTTCTTGTAGCAACAATACTCTACCGGAAACCATAACCCTTGGCTGTACTATGTCTCTATAAGCTTAGCTTCACCAATCTGAGTTAAAACCATTCTTTAATGTTGCTTTGAACAATTCTTTGAACAATTCACATGTTCTTCAATGTTAACCATGTCTTAGAGCTTGAGAAAGTATGTCCGAAACTTGTGACACATCCTCTTTCTTCTTGTAGCCACTTGACCTGATCCACTTTAACCACCAAGAACCTGTTTCAACAACCTTGTCTCTTCTTCCTGGAACATTCTCTATAATCTGATAATGCCAAAACTTACTAAGAATAAGAAAATAGAGAGTGGGAAACCATTGATCCACCCGAGAAAAGAACTCCGTGTTATCACAGATTCATTCCAGCATAAGTACTGTGTGTTAACTCAACACAACTCTGCATGAATATGTGTTGCTGCTACATTGTTTAAGAGCTTACACTCTCAAAACAAGAAGAGTTCATACATTGTCCAGCCTGTACCAACCAGACTTGTAAACTTCACTAATGATCCACCAACTGTAGACTCATATTCACAAGAACTTACTTCTACACAAAGACAGAACTGTGGCAAAAACCCCTTTCAAAACTCAGCCAAATCATGGAAACTGCTACAAAATTTCTGTCCAGAATTGCTTCACAGTGCTACTATTTGCTGATTTCATTAGAAAAATATATTGATAAATTTTCGAATTGTTATTCAGTTGCAGTTAAAACAAGCAAAACCCTAGAAGCTTTAGTCTTCCGATGAGGATGAGCTGGTGGTTGACATTGTTTTGAAATTACAATTGATTTCGGTTTACAATGGTTTTAAAATTACAATTAATTTTCGTTTCGGTTTACATTGGTTTACAGAAGAAGAAAACAAAAAACAAAAAAAAGTCACGCGATGGAAATTTTGGAGAGAAGTGCGTCGATTAAAATAGGCATGATTTCTAAAGGTAAACCCCTTTAGGAATTGCTCTCACTCGCGCAACGCGCGTTTGGTGCGAGTGGTTGCGAAATAGAGCCTTCTGATTGGCTGAAAAACTCCAAAAAAAGTGCAATAGTATACATGTTGCTAGCTCTTCTTTTATATGTTATTTATTCTTCTTCTCTCATTTTGAGGCAAAAACACGAAAAACTCGCAACTAGATTAGATTCATGCTTTCAGATTTCAACTGGTGAGTCTAATCAGTCTTAATTATTGCTAATCGTCTTTGTTCTTATCAAATCTATAGTTCTGGTATGAATTTTTTGGTGTTTTTTTATGTGTCCATGTCTGTTTTGACTTTGTTGCTCAGAAATGTTACTAAAAATAGTAAAGCTAAGCTCGTTTGTCATGTTTAATTTGGAGCAGTAAATTGTTCTTCTTCCTCCATTAGATGTGGATTTGTTTATAATTTGGAACCATGGAAGTAGAAATCTTCAGGAATCTTCTTGGCTTGATTCTGAGTTTTTGGAATGTTAAAGTTTAATCCTTTCTTACACTTCTTGTAATTAGAATGTTCAAAGGTTACTGTGATTTGGATACTTTTCTACACTTGTTAGTTTGTGATTTTGAGCTGTGGTGTTTGGTGTTTTGTTATGTAGCAGATTAAAAAATATCAATTAAAGACCATTTGACCTGCAAGATTACTAGATCCTGGGTGCTTTTGTTTGTTCTTATGTTCATTGTCTTGACTTCTCAGTTTGAGTGGATCGAACAAGTTGAGAGTGAAACTGAGACTAGTTGTCCTCTGGTTCTTTCAGATAAAGAGCAACCTCATATACCACAAGGCAAAGAATCTCATGTGCATGAAAAGGTTTGTTTTTTTAATTCATTTTGATGTCTCTTAACTCTTTGGTGGAATTCAAACAGTGTAGAATTGTTGTGTATATGGACCTAAGGAAGGAGTTGGGTTCTTAAACTGATACTTTACTTGTCCAATGCCTTTTTCTGTGACGCATTCCGTTTTAGTGACTTGCTTAGCTTCTTTAGATGTTGAACCACAGTCCATCTCTTATTACTCTAAATCCAATTGCTATTTCATCTTTCTAGTCACAACTTTGTGATATGATTTTTTCTGAAAACGTGTTCAGTTTTGTTTATTGTTGAGTGTAGTCTTGGGAAAGCAATAAAGGCTAGTTTCCAACTTCATCCCATCCCTTTGAGCATATCCCAATCTTGACTCCTCCTAGTGATACATTCGCAGAAAGCAAAAGCATATCAAGCACAGTTATCTGAAATTCTACACTCTTAGTTACTTTACTAAATCATTTGATTGCCATGATCTAATGATAATATGAATGACTATTTGTGGCAGAAAAATCTATCTCAAGAAAAGAAGATTCAGAAACTTAATGAGCTGGACCGAGATCTAAGGAGGCAGTTGCTGCAATGCGGAAATGAAAATCAGGTTGAATTGAGGGAGCTGGAAACTGAGCTTGATTAGCTTCTATTAAGAGATGTTTAGCTCCATTTTACAGGTACATGCTTTTCCCGTAACACATCTTTCTGTGTAATGATGCATGAATTAAAAGCATTCATTGACTTAACAATAACCACTGATGAATCTTGGAATTTACCTATTAACTTAAGCTTTAGATGGCTAGAATTAAGCTGCCAACTAATTTGATGCACTAGGAGATATTGGTTATACTGGATATGATTAAGACACAATATGGCGCATGGTTTCTAAATTATTAGCTGGGCCAGGCTTATTGAAATTAATTTTCCATATGAATTTCATTGTTAGTTGATCAGCTACTATATTCATCATGTTTCACGAGTGCTTTGCTTGCTGTCTCGACTCTCGACCTTTTACTTTAGAGATTTCAATAGATCAGAAGAGATTTAAGAGGTAGTTGAGAACTTTTATAAGCTGGCCAGAGATATAATGAAGGGAAATACCTATTTGCGTGAAGTTAAAAGGTTTCACTCTACTTGATCCTGAATACTGTATTCTGAATTACATCTTGGTGTGTGTGCAGGTTGATGCTTTTACTCTGTAATCCTCCATAGGCTTCAAGTGTAAATCCAGATATTTGATCAATCTAATACCATAGCCTCTCTTTCTAAGAACTACACTTGAAGATTCTGTACTTTGAAGGAGAAATCAAAGAAGAGTGGTCCTTTTTGAAGTGCATCAAGTATGTATAGCTAAGGCATGACATTTAGCTCATCTAGAGTCTCGTCTAATTGGTTTGGTTAGCTCGATCCAACTTGATAGTGCAGATCGAGACGACTGTACATTTTTAGGATTCATTAAGGAAGAATTTTGTAGCCTTTTTAATCGATGCATGTAGCTTTATCTCGTTCGTAGGTTCGATTATCTGATCGGACCAAATTGAACTTTGATCATATAGTTTACCAATGCACTATGTTTTATGCAGTAAACGATGTTTTTGAATGTTTTAATCTGACTTTTGTTGAAATGTCTTTGTTCTAAGGTCTTAGCCAGTGAACATGGCATCAGTGACTGAAAACCAATGGCTCGAAGGAAGAGTGAAGGCTGTTGTTACCTCCAGAGACTGCTTAGTGATCACAGCTTTGAGCCTCAGCAGAGCTGAACCTCCACCGGAAAAGACCGTTACTCTATCTTCTCTTATGGCGCCTAAGATGGTGAGTTTAATCCAAGTTTTACCAGATATGGTCGTTGGAGCAAGTTCTGCTATATCATACGAGTCTCGTGCTATCAATCTTGGTCAACCATTACCATCAAAGACCCTTTGCTAGAAGTCTAAACATCGAAGCCAATATTCATTGTTTGATACAGTTGTTAACACTCAAGATAAAGATGATACACTGATGCATGTGATGTGCACAACCCCATTACTTATCAAATTTCAACTCATAAATGTTGTGATCCACATTCAGATTCATGTGAAACTAAAACCATACAAAAAAGAAAAAGAAAAAATACATGTTACAATAATGTTGTCTTTGATATCAATTCCACTACTGTCTATACGTTGATAAACTGAAACAAAGAATCCTCTTCTTCTCTAACTCTCACGTCTCGTCTGTCTCTTTCGTGGTGCAGGCGCTGTTTCTTCCTTTTCCTCTGTCTTTGCCTCGCTTGTCGAGGTCTCTGCTGCTGTTTCCGGTTTCTTCTTTTCTACCTTAGCCTACATATATAGCCCAAATTTTGTTAGAACCAAACACCCGCAAACCAAAACATTACATCCAACTGACATGTTTTTTTACCTTTGCACCACCAAATATGAGCTTGAAGAAGAGAGAGAGGAAGACAACAACAACGGAAATGAGCACACCGATTGTTAAGTTTGGCTGTGTTTCAGCTTTCTCAATGAGTTCCTACAGACGAAAATAGCAAATTCTCAGTGAAGATTCTTATTCATACAATATGTTTCTTAAGTCTGGAAATGAGAACTTACCATGATCTTTGACTTGTACGCACTTAGGAAAGAAATGTCTGCAACCTTGTATAAGAGGTCGAACACCTTCTTCTGCAGCAATGCACAGACAAATATAAGTACAAAGGATATGTATAACCATTTCACATTTTGTGGCGAAAATCAATATACCTGGTAGCTCTTGAGACCATCTGCCTCACCAGCAGCTTCATCCTCTGCCTTTTGTTTCTCTTTCTCCACATCAAACTTGGGCTTCCAAGTGCTTTGTCTGTATGTTTCCGCGACCTTCTCGTCTTTAGCTATCAAGATGTTGTCAAATAAGATACCGTCTTGCATTGTCCAAATCTCAATACCAATGGCAGCAATGGGTTCCAAATTCGGCCTCTCAAGCTCAAAATAATCAGGGTTTGGAATGTCTCTGGGTTTCCAGATTCCCTTGTAAGCTGGGTTATCTATGAGAGGTGAGCTCCATTTACCCTTGTAAGCAGGGTTTCTCTTCATCGGTCTCTTCCATTCGCCACATCCGGGTGCTGCCTCACACTTGGGGTTGGAAACCTTAGGAGCCTCCCACTCACCATCTTCTTCATCATCCCAATCTTCAGGCTTGCTTGCCTCGGGGTCTTCAACCTCTTCAGGCTCATCATCCAACCATCCTTGGGGTTTCTCAGCTTCCTCATCTTCAATCTCCATGGGTGCATCCTCATCCCAGTCATCAGGCTTCACAGCATTAGGATCAGGAATCTTGGCTCTCTCATCCCAGTCTTCTGGTTTCTTGTCCTCTGGATCAGGGATGGTCTTGGAAGGGATCAACGGAGGCTCAAAATCTTCAGCCGACAGTAAATTACCCTTCTTCTTTTCCTCACCATCAACCAAAATCCTCACCTCATTATCAGGTTTCAAGATTGCAGTGTAGACATGAGAAAGCTTGTCAAACGGAACAGAAGGAGGGAACTTGAGATGGTGCTCAACAAACTCGCCACTCTTGGGATTCTTATGCTTCAAGATGAAATGAACCTTGTTGGTAGCACCACACTTATCAGGTCCAAACATAATAGAGTAAGGAGAATCATTATCAAAACCTTGAGGAACCCATCCAGCTTCTTGAGGACGAAGATACTTTAAGTAAGCACCACCACACTCAAGCCCTTCTTGGAAACGAGCCTCGTATTGCAGAACAACAGTTCCTTCGTTAAGGTTTAGAGGCTCATCAACATCAAGCTCTTTAACAATTCCGTACTTTTTAGCCTTCTCACTCACTAAAAGTCCATAATCATCATGTCCTTCACTCTTCTCGTGCTTCCACACACCTAAAGGATTCAAACAAGAAGCAACCTCTTAAGGGATTTACACAAGAAAACTACCAGAACTCACACAAAGTCTGTTTCTCATCCACTTATAGTAAAAGTAAACATTTCTAAATCTGTTCCAAAACCAAAACTTAAGTCTCCCTTTTGATTCTAACTTCCATTACACTAATTCTAACTAGTTTTTACTTCAACAAACGAAAGGAAACCAAAAATTCAAAACAGGAGTCAGCGAAGCTTTACCTTGGTATTCAGCTTTCTCTGAAACGATCCAGCGACCATCAAAAGGCTCGTCGAACGATTCATACAGGATCTGAACAACAACAAAAAAGACCAGGTTACTGAAAATTCTATGAACAAATCTTAAAAATAGAAACTTTATCAAGGAAGTGAGCAATTACCGTTTGGTCGTCACAGTAGCAAAGATTAGAAAACGAAAGCAAAGCTACGAGAAGCAGCGAAACGAATGTAAGAATCCGTTCTCTCATTATCGCAATCTCAAGAGAAGAGACAGAAACAGAGACTCAAAATCGAATTAAGACAGAAGTGGATCAGAGAGAGAGATGTATATATACTCTTTTAGTCCTCGTATTTTTTAGACCTACGAACGTCATTTTGATAGTTTTCTTCCAATGAATATGGCTCGCCACGTGACACCAGCCTATCACAGATCGCCACGTCATCCAAAACAAGCACCGATGCGTACAAAATTTTCGCCCACTTGGATCATAGTATTGGGCCTGGTCCTGGGCCCAATTCAAATGAAATCCTCGGACTCTCTTACAAGGTTAAAATGCTAACCAAATTTATCTCATTTAAATCTAAACCCCAAAAAAATGGTTTCTCACAAGTCATTTTAATTAATTTCTTATAAAATCGTTAATCCAGACGAAAATAAAAGCAAAACGAAATTTACCATTAGTTATTATTACTTAAACCGGAAATTTCATTAGATGATTACATGCTGTTCAAGAACACGAAAATACACTCAAGTTGCTTGATCACTTGTAATACATTAAGAGAAAAAAAGGAATAAAACCTTAAATAGACCAATTTGAAAACTCTTGATCTCCTTCAGATGTTGTATTATTTATAGACAGAAACATGGAAAACAAAACACATAAACCAGTGTTTCTATAAAGCTCAGTGAGCCGTAGCCATCTTAGGATCAACGCCAACATCCTTCAGCGTCACGGCACGAGGTTTATGAGCGAACTGGTCTTTCCTGATTGGATCGGAGATCACATCCTGCTTGTCAAACTCTTGAATGTGAGCTATTTTCCTAAACCAGGACCTGTTCGCGAACCGGTCCGCTTCGTTTAGAACTCTATCGGGATCTTCAATCTCTGGAACAGTCTCTCTTGTCTTCTTGTTGACACGCACGCTAGGGTTTTCGTGTAGATGAAGATAAGCAGTGTAGACACCGAATGATACTGACAATGAAATCAACCCTATGGAAACGTAAACTGGTGTGAAGTCACCTTTTGTTGCTGCCGTTGTGGTGGCGGTTCTCTGACCACCGTACTCCGTCGCTGCAGTAGAATACGGTTTGGATCTTGGTGCGGTCGCCGTAGTCGTGTAAGTTCTTAACCTCTGCACTACGTTTTTCAAGTGACCCTTCAAATATAAAATGATAAAAGTCAAACAGTGAAGACCAAATGAATTATAGAGAAACGACAACGTATTAAGTTACTTACTGTTGATCGAACGGCCATAGCTAGCTCTTGGCGAATGATAGGTAAGATCTAGCTGAAAAGAAGAGCAAGATTTGGTACTTTTGATTGTTGTGGATTATACTATACTTGGAAGTGTTTTGGATTGTGAATATATAAAAGGAAGATGGAGACATCTGGATTTGAGAAGATTAATGTAGAAGTACACGTGTAAGCATTTAAGAACATGCAGTTTATTCGTGGAAGTGTCTTGAAGATCCACGTCAAATCAGATTCCTTATAATTGGGATTTCACTGCAGTAATATAATTCTTCATTGGTTGTGTCAATTTACAGAAGTAGAGTATTAATGATTTGAATGGTGTCCTAATGGATTAATAGACCAAATAATTATCGTCTTTCACTAGTAAGTTCTAGATAATCCTCCGCTCACCACATTAATAATACGACATGTGACAATCACGTTGCTGCTGTGTCGATGGAATCAATTCTTAAAAGAGAGAACATATATATTCTTCCATTTTTGAGACTGAAATAGAAAGAAAATCATTTTTGTTGGCAATTCTAAATAAAAATCATATTTTTCATGTTAATATTATCGTTGTGTCGTCATTCCAATTGAAATTCATACTCCCTCCGTTTCATATTAAGTGTCGTTTTAGCCTTTAAATTTTGTTTCAATATAAGTGTCGTTTTGTGTTTTCAATACAGATGTTTGGTAAAATTTCCAGTTTTGTCTCTACTAATTTAATGTATTGACCAATGAAAAAATAATAAAATATATAAATAATGGGTAAAACAGAAAATTTAATTATTTTCTTAATATGTGTGTAAAAACCTTAAACGACACTTATTATAAAACACAGGGAGTATAATACATGCTATTTGTTTAGGTAATTATAAATTTCAGACACTTTTGTATAAAGTCGAATATATTTATGAAATTATTTAAATAAAAATTAATGGAGTTATTTTTTATTTTCATAGTGTCTTGTGTCTAAATAGTGAATTTAGTACTGTTCATAATTTAAAAGAAAAGTAAAAAGTAAGGCTATTTGGGATAAGACTTAACTAAAGTGGACAGACCTTTTCTCAATGAGGAATTAAAACAAGTTTAATCTACTGATTTAAATACAATAAATTGATACGAGTTGAACTAGTGTGCTTGGTGCTTACTAGCTCCCACTTTAATGGAATTAGTGCTTATTCGACGCAATTATTTGTCCATTTCTATTTTTGTAATATATAAAACGGTTTAAAGAGCTTTATCCTATATAAAGAAAGAAAGGCCTACACATTAATTATATGTTACTCGTATAATTATATTCACATTCATCACTACTTTATTTTCTTTTTTAACTATGAATTTTCTTCTTTGTATCGTGACTTTTACTCACTCACCACAATTTTTTTTAAATTGATGTTTACTTTCATCAAAAATGAACTAAATGGCTTAAAGAAGCATTGATGATCTTAACTGCTTTGATCAAAGAGTCTCTTATTTAACCAAGACTGTTAACTAAAACGTCGTCTAAAAAAATTCTCATAATTATCAAAAAAAAAAAAAAATCTCATAAACTTTCAGAAGATAAAAAAGGTCAATTTTTTGTTAAGAGTAAATTAAATAACTAATTCCCACTTTTTTTTTTTTTCGCTATTTTGTGGAAAGTTTTTAAGTATTTTTGTCAAACTGATACAAACTCAATATTAGTGGGTTTAGCTGATGAGGTAAAGTGGTCCTTGTATGACATAGTGGAGATGACGACATTACTATATAATATTATCCTCTTTTGTGTGTTAATTGTCATGAAGAAGTCCAAAATAAGAATATTGGAGGAAGGGAGATGCAATCAGAGAAGAAAATAATATGTGTCGCCTATTTGCTACAGTTTTCATTTCTATATATGTTTCGGTTAGAATCTGGTTTGAGTTGTTTGGTCTTTTAGATTTTCAGGTTAAAAGAGTTCTATGAGCTGTTACCGAAAAACTAAATTCATTTTGGTGACACAAAAATACACATCTTTTAATAATTAAGTTTTAAACGAAAACTAAACTACGGTTATAAATTATATAATTGTCATATTGATTTTGCAATGGTCCATCAAACGGATCCACCTACTAGAATTAACGACTGTAAATTTTTCGAAAACATATAAATCGATGGTTATAAGTTGTTTCAAAAGTAACCTAACAAATGTCTTTTTCTTTTCACTATACCTGATTACTTACTATTAGTAATATTATAATTCATTGGTTTCATAATAAGTTTATCAGTAATATGTGACAAAAAAAAAGTAGTTATAAAGCTAAATTAGATAGCCAAATTCTAGAGGTTGATTTGCAAAATGACGCGGTGACAACATCAACAACACGATATATTTATTTTGAATTTATTATTTAAAAATCATGTGCTCAATTATGAGTTTATGCGAATTTTTTTTTTCAAAAACTTATGATTTTTATGTGAATGTTAGATAAATAGCGTGTTATTTTATCTAATGACATACTGTAATATTCTACTTATTTATGATTACCACTTAATCATTTTACTAGTAAACTTCAATTTTTTTGTTTATTTAGCAAACTAGCCCTACTAATAAACAAGAAAAAGTATTAACGATAAACAGTAACAACAACAATAATTTATGTGCGAAGTTTGTATAACATATTAGTATAATTCTAAGACCATACACAATGGTATAATCTTTGGTTGGGTGTGAGTAATATAAAAAGGAGAAAAAATAGAAAAGTTGTGTAGAAGTTGTATGTTGGGTGTAAGTTTATACTTGGGTGTGAGTATTAAAATAAAGAGAAATATTGCACTCTTTCTATCTCTCTCTTTTCTCTCTCTCTTTAATTATAATAATAAAAAATTATTCACACCCACACTCACACATGTGCCATTGTGTATGCTCTAACAAGTGGAAGATAAATATAGCAAAAACTATGCCGACGGAAAAATAATTAAAGAATAATTCCATCCGTCTGCAGTAACCACCTCGACACTTCTTGTTATAATTTTTTCTGAATATTATCTTATTCCACTAGCTTCAAACACTATGGTTCAAACCGTTTTGCAGTATAATTAAGTTATTCGACAACTTTGTTTTACTATGGTACAAATTTAACTTGAAATTTTAAGATCAAGCGTTTTACTTAAAAAAAAGAAAAAAAAATTCTATCAAATCATTTGAACTAACTATTTCGGACAGACGAATGCTTTAACATCATTTTTTTTTTAAAATGCAATAATGCAAATAGATTTCTTTTAAAAGTAGATGCACGTTATTAAAATGTTTATTAAATTTTTACCGACGTTAGGTATAACTTTGAAAAAGATTCCATGGATTGAAAAACAAAACTTAGCAAGACATATATCATGTTTAAAATATTGTTTAAACAATAAGAATAATATATTATTATATAAAGTTTGGATATGGGACCAGATGAAGCATTATAAATGGGGTGAAGATAGACGTAGAAGACTAAAGCAAACACTAACAGTTAACTCTCCTTGTTAAAAATAATCTAAGGAAGAGAAAGAGATATGGAAGAAGACACCGAAAAAGAAGACGACGACGTTAAGAAGCTTTCGAGCTACGACTAATGGAAGTTAGCTCGGTTCCGTGTTATCTTTCTCTGGTTCTGGTTAACAGAGGAAAAGGATACAAACGGCAAGTCATAAGAGGCAAAGGGAAGGCTACGCCTTTCTTCTTCGTATTTTCTCTTTAATTTTCTTTCTGTTTTCTCTTATTTTTTCGGTGATGTGTAGATTCTCTAACGAGAAGTATCCCGATTGTTTTTAATAGTTTTATGATCTTGTTGTTTTCTTCTAAAACTATCTTTATATATTAAGATCTATGTTACGATTCACTAGTATAGTTGACTCTGACTCTGACTCCACGACCGATCGAACGAAGTCGTTGCTATAATGAATGACTCCTAATTCTATACAATCAACCCCTTCTAACCAATTCTCTTGTTTTGGGGACTATATATCACGTTTTTTGCTTCTTTTTTTTTGGTTGTGATCTTATTTTCGTCAGACAATCAGTTATTTAAGAAATTTGTTGATTTGCAAGTTTTTGTTTAAATTACTCATTTTACTCTAATTTCTAAATTGTAATTTTAATCTATTTTCGGAAAAAAAACGAAAATAAAGTCTCGCTGATTTTAAAAATAAATATATGTTAAAGCTGAAACAACATTTAAATCTGTATATGTTTAGGTATAACATTGTTGTCATCATTCTGAAACATATCTTTCAGTCTAAATAAAAAATACAAATGATCACAAAAAAAACCAATAATTGAGATATATATATCAACAGTGAGACAAAACAAAAAAAAATGTTAAATATGTTATATTTTTTGTTTTTTTTTTAACTCAAATATGTTATATTTTTTAAGTCAACGGAAACAGTATGAATTTATTGCTGATAACTATGTCTATCAAACTATTTATCAGAAAAATTTTCCATAGAACTACAATTAAAGTTTACCACCATAAAATATATGTCCGAATTTTAAGTAAGCATATTATATTTCTAAATCAATAATATACATATACTTTAATGTCTTGTTTTCCATTTAATCAAATCATATCATATACTTAAATAGATTATACACTTTATATTTAATAAGAGAACTAAATGATCACGATTAATATAAAATTTAATTTATAATGTAAAAAAATGCAGTATCTCTTTGTAATTAATAATTTTTCTATTATTTTTTAGTTGATAGATATCTTTCTCCTTATATTGTTTTCATAATTAATCCGTAATCAACAGTTAGATAATATGATACTAATTGTTGTATAAAAACATAACTATACATAGTTATTTGGAGTTAATACAAAACACCTAAATATTATATAAATTGAAACGTGGAATCAGTAATAATTATAACTTAACAATATAAATGGTAGAAACACATATAAGTTTGGGTAATCAATCGAATCAACGTCGGTCGCATCAATGAAGTCGTCATCATCTCAATCTCGCTATGTCAAGGTTTATAAAGAGGGTAACCACATCGGGAGGAAAGTCAATCTCTTCGCGTTTAATAACTACGAAAGTCTTGTAGCCGCTCTGTCTCATATGTTTGATACAACAATTAGATGTAAGT